TTTGTTTCTTTTTATGAAACCAACTCCTAGTTTTATTTATTAATATAAGGTTTTTACTCTCAATTTTATTAATCTCACCTTTAATTTTTAGAATTTCCAATTTAGTGTTTAATTGGGGATTTTTTATTTGATCTTTTTTCTACTTTTTTAATTGTACACACGATTCATTAGTCTGCTCTTTCTCCATTTTATTGGCATAAGTATTTAGAAATATAAACTTTCCTCTAATCACTACTTTTGCTTTATCCCACAGATTTTGATATGTTGTCTCAACATTGTCGTTCTCTTTAATGAAATTGTTGATTGTTTCTATGCTTTGTTCTTTAACCAACTCATTCTTTAAGATTAGGTTGTATAATCTCCAATTAGTTTTTTAATATGTATTTCCTTGGTCCTTTATTAAATATAATTTTTACTGTATTGTTATCTGAAAAGAATGCTTTTAATATTTCTACTTTTCTGCTTTTAACTATAAAAGTTGTATGTACTAATATATGGTCAATCTTTGTAAAGATACCATGAACTGCTGAGAAAAAGATGTATTCCTTTCTATTTCCATTCAATTCTCTCCAGATATCTATAGTATCTAGTTAATCTAAAATTCTATTCATTTCTTTAACTTCTTTCTTATTTATTTTTGTATTAGATTTATCTAGTTCTGAGAGAAGATTAAAGTCCCCTGCTGTTATAGTACTACTAACTCCACCTGTAATTCACTTAACTTTTCTTTTAAAAATTTAGATGCTATAGTATTTGGTGCATATAGGTTCAGTACTGATATTGTTTCATTGTCTGGGGTACCTTTTATTAAAATATAGTTACCTTGTTCATCTCTTTTAATAAAATCTATTTTAGTCATAACTTTGTCTGAGATCATAAATGCTACCCCTTCCTGTTTTGCATTAGGTAAAGCATAATAAATTCTATTCTAATCCCTCTATTTTAACTCTGTGTGTCTCTCCTTTTTAAATGTGTGTCTTGTAAAGAAACCCTCCCCCTCTCCCTTTTCTCTACTTTGGATCTTTAAATCTTTTCCAAGCAGAATTGTTTATATTGACTCTATATACAGTGACACCTGCTGGCCCCACTAGTTATTTGACATAGAGAACTAAAAATTTGAATAAAAGTATGGAATTTTGGAACCTGCAGCCTTACAAAGAAAGGATGGTTTAAAACATCCTTGTTTTGAGGCATTTCTCTCTTGCTCTTTTTTTCATTCTCTCTCTAAGTATAGCCAAGTGTTATATTTAAATACCATTGATTATACTAAATCTGAAAGAATGTGATCTAAGCTAACAAAATAAAGCCAAAGATAGTTTATGATAAAAGCATCAATGAAGAATGCCTAGAAGATATTAAAAGGCTGGTGAATGCAACAAAGAAGTTAAGGGATATGAACAAGGAGTTCTCAAAAGAATTACAAACTTTTGGCAACCATATGAAATAATGCTCCAAATCACTAATTCAAAATGAGGTTTCACCTGAAACCCAGCAAATTGGAAAAGATGGCAAAACATGGGAATAGGCAGTGTTGGAAGGACTGTGGAAAGATGGTTTCATTAATATGCTTTTGATTGACTTATGAACTGGTCAAACCATTCTGGAAAATAATGTGGAATTAGGAAAGAAAATGACTAAAATATCCATAAACTTTGATCTGGGAATTCTACTGCTAAGGATGCACCTCAAGGAGGTCAGTGACAAAAGGAAAGGTCCTACGTACACTAAAATGTTTATTGCTGCACTTTTTGTTGTAGCAAAGAACTAGAAACAAAGCCCATTGACTTGGGAATGGCTAAATGAGTTGTAGTATATTTGTGGCAATGGAATGTTACTATGCTACGAGAAATGATGAATGAAGTAAACTGAATGAATGAATGATAAATGAATGAAAAGGCATTATTAAGTTTTATTATGTTCCAGGCACTGTGCTAGTGTTGGGGATACCAATATAAACAAGCAAAAGTCTCTCAGTCGAAAAGAGGAGAGACAGCACATATAGGAGTGGGGCTAGGAAGGAAAAATTTGAACAGAGAGGTCACAAAGATGGTATAATTGGAATTATTGGACAATTAATTGACACATGCTTTCCAAGGAATGCTATTTGTTGGGACTATGAGGAATAGTCAATGTCAGAGGGACGACAGGAAGACAGACATATTAATACCCTATTAATGGAGCCATTGGTCCAATCATTTAGGGAAAAACAATGATTTTATGTGAGAAAAGTGATTAAACTATTCATATCCTTTGCGTGTGTGGTAGCAAGGAACTAGAAACAAAATGGGAAACCAACAATTAGGGAACAGCTAAACAAAACATGGTCTATGAATGTGACAACAGCATTGTGGCAAAAAAAAAAGACTAACAAGAATTCAGAAACATGGGAAGATTTGTATGAACTGATGCAGAATGATATGAGTAAAAATAGAATATGAACAATTTACTATAACACTGTGAAATAAAGGTGTCGTAAGAGCTCCTAGTTGGGAGATAACAAGCTTTCTTCAAATTTTCCTGTCATTTCTTGCTTGCTTTATGAGACATACTGCTTACAACTTTCTACCAGTCATCTCTTTAAGGTTTTGCAAATTAAGTTCATATTCTAAACTTGGCAGCCATGTTCCTCCTCTTGGCAAGGAGCTCAAGTCTTTGGCTAAATAAGGGAGTTTCCAGATTGTCACAGCCTTCCTTGTTATGGGGATTGCTTTATATCAATTTAGCTTCAGTAGGAAATGGGTATAGCCCATGTCAATGTTTATCATTTCCCCATTTTGTAGCATTAATTGCTTGTTGAATTAATAGTTTGTTATTGATTTTTATCTTTACTCTGGGGGCAGCTAGGTGGTTCTGGAGATAGAGTGCTGTGCCTAGAGTCTGGAAGACCTGAGTTCAAATATGGCCTCAGATACCTCCAGGCAAATTAAACCTCTAATTCAATTTCATCTGTAAAATGGGGATCATAACAGCACCATAATAGCACCAGGGGTGTTATAAGGCTAATGTTTATAAAGCACTTAGTGGTACCTGGAACGTAATATGTACCTAATAAATCCTTGCTTCCTTCTTTCCTTTCTACTCAACAAAGTCAAGTTTATGATCTCACAGATTATTTCAAAAATGACTCGTACATTGGTAACAAAAACTTGCTCTTTGTTTTAACCACATCCAGCATCTTCCAGCTCTATCTTTAAATGCACTCAGGAAAATTACCTTGCTTAATTGGGGAAAATGTTGCCTCTGCAGATAGCTGGACCTGGGAAAGCGGACATTATCTGATGCCAGGACTATGAGAAAACCTATCAAAACATACATTTAAGTTGGCTTTTGAGAACCTAGCTTCACCACATTGCAAGGAGGCAGCAGAGCAGGACTCTGTGGAAGGAAACCTCTCATTATAAATGAGAGCCTGTGAGATTGTCTTTTTATGTTGCATATGGACTTGGGAAGGCTGACTTTTTAAAATTGTTATTCTTGATCAGAGAAAAGCTCCAAGGGAACTTCCCTTCTCTCTTTTCCTGGTTAAACAGCAAATCCAATTCACCCCAGCAAGAATGGTCTACATGAGACCCAGGAAAAGTTCTTTATTTCCTTGTCCTACTTTCTCAGAGGTAACGGCACAGTGAAGAAGAGTGTTAGAGAACAGCTGTCCTGTACTGACTTCATAAATTCTTGTATGGTCATCATAAATCATGTATCCTGGGCTACTTCCCCAAAGGGAAAGTCATCCCAGCAATAATCTCATCCTTAAGAGTGAAAATGGCCAGTGAGGGTTATGTCAGTTGGCTGTTGTGTTCCACTGTGCCACTCTATGGGAAACTTCCTAACTATGAGGGATTCAATGGTAAAAACCTTAGGGGTATGGAAGTTTTCCTCCACTGCAAAACCTTGGAAGTCAAATAGAGACCCACAGCTTATCCCTGAGTGCAAAAATTGTGGGGGGTGGGGTGTCTTCCCCCATTAGAATGTAGTCTTTGAGACCTGGTACTGTCTTTTTGCTTGAAATTGCATTCCAGTACTTGGTACAATGACTAGAACATAGTAACCACTGAATGAATGATCTACCCTATCTAATAGAGGGTAGTGTACTAAAAGGGCCAGAATATAGTTTGCTATTGTGAGAAATGATCTCTCAGAAGTGAAGCCTCCTCAAAGGGTTAATAATTCTTGTTAATAGTTCTCACAAAGGGCAGCAATTAGGAGATCACTGGTCATTTGGAGAGAGCTGTCTCAGTTAAATAAGGTCAGAAGCCAGATAGTAAGAGGTTAAGACAGTGAGAGGAGAGAAATTGGAGGCACCTGTTGTAGATGGCCTTCTCAAGGAATTTAGCTGTTGGGGGCAGCTAGGTGGCACAGTGGATAGAGCATCAGCCCTGAATTCAGGAGTACCTGAGTTCAAATCCAGCCTCAGACACATAACACCTACTAGCTGTGTGACCCTGGGCAAGTCACTTAACCCCATTGCCTAGCCAAAAAAAAAAAAGGAATTTAATTGTTATTGTTGAAACATACTCCCTTCTGACCTTATCAGCCCCCCCCCCCCGCCCTGTTTTTTTTTTTTAAGTACGTAGCAGAAAGAATAGCCCTACCCCCAACCTAAACTGTTTACCCTTGCAAAACTTCCCACCTTTTTTGCTGGGGAAAATTTCCATGTGCCCCCTGAAGCCCAGCCAATGGGATAAGGGGAAGGAGGTTAGGGAGGAGGATCTCACGCTAAGGTATAAATAAGCCTTGCTTTATGTAACCAACTTGCACTCCCTGGCCAGCACCATTAGTGTGACGAGGGGCAGTACCCTTTCTCATGAGAAAGCAATAAACTCCTTTCTGCTTTCAAGGTATCTAAGTCTTTGTCTTGATTCTGAGTAGTGGTCTCTGTCCCACACACTATCATAACTGCTAGGCATCTATCCAGTGGGGATCCAGCAAATTTTAGGTTTGCTGTGAGATAAATCAGAGTTTAATTTCAAACAGATCAAAAATGAGGAGGGGGAAAAAATTAGTAAATTTCACAGAAATTTATTTTTAGAAGTAAAAACATTCAAAGTAACAAATTTTTATTGTAGAAGTGGTCACACAAACATTACCAAGTACCATTACAATGACATGCTGCATTTAAATTACATAAATAAGAAATGGCATTTGTGTGCTAGTAAAAGGGGAATATCACCACTTGTAAGTTTAGGCTTTTCCCCCAGACTGAAAGATTGGTGATGACTTAAGTAGCAATCAAGAGACCTGGATTCTAGCTCCAGTTCAGCCCTTAACCATCTGTCTTCAGGCTCATTTCACTCCTTTTGGCCTCAGTTTTCTCATTTGTAAAAGGGAGAGGACGGACTAAGCACCACGTGGATAGAGCTTGAGGTTCCGGGGGCAGAGGGCCTCATTCATAGGCTCTTTACCTGTGTGACCTTGGACAAATCATTCAATCTCATCGAGCCTCGATGTCCTCCTCTGTAAAACAGGGTAATTGGTCCAGGTGGCTTCCCCTTTAAGGTCCCTTTCGGCTCTAGATCTATGTTAGAGTCTATGTTCAGTAAATTAACCAGAGGTTCTAGAAAGGAATGCAATTTTGCTATTTTCTTTTGATTATAAATGTCTCTGAAAATAATCTAACATGCGGATATTTTTCAACAAATGCTGATATTTGGATAGGTCCTCAGCCATCTTTGGCACACTTGGACCTTGTGTCCATTTGGTTTTGTTCTTTGCATATAGAGACTGATGACTTGAAGAAGCTGTGACCAGAGAGAACCATTCTTTGCATGCTGGTGAACAAGTGGCATTTCAGTACCGTGGCTTGGGAACGAATCCTGTTTGCCCTTCATGATTTAGTACAGCTCACAGATAGCACCTGAGCTCACCCATGTTTTTACCCAAATAGAATTCTGGTCTCTAAATTTAACATTCAAATGACTTTTCTTTGATAGATATAAAAATTCTAGCCCCATGTCCCTTGTGTGTTCAGAAATTAAGAATGGAATTTTAATGTGTATGTTAAAAAAATTCATCTATCTCCTTTGCTTATTTCCAAATATGAATTTTGCCAAGTAAAAGCCTGCCACTCTAGTCTCTAGCAATACCATGATTGTGGCAGAGGTGCAGAAAACATCATCATGTTTTATTTGTCGTTTGACAAAAATTGAATGCATAGTTATAAAATCAGTTTAAAAGAACGAGGTCACCTGTTGGAAGGAACTCCCAGAATGGAAACTCCACTTACGCTGATCTAAAGCTAGTATAAAATTTAAAATCTTCATTCTCTGGGGCACTGAGTGGCACAGTTACTTGCCTAGGGTGATATTATCTCAGACAGCTCTGCGCACTGGGTCTTCCTGACTCCAAGGCTATTCTTTTACCCTTTATGCCATGCTACCTTTCATAGTTAAGTAAAAATGTGTTTATTTTCCCATAATCCCTTCAAAATCCACAATTGTACATCACTCCCTAAATCTCTAAATACTCTTAAAGTTTTGAAGATACAATAGTTTCTTCTTATAACAAATGCCAATATTCATTTGTTTTTCTTTTCAAAGTCAATATAGTAACTCCTAATTAGCTTCCATTTAAACTACCTGAATTTGAGGAAGCAATGTAATAATGGTTCTATTAAATGGAGAAATAGTGATTCTCTCCCAAAGCCCCAAACCCCATCCACTGCCATACTGAATTAGGCTCAAGGTATATGCAATTTAAATTACCGAAGAAATGCAGTCCTCAGACCTGTCATTCACTGGCTTGGTATACAAATTAAAATGCATGGATTTTCTTAGGGGAAAAAATACAGTTCCTTAGTAAGCATGGACATGATACATGGCACCTGCTTCTTTGCATGGAAGTTAACATCTAAGGAATAAGATTCAAACTCTGTAGCAACCTTCCGATTGACTCTGGTAAGGATTTGCATTATCTCAAGCTTGTGAGCATACTGTTTCAGCATTGCGCAAAGTGACTGGATAAACCACGAACCATCCTTTGAATTTCTCCAAGAATAGTAGCCTAAAAACAACAAAACCCACAAACTGTCAGAAAATAACAATTAGTGAAGCTGATATCACAAATAATTATACGAAGTTATTGAAAAAACTATCCAAAAAACAAGTATGGATTCCAGTAGGTTTCACAGACCATGGGAGGAAAAAACCCTCTTTATGCCTTGTGACAGTGATATTGATGAAGTGGAAGAAAAAGTGCTGTGTACAGCCTTCCATTCCCCTATATCACCTCCTCTTTTGGTAAAGAAATTCAAGGAGGACTGCCTTTGTAGACGATCACTCTCAGCCTTGGGTCCTCCAACTGCCCCTCCTTCTAGAGCTTTAGCACAGTGCCTGGCACATGGCAAGCCCTTAATAAGTTTGCTGACTTGACTCACCTGCTAAACTCCATTTCCAGTGGAGAAGATCAAGTGAACAAGCCAAAGAAAGAAGCAATACCTCTTTCCCTTTTCTCACCTGCTCCAATTCTAAGAAATAGATTATTGGGTTATTTGGTTCCATCAATTTAATAATACTCCACCTGCTCTATCAGAAGCACTGCTGATATTAACAGAATGATAATGACCACCAGCTCTTTGTCTAACCCTTGACGAGGTTCCCATGCATTCTCTCTGTTGAGAGGCAAAATCACGGGCAAATCAGACTGCCAGGCTTGGGTTCAATTTCTGCCTTAGAAGGTAGTGAGTGAGTGAGCAGGGGGTCACAGGACTAAACCTCAAAGAACTTCAGATTCCACAACTGTAAAATGAGGACTATACCACTTGCCTTACCTTCTGCAAAGGGGTGTTAGGAAGGCTGTTAAGACTGTTAATAGATGGGGCAGAGCCAAGATGGCAGAGTGAAAGCAGTGACTTGCTTGAGCTCTCCCCCAAACCCCTCCAAATACTCAAAAAAATGGCTCTAAACAAATTCTGAAGCAGCAGAACCCACAAAAAGACAGAGTAAAACAAATTTCCAGCCCAAAACAACCTGGAAGATTGATCAGAAAGGTCTATTGCACCAGGCTGGGAGCACAGCGCAGCTTAGGCGCACAGGCAAAACTGGAGTAGGCCTCAGAGGACTGAATTGTGGGCAGCTGTGGAGGTTTCCAGACTCCTCAACCCACGAATGCCAAAGACAACTTAGAAGGTCAGTGGGAAAAGTCTGTTTCTGCCGGTGGTCAGAGAGGAAGGTGGGGTTTCAGCTCCATTCCCCAAGAGCATGGCCCTGGGGGGGACAGGGGGGCAGCTGCTTCCCAAGGTTCCAGCCCACAGACTGAGGGGGAATCCAGTGGCTGATCAGAGAGGGACTGCAGGGATCTCTTTGCCAGTGCTGAGGCAGGAATCTCTTGCTTTGCCCGTGTTTGGATCTAGGTCACAGTTCTGGGCAGCTGTGCTGGGGTGACGAGGAGCACTGGCGTGGAGCAGCTTGTAGTGGCTGTACAGAGGAACCCCTCCTCACAGTTACAGGACAGAAAGGAGTACTTGTGGTCACAGGCCAGGAAAGGAGTAAACACCTTGCCCCTTATCATACCACCTTGGAAGAACTGAAAATTTACAGGTCCCTACAAGTATCTCTGAAAACAGCTACACAAACCCCTGAAGCTTGGGACAGTACATTCTCCACATTGGAAGCAGACTCTTACCTTAACAAAGAGTTTAAAACTCAAGTAATTGGCCAGGATCATGAGCAATCACTGCAAAAAGAGTCATATTATCTTACTTTGGTGAAAAACAAGATCAAAATATACAACCAGAAGAAGACAACAAAGTCAAAGCTCCTACATCCAAAGCCTCCAAGAAAAATATGAATCAGTCCTTGGAAGAGCTCAAAAGGAATTTTGAGAAGTAAGGGAAGTAGAGGAAAAACTGGGAAGAAAAATGAGAGTGATACAAGAAAATCATGAAAAACAAGTCAACAGCTTGCTAAAGGAGACCCAAAAAAATACTGAAGAAAATAACACCTTAAAAAATAGTCTAACCCAAATGGCAAAAGAGGTCTAAAAAGCCAATGAGGAGAAAAGCGCCCTAAAAAGAAAAATTGGCCAAATGGAAAAGGAAGTCCAAAAGATTACTGAAGACAATACTTCCTTAAAAATTAGCATAGAGCAATTAGCAGCTAGTGACTTTATGAGAAATCAAGGCACTGTAAAACAAATCCAAAAGAAAAATTAGAAAACAATGTGAAATATCTCACTGGAAAAACAACTGACCTGGAAAATAGATCCAGGAGAGAGAATTTTAAAATTATTGGACTATCTGAAAGCCATGATCAAAAAAAGAGCCTAGGCATCATCTTTCAAAAAATTATCAAGGAAAACTGCCCTAATATAGTAGAACCAGAGGGCAAAATAGAAATTGAAAGAATCCACAGATCTCCTCCTGAAAGAGATCCCCAAAGGAAAACTCCGAGGAATATCACAGCCAAATTCCAGAGTTCCCAGGTCAAGGAGAAAATATTACAAGCTGCCAGAAGGAAACAATTCAAGTACTGTGGAAACACAATCAGGATAACACAAGATTTAGCAGTATCTACATTAAAGGCATGGAATATAATATTCTGGAGGGCAAAGGAGATAGGATTACAACCAAGAATCACGTACCCAGTAAAACTGAGTATAATCCTTCAGGGGGAAAAATGGTCATTCAGTAAAATAGAGGACTTTCAAGAATTCCTGATGAAAAGACTAGAGCTGAATAGAAAATCTGACTTTCAAATACAGGACTCAAGTGGAACATGAAGAGGTAAACAGGAAAGAGAAATCATAAGAAACTTATTAAAATTGAACTTTTTACATTCCTGCATGGAAAGATGATATTTATAACTCATGAGACCTTTGTCAGTATTAGGGTATTTGAAAGAAAAAAATTATATGTATGTATATATAGATAGATAGATAGAGGGCACAGGGTGAGTTGAAGATGAAGGGTCATATCTGGAGAATAAAATTAAGGGATGAGAGAGGATATACTCAGAGAAGAAGGAGAGGAGATAGAATGGGGTAAATTATCTCACAAAAAAAACAAAACAGAAAAGTCTCTTACAGTGGAGGGGAAGCAGGGGAAGGTTAGAGGGAATGAGTGAATCTTATTCTCATAGGATTTGGCTTAAGGAGGGAATAACATACACATTCAACTGGGTATGGAAATCTGTCTTACCCTACAGGAAAATAGGGGGAGAAGGGGACAAGAGAGCAGGGAGATGATAGAGAGGAGGGCAGATTGGGAAAGGGGGTAATCAGAAGGAAATACTTCTGAGAAGGGAGAGGGTCAAAAGAAAGAATAGAATAAATGGGGGGGGCAGGATAGGATTAAGGGAAATAGAGTTAGTTTTTCACAACACGTCTACTATGGAAGTATTTTGCATAACTGCACATGTATAACCTATATTGAGTTGTTTGCCTTTTCAATGAGGGTGGGTGGGGAGAGAGGAAGACAGAGAATTTGAAACCTAAAGTTTTAAAAACATATGTTTAAAAAAAATGTTTTCACATGCTACTGGGAAATAAGAAATACAGGAGATGGGGTATAGAAGTCTATCCTGCCCTACAGGAAAATAGAAGGGGAAGGGGATAACAGAAGGGGGGAGAGATAGAAGAGAGGACAGACTAGGGGAAGGGATATTCAGAATGCATGCCATCTTGGGCTGGGGGAAGGGGTGAGATGGGGCAAAAATTTGGAACTCAAAAACTTGTGGGAGTGAATGTTGAAAACTAAAAATAAATAAATTTATATTTAAAAAAAAAGATTGTTAATAGATGGGGCAGCTAGGTGGCGCAGTGGATAAAACACCAGGCCTGATTCAGGAAGACCTGAATCCCGCCTCAGACACATAACACGTACTATCTGTGTGACCCTGGGCAAGTCACTTAACCCCACTGCCTAGCCCAAAAAAGGAAAAAAAAAAGATTGTTAATAGGAATATTTGATCCAGGGTAGTATCAAGTTTGATTACTCCAATTTTACAAACTGCAATGCTGAGGCAGTGAGAGGTTAAATGTCTTGCCTATGGTCACCAAGCTCTTACATGGCAGAGCCTGAATTTTAACTTGGGGCTTCTCACTCCCAAGCACCATGGTTGTTATACTATGCTACTGTATTCACTTCACCATTAGAAATATAATCATGAATGTGATTTATTTTTAAGAGCTGAGGTCAAGGGTCAATCATATATATGGTCTATGGTTACTGGACACAACAAAGTTAACTGGATCCCATTGGAATTAAAATAATGATGAAAGCCTTTGTAATATTATTCTCTAACCGACTTATAACTCTTCCTGTATGCATTTAACACACACAAAAATCAGTCTCAGTGTCATCAAAAATCTGCAATATTTTAATAAATACAAATTTTGCACAACTTTTTCTTACCTGGGGCTGTAGAATATGCATATAAGAAGTCTGCCTCAATAGGTATTTTCTGGCATGTTACATCATCATCAGTGCCACTGTCTGTTTCAACACCACAATCCAACTCTGTGCCTCTACATGCCTAGTTAAAAGAAAAAATCAAATACCATGTGTGAAATCTAGGGTTATTTTTTAAGATTTTGAAAATCATTAGTATATGCCTGCTGGGCTTTATATTATAGGTCAGAAACAACTGACTTCATATTTTCTTTGAGGAAGGCCCTGAGTGTGACCACATGAGAGGGCACCTCTACCAACTATTGGACCAAAAAAGTTTATGTCCTTCCTAGTGATTGGTTCAGTTTCAAGGACTCCAAGGGATAGAAATTTTTAGTTATCTGTAACTTGGCAAAAAAAAAATGTATTTTCTTAACATACAGCCCATTAGGTTTTGATTTTTCTAGCCATTATTTTTTTTTCTATCTCTGCCTCCCAGAATCAATAACCAAGTGTTTCAGAAAACTGCTCCTGACATGGTCTGACATGTCCTAGGCCATTCATCCTTTGTGATTTTAAAAGGAGAAAGACATATGCAACTAAACCCTATGTCCTATTATTTGAAATATATTAGCTATAAAACATGGTTATGGGAAAGTAACTGTTCATACTGTAGTCAAGGTACATTTGAGTATTTCTATAGGATTGGCACTGGCCCTATGATTTCATTGATACAGGGAACTCCCAGGTGAGGAAACTCTCTCTACCAATGCAGGTTAGCACTTGAGTCTTTGACAGTGGCCTAGAGCCCTGTGAAGTGTATGATGTGCCCAGGGTCAAAAAGCCAGTGTGTGTTGGGCAGCACTTGATCTCAGGGCTCCTGGCCTCTAGGCCAGATGCTCTCTCCCCATCTATTTTATACATGAAAGAAAATCATAAATTCCAGTCTTTGTCAGTGGAACAAAATAACAATTTATCTTAATTATTTAGAAGAGCTTTTGAACAACCAGAAGTAATTTATTATTTTAAGAACAGAAGTGAGTAGGTTATTAGCTTGGAATCCACAATCTCAAGAAAAGTAACTTCACGTCACCTAATCTAACCTACATCTGATCAGGAATCTCTTCTATAACATTCCTTGTAAGCAACTGTTCAGCCTCCACTTGAAGATCTCTCCCAAGGCAGCCCAGGACACTCTTGGACTTGCTTGCACGCACACACCACACCACACCACACACTCCTTATACTGAGGTAATATCCACCTCTCTGAAACTGCTACCCGCCATCCCAGGTTCTGTCCTCTAGGGCCAAGCATAACAGGCCTAACCTTTTTAGATGACATCCCTTCACACGCCTATCACGTCTGTGTCTCTCTCATGCCCTCCACTTTAAGGACACACGCAGCAACACACACGATGTGCATCTGAGTCCCCACACCAGCCTGGCCACACTGTTCTAGCTTTTCAGGATCCTTCCAAAGACATGACAGCTAAAAATAAATACAATTTTCTAGGTGTGCTTGGATCTTAGTATGTCCCATATGCTGATATGCCTAAACATGGTATAGGTATTTAATATGTATCTATGATATGCTGGTCACCTGTCTTAAAAATCAGATGATTCAGGATCTTCTGGATTTATCATTGACAAGGTTGGAAGAGAGAAACGGAAATCAATAAACTAACAGCTGAATTTCATTTTTATTCCTACTATTCTTTGTTTAGTGGAGGTTTCAAATAAGGAACAGTGAAGTTCCTAAATTAAGGTGTCCCTTAGAATGAGGAAAGCAAAAGGACTTTTGCATATACCACAAACTGAATAACCAATCCCCAAACAATGTTTTACCTGAATAATAAAAAGCTTTGGCTTTCCTGTCAGACTTCTACACTTATCCCCTTTAAAGAAACATGTTAATCTTTTCAGCTCAACAGATCCATCCGTCCCAAAGATGATTCCTTCTTCACCATGACTTAGAATCACGCAAACAAAACTGCTCCTTTGGCTGTGATCTTCTTTAGAAACTTGGATATATTAAAAAAAAATAAACAAAAACACCACTTCAGAACCAGTTCTATGGGAACAATAAAATGAAAGAGGATTGGATTGGGACCTTAAGAGATCCTCTGGTTCAGTTCTTACTTTCAGAAAGTGAGGTACATTTCAAGCATTCCACAAAGTTAGAATGTATTTATACATAACCTTGCAAAATCTCACCCTTTCTTCCACTGGGTTATGTGTAATCATGAGTGTCAGCACCAAACTTGTAGTCATTCTATAAATTATTACTTACCATTGTACATTAATTCAATTATTTCTTTACATGTCAGATCATTTTTATTCCTGACTTCATATTTCAAGTTCTTGAATGTATCCCTGAGGTGTGCTGCATCTACATCTGTACCAGAACGAAATGACATGCCTTTGAAAAGAAAAAGAATGTTTAGTTGCAGTATCAAAATAAACTATTGCTTTGAAAGCAAGTGAGCAAAAAAGATAATAATGATAATAGCTGGCATTTATTAAGTACCTATGATGTACCAGGCACTATGCTAAGCACTTTATAAATTGCCCAGGGTCACAAATCTAGTAAATGTCTAATGCTGAATTTGAACTCGGATCTTCCGGACTCCAGACTCAGTGCTAGTCAATTTTGCCATTAAGTTTTAAAGCTGTTGCCCAACTGACAAAACGTTAAAGGATAAGAACAGGAAGTTTTCACAGGAAGAAATTCAAGCTATCTATATGAAAAATGTTCCAATTTATTAATAACTAGAAAAATACAAATTAAAACTCTAAGGTTTCATCTCACACCCATCAGATTGACAAAGTTGACAAAGATGATAAATATTGGCACACTTGTGGGAAAATGGGCAAATCAATGCACTGTTGATGTAGCTGTGAACCAGATCCAATGAGGAAATTTGGGATTTCCTTTGGAACTACACTACAAAAGTTACTAAATTGTGCATATTCTTTGATCTAGTGGGTATAGGCCAGCTCCATTATTAGATGTATACTCTACAGAGATCGAAGAGGAAAGGGGGTTATGTGCACAAAAATATATTTATCAACTATTTTCATCGTGCCATAGAACTGGAAAATAAGGATTACCTATCAATTAGGGAAAGCCTTAACAAATTCTGGTCTATGAATATAACGGAATACTGTGATCGTGCTGTAAAAAATGATGATATGGACAGTTTCAGAGAAACCCGAGAAGTCTTATATGAGCTGATGCAACAGAAAGGGAGCAGAACCAAGAGGACAATTTATACAACAGCAACAACACTGCAAAGACAAACAACTTTGAAAGACTCAAGAACTGTGATCAACATAATGACCGAGTATGATTGATGATGACACATGCTAGTCACTTTCTCATAAAGGAGATCGACTCGGGGTGCAGAATGATTAATTTTTTGGAAAAAGTAAATGTAGAAATTTGTTCTAAACTACATATTTATACTGAGTGTGGCCTTTATTCTTTTTTTTTCAAGAAGGGAGGGAGGAAGTAGAGAAGAGAGATTTTTGTTAATTAAAAAACTTCCCCCCCCAAGAAACCAGGTGACCAGGTCAAAGGTGGAAACAACTCATAATCCATTCTTTTGAATACAAAGAACACTGAAAGACAAGTTCCAGTTGGATCATAACAATAAAAGTTCTCATTATTCTACTAGAAAAACCCTGTAACTACTTAGCAGTTACAATAGTTTAGTTCACTTAGTGCACAAGTTAACTCCTAACTATATTCAGTGTAATGTTGTCCAATTATTTCACAAGATAATTAACTGCCTTCTGTTAAGGACCTGTTAATGTGTTTTTGTTTCTTTTTTTTTTTTGCATTACCCATACCTAGCACCTGGCACAGAGCTAGGGACAGAGAAGGTGGCCAAATTCTTTAATGGAAAGAGTAGCTATTGTTTTAAACCACAAGACTTTATTTCTCACATCATTTAGTGAGCTACATACACTTCAGAAGATATTTTCATGACAATATGCTGATCTTAATGTGAGACCCTGGGAGATCACCAGTATGGAGGTAGACTCAGAACACTGAGGCCCATTCTGCCTTTCAGTAGTTGTATAACCTTGGCCAAGCCAATCACCTAATCTCTCTGTGCCTCAGTTTCCATCTCTGTAGAGCAAAGGAGTTGGATCAGACAGTTAATAAGGTCCTTTCCAAACAAAAGGTTCTAAGTGTCTAGTCTCAGCTATTTTTTAAATCATGGTTAAATAAAGATACTATTTGGTGACCACCACCAAAAGAGAAACCCAAATGAATCTGTAACCTTGTTCATCTTCAAAACTATTCCTTAATAGTGCGTTTTAGCATACGAAAGGTCAGTTTCTACAAATGAGCCAGTTCAAGTAGATGATGTCTGAGTTCCCTTCCAGCTGTCTATGACCTTTGATCCTTCTAAGTAAAGGCTGCAAGGAAACCCTAGGGAACCTATATTTTGCCTGTAAAACCTTTTAAAGAGATGATCAGGTTTTTAGTTTAGTCACTAGCATTATTAGTGTTGCTGCCCACTCCCTAATGCAAAAGTTGTTGTATGTGTTTGAAAACATTAACTTACCAACTACTGGTCATGGAATGTGGGGAAAATGACAAATACATACCAGTATTTGGGTGAAAATTTTTATTATTGATTATTACACATAGCCCCATTTCTGGATAATCCATTTTATAGCTGTCTGATGACAATCCAGATTCTGCTGACTTGCTACCATGGAGGATCTTTCTGTTTGGAAATGAAATAATATATATTATAGGTAAGAGTCTACAAGTTACTCCATTTTGTCTGGTTTTAGAAAAATTTTAAATAAGTGCATTTAACTTACCAACAAAACATTCAAGAAGAATCAGCTAATTCATTCAGGTTAATCTAGTGAGGTCTTGATAGCAATTACTTACAAGATCCAAAGTAAACCAACAAAAAGTAGAAATTAAGATCGAAAAACTTCTATTTAAACTATTATGTTCAATTAATTGGACTGCTGCTTAATCAGGAAACAAGTATTACAAATACAATAACTAACTAATATGGAAAAAAATTATATACAGCACAATATACTACAAGAAGCACACAATTAAGGAAATGAGAGCTTTTAGATAAGGAGGATATGATATAAAGTCATCACAAATATTAAAATTCATGCATTTGATTCAGAAAAGAGCCCTTCAGGCCCTCATGCAAAACAAGGAAATATAGACTAATTAGAGAAAAAAATCATGGATCCAAGAAGTATAACAGTACGGGAATATCCAGTGTTCAGTATATCTCAATAGTGTCTAAGGTCAAGATGCTTTCACTAATCTTCAGTCTCTCCTTACCTCTACTGGCTGCTTCCTTGCTACCTGTAAATAACATCTATATCTCCCCCACCTTCACAAACACCCCTCCCTTGATCAGTCCATCTGTCTCCTCCTATTTAGTAATGGCTAAACTCCTGAAGAAGGCAGCCTATAACGTGTGCCTCCACTTCCCCTCCTCTCACTCTCTGAAATCTAGCTTTCAACGTCATCATTCAACTAAATCAGCTCTCTCTAACCTACTAATAATCTCTTAATCGCTAAATCTAATGACCTTCTTAAAATCTTCATCCTTCTTCACTACTCTGCATCCTTCAACATTGTTGGTTACCCTCCCCTCCTGGGTTTTCAGGGCAGTGTTCTCCCCTGGTTCTCCTCCTAATTCTCTGATATCTGTTCAGTGTCTTTGGCTGAATCTTATCCATGCTGCATTTGCTAATGAACTGGGAATCCCCAATACTGTGTCATGGGCCCTCTTCTCTTTCTCCTCTACACTCTTTCGTTTGGTGATCTCTTAAGCTCCCATGATTTCAAAGTGATTTCCAAATCTACATATCTAGCTCTCAACTCTCTCTGACCAGTCTTGAATCTTTAACCCCCTTCTGAACATCTTTAACCCCCTTCTGAACATCTCAAATTGGGTGACACCACAAACTCAACATGTCAAAAACTCAGCTCATTATCTATGCCAACCCCAACCCTCAACTCTTCAACCTTTGTCACATCTCACATATAAGTCCCTTTCTTTCCTCTGACAGTGCCACCAACCTAGTACATGCCCTCATATCACTTCACGTCTTCAATCAATGATCTTCTAACCTTAAGTCTCTCCATTTCAGTCCATCCTCCACTCAGCTGTTAAGTGAGCTTCCTAAAGTGCAGGTCTGGCCATGTTACATAGCCGCCGCCCCCCTCTCCCCAAAAAAACCTTTAGTAGCTTACCTCTAGGTGTCAAATATTAAACAAACACACACACACACACACAAACACGCACGCACAGAAGTATTTATTACCTCTAGGATCAAATAGAAAATCTTCCATTTGCTTTTTAGAGCCTTCATAAACTAGTGCCTTCCTATCTTTCCAATCTTCTTACCCCTTACCTCCCTCTAAATACTCTACAACCCACCAACACTGGCCTCTTAGCTGTTCCTCACACAAGACACTCTTATCTCTCAACTGCTTTATTTTTAGACTGGGCCTGCCTATCTTACCCATGCTAGAGGGCCCCTGCATGATCCCACAGACACTCTGACCTGCTCCACTTCCCAGATGGGCTGGTCCATTCCTCCTTAGCATATAAGTGGTGCCCTATTCCCAGGGGCTCTCCATACTGGTGCCAGACTTAGTACAGGCACCTGATTGACTTTAGCCCTATTTCAGCTCAGAACTTTTGAAATCAAAAGCTCCATGAGCCCCAGCCTCCCAGTAGCACAGACTGCAGGACTGGGCCATCAAACTCCACTGGCTAACTGTGCATTTTCACTGGCTGTCCCCTGCGCCTACAATTCTTTCCCTCGTTGCCTCAGACTCCTAGCTTCCCTAGCTCCCCTCATGCATCAGGTAAAATTCTACCTTCAGTAAGACCCCTTTTCTGATCCCCCCAATGCTAGAGCTGTCCCTCTGGGCTAACCTCCCCTTTATTCTCTATATATCTTGTTTGCACATACATAGCTGTCAGCTGGTATCTCTCCCATTCTAAGCACTCAATAAAAGCTTGTTAACTTGACTTGTGTTAGAATTTGTATAGAGTATTTGATGTGCAAAAAAGTGCTGAGTCATCAAAAAGGTTACCTTTATTCAGCATCTTCTATGTTAGTAGCTAAGAAAGTACCGTGCCACTTAAAAACTAGTCACAGATTTAGAGTTGGTTGTGACCTTATGGGCCCCTGAGTGCAGCTCCCTTGTTTTACAGAGAGACAAACTGAGGCCCAGAGAAGTCAGTGACTTGCTTAGGCTCACAGACCTATTAAATACACATTTTTTCAGACTAGAAGAGGAATTTAATTTTGTACATGTTGGGCTTGAGGCGTCACAGAGATAACCAGGAGGCAGTTAGAAAAACACAGGACTAGAACCACTGGGAAGGACTGAGGCTGGAGCTGTCAATTTGAGAATCATTTATTTTCAAGATGAATTGAAGCTACAGAACGAGAGCTATGGAGGAAAAAGTGAGGAGACACCCAGGAAGAGCACCATGGACAGAGCCAGACAGTACAGTGACCTCTCCTGTCAATTTAATAGATCACATTAGCTCACTTGTGGAAATTTTAAAACTTCTTTTATTATGCTTAATGCTAGTTATTAAATTTTTCAAGAAGATGCAGAATTTTTATGGAAATACTTACAGTACTGAACTTTTGGTAGGTTTTGAATCTACTGTAATTTCAGTATTTGCCATGCTGCTTCTATCACTGACAAGAAAACAGAAAAGTTAAACATCAGATTTTTATAGTGTACAAATTTTTTAAATAATTATTCTTTTAGCTTTATATCCCTTATTGTCCCCAACCCCCTACAAATCATCTTGTGTTTCACAGAACTAATGATTCTACTCATTTAGGGAGTCAACACTCTGCCTAGCATAAAACTAATGCAAAATTATAGCTTATTTTCGCTTCAAATAGTCAAATTGTTTGTGGGGAAATGGGAAAGGAGTCAATAGCTTTGGTGAATTGAAAGATATCTTCAAAATATCTTTCCAGAAATAAAAAAGTTGTCAATGTGACATTGCAGAAATCATAAGTAAATGCCTGTGAAAAATAAAGTTCACCTCACTGACTTTCCCATGTAGAAAGGAAGCTATGAGGTAAGAACCTGAAAAGTGTTTCCACAAGCATCCTATATTTTAAGCAATACAAGCAGCATTTGTTGTGAAAGACTGCAATTGTAGAGGATGTGCTGGTAGTGAGACCCCAGACTTTTTAGAGACCCTTCACTTCTCACTGACCCAGACAACTAAGAGGGGAGAAGGTGCCCACCTGTATTAGTAGAGGGCTCTTCCTCAGCAGAATAAACCCTATAGCAATTAAATCACAAGTCCTCTCAAAAATCTGTTAAATTAAATCCCTTATCTGTTGATTATATTTTTGAAGAACAAGCAGCTCTAACCATTTTTCTCCAAATGTTGCTGGTTTTTTTGTTTCTCACTATTTTGATACAGGTCAGTGGTATATATAATGGATTTATAACCTCTCCATACTGAAATACAGATTTTCACTGAAAAGTACACAAATATCCTTTACTTGATCTTACCAACATTTTCCTACAGGACAATGAGGATCCCAGCTAGAAGAGCACTGATGAGTAACATACTAAGCATTACCTCATCCGTATATTACCTAAGGGAATGATGACTTCCTTTTCTGCAGAATTCAATATGCATTTATTTAGGAAGAATGATCTCATTGTGTAAGGCTTGAGGGAAAAGTCTCCCATTAGAAACATTTGCTATTTTTCAAAAAGATTACATCATATATCAGAAAGAATAATAAACAGAAGGCAAATGATTCAAAGATTATTTCAACTTTAACATTTCTGGGTCTGCTCTGAATTTTATCAGCTTTGAAGACATTTCAATTGATACTGTATCTTCCTTTGAAGTCATACTGCTAGTAATTTAAAAAAAATTAAATGGTTATTAGCAAAAGCAGCTTTGAAGATGCCTCCATCAGGTAAGGTTGACTAGTCATAACTAACTGAAGAATGTAAAATCTAAAAATGAGATACAGATATATAATGCTTCATGTACGTAAGTACTAACACACTTATGAGTTGAAGATCACTCATATTACATTTTTTATATCCTCTAGGTATATTCACTGTACTAGTGCTGTGTGGAATTACAATGGAGAGAATGTAATCTTCAGAAAGAAATTCTGGCCAGACTGTGAGTGAAATACAAAGTTTAGATCAGATTAGGGCACTCAAGTAGAATGAATATAACAAAGAACTTGGTGGGTGTGTGTATTGGGGGGGGGAGAGGTCATTACCAACTAGGAAACAAGGGAATCAGGGAAGGTTTTTAGCAATATAGCATGTGGCATTATGATAATCAATAACAGCTAGGATTTACATGGCATTTCACGGTTTACAAATTGTGCCACATAATCCTGCAATTCTGCTTTAGTATTCCATTTAACAACATTTTTTGAATGCCTACTATAGTTGCTGTTCGGTGGCTTCTGCCAAGTCAGACTCCAGGTGACCCTATTTGGGGGTTTTCTGGCAAGAAACTGGAGTGGTTTGCCATCTTCTTTTCCAGTTCATTTTACAGATGAGGAAACTGAGGCAAAAAGCCCAAGGTCTCAAAGCTAGTGTCTTAGGACATATCTGAACTCAAGAAGACAGCTCTTCCTGACTGCAGGCCCAGCACTCTCTGCACTGCACCACCTGGCTGTCCTGCGTACTCTATAATCTGACCTATTCTGCCACTTTTGGCTAAGAGAACACTTGGTAAATACAGAGCAAAGTAGCTGTCCATCCTCCAAGAGTTTCAAAGCCCTACAAACAGCATAGCATGGCAGCTAGAGGTGTGGCAATCGGTAGTAAGACCATTCACTTTATCAGTTCAAAAATTTTTTTCCAAATTCTACAAGGGTCACCTGGGTCCCCCACAAAAATCCCTCACTCTTTGTAGAAAGACCAGAACTGGGTAGGAGAGAGATGATGGAGAAGAAGATATGAAGATAAATAAGACTTGGTCCCTGCCCTCAAGTAGTTTACATTCCAGTAAGGAAGAGGACGTGTCAGGGGAGAATTGTCCCAGAGAGATCTAACAAGCCTGGGTAAAGAGGTATGGGGTACAAAGTACAATTCAACTTTATAGCTGTAAATAAAAACAACAAAAAGGCATCTGCTTCCAGAACCAAGCCTTGGACATTCAGAAGAACACCAAAACATCAAATTGAGGTTTTTCACTGGAGGTCTTGAAAGAGAAATTAAATAACTAGGTGTCAGGGACATTATTGAAGACTTCATGCATCAGGTTAGACAGCTGAGGCCTCTTTTAATCCAGGGAGTTTAAAAATTCTGTGCTGGGAAGTCCCAGCCAAATTCTTTATACTAGGTCTTTCCTTTGCCCTCCAGTGTTGTTTGTAACTTGGCCTCCATCCCAAACATAGGCTATAATCGAATGAAAGCCTTTTCATGTTTGTTCTGGTCATTGCTTTAATAAATTTTAAAACCGCTCTGGGTTTGTGAGGGACAAAGGTGATGTCATGGAGCCTTTAAGACTGACTGGGCCCAGGACCCTTCTGAGGTTGTGTCACTTTGACTAGTGTTCCCAAGTCACATTGGAGGATGAGTATTTTAACAGGCAAATAATATCTTTATATTATGAAAAGAGTTGTGACCTCTGACCCCTGAAAGGGCCTCAGGGATCCCCAGTGTCTAAATTCCACACTTTGAGAACTACTAGGATAGAGGGCTACAGAAAATTATCATTTTTTCCTTCATCCTGGTCAGGTATCACTTAAAAATTGTTTTCCAACTCATTTTGGGACATTGCTGATTATCAACTCAGTTTATATCTTACTTAGTTCTCATTCTGAAGCAACTGCCATTATCAGTTATTGTTTCGTTTATGTTGTTCATATCATAGTCTACATCAAGAGAAGTAAAGAACTGAAAAAATTTAGTATTACTCTAGGAAGAAGCAATATAGTGGAAGAGAAAGAGCTCTTAACTCAGGATCAGAAAACACCACCACCATCACCTGGATTATAAAATTTACTAGTGTTGTAACCCTAGGCTAAGTCACTAAGTCACTTAATCTCTCTAAGCCTCAATACAAAATGGTGATAATACCTATGTCATTATGTCATAGGACCACAGATTTAGAGCTGGAAGGGACATAGATTCTAACCCCTTCATTCTGTAGTTAAGGAAATGGCAAGGGAGGAAAGTAAAGGTCCCACAGATATAGTAAGGTGAACTAAGTCCCACAGATATAGTAAGGGGAACTAGGCTTTCAACCCTGATCCTCTGACTTAAAGTCCAGCATGTTCTCCACTGCATCATGTTGCCTCCATTAATATTTAGGTTTATGTTCTTATTGTAGTTATGAATATTATATATTTACCTGGCATCTTTCATCCAGGATTATTTTGGTTAACCTAATTAGGGAGTAATCAGTTCACATCATTAAAGAAAATGTTATGCTACTTCATTTAAAAAAAAGAACCTGTTTTGTTTCCTCTGTTTTCATTTGTGCCTATTTAGTTTTTTGGAGTAACACTTAGAAAAATATCAGGGGTGATTTCAAAGTGGTTCTGGGAAAAGCAAATTACTGCTGCAGAAATGTGAAACAGTAGTTAAATGCCCTAAACTTTTTGTTTGTTTGTTTTGGCTAGGCAATGGGGGCTAAGTGACTTGCCCAGGGTCACATAGCTAGTGTCAAGTGTCTGAAGCTGGATTTGAACTCAGGTCCTCCTGACTGCAGGGCCAGTGTTCTATCCACTGCACCACCTAGTTGCCCCCATAAATGCCCTAACCTAATGGTTGCAATTGAACTGGGTTTAGAATCAAGAGTCTTTCCAAAAATCACTATATCCTCTCTTTTTGGACTCCAAAATTGCAAAAACACTCAGAGCTGATGAAGTCTTTCCTCAGCATAAGTCAGTCTGGTAAAAATGTTTACTTTATATTGATCTGAGGTTCAAGATTCTGTTACAACAAGCCCCAAAACTCTGCTTTCACTTCCCCAAACATCCTGAATAAACTGAGAGGAAAAAAAAGCAAATTCAAAAGCCAGAAGGGTACAAAATAAAATACTCAGACCTAAATTGAGTGATATTATTTACTCTGCTTTTGCATAGATAGCAGTTTTAAACCAAGGGCAGGGTCAACTTCTTAAAACAACTGAATACTCTAATGAGGAACAAATCTAATCTGACTCAATGTCACCAACAGCGGCTACTTTGTTTCATTTCATATTGTTACAAAAACCCTCCATAATTCAATTTATTAAAGATCCTCTCTGATACACATCTTGTAACAATTTCTGGTACACACCTTCTAACTATAATTTCTGAGGAATCCTTTTCAGATTACATGCAATTAGGAATAGGCTATGGAGTAAGAGATAATACCCTGAAGGGAGAAAGGGCTTGAAGGAATAGAAGTTAATAGATCTAGAGCTGGAAGGACCATTACAGGTATCTAGCTAAGCCCCTTTTACAGGTAAGAAAACAGAAGGTCATAAGGGTGAAGTCACAGACAGGATTTAAACTACAGTCCTCTGATTCCAAAGCCCATGTGCTCTTTCCAGTGCATCACCCAGTGGAAAAAGGACAGGGTGGGAGACACAGACAGACAGACAGACAGACAGACAGACACACACACACACACACACACATACACACAAGGTTAAGTCACAGACAGGATTTAAACTACAGTCCTCTGATTCCAAAGCCCATGTGCTCTTTCCAGTGCATCACCCTTTGGAAGAAGGACAGGGAGGGGCATGGGCACGAACGAACACACACACACACACACACACACACACACACACACACACACACGGTTAAGTCATAGACAGGATTTAAACTACAGTCCTCTGATTCCAAAGCCCATGTGCTCTTTCCAGTGCATCACCCTTTGGAAGAACAGGGAAGGACACACAGACACACAAAGAAACACGTCTCCACATTTGAAAAAGGGCGGTAATTACATATCTCACTTTTGAAAAATGTTTTGGCTCCAGATTAGTAAAGGATCTAAAACATCAACAAAGCCCCCTCCCCAAACCAAAGCCCGGGGAATCCCCAGCTCAACAGTCTAAAAAGGCGAGAACGTCAGGGTCGCCAGGGCACGGTCCCCTTGTTTACTTAAGAAACATTGGCTTAAACTAGGGATAGTCACCCAAGCTGTCACAGCCCTGGGCATGTTTCTAAGGAAACAAAGGGAAAAATCCGCAGACTCACGCTCCCCCGCGGCCCCGGAGCCGTCCCCTCCCCATCCCGGTTGAGTCAAGGCCCCCATCCCCCGCCCCCGGGCCCGCCATCTGCCCGTGTTCTCCCGGCTCCGCGGGTCTTTACCGCAGACCCCTCTGCCCGTTCCAGGGAGAAGCGCTGCGGGCTGTTTGAAGCCTCCTCCCGCACCCGCCCCTTCCCAACCCTGCTAAGCCATGCCCAGACGGCAGACAAAGGCAAGGCCCCCACGCGCAGCAGCAGCAGCCGCGGCACGACGCCGAGCCCTGGGTCTCCTTCTCTTCCGGCCCCCGCCGGGGTCCGGCACCAACAGGCGGAAGGATAAGAGGGAGCGGAGAGAGAAAGAAAGGACGGAGCAGCGCCAGCCCGGGGGCGGGCGGGGAGCGCCCGGGGTGCCACGTTCGGAGGGGGGGGAGGAGTTAGAGCGTCCGACAAAGCTGAGGGGAGGCTGAGCGGGGCACTTACCGCACTACGACCCGCGTCCGATTTCCGCTCCGCACCTCACCACACAGGAGCTACGGCCAATACACTGGAGGACAGGATAGGCCCCGCCCCCTAATGCTCGCTTTTAACCTCGCGGAGCTAAGCCCCCGCCCCGCTACGGTTAGCGCCGCGGTCCCCCACGTCTCTCCCAAGGTGAGCCCCGCCTTCGGCTCGTGCCTACCACTCTTTCCTACGGAGACAGGCTAAATCCCGCCCCTTCTGAAATGAGTGACAAGACTTCTAAGCGGCGCCAATTTCTACATTGGGTCTGGATAAGCCCCGCCCCCTTTGCGTAACCAGGATAAACTCCGCCTCCGCCCCGTCAGTCACTAGCCTCCATGGAGATAGTCCCGCCCCAGCCCTTCCGGGCCTCCGTTCCCCCGCCCTACGCACACGCCTTCATTCAGACGCACCGTGGGCGGGGGCGGCTTTGGCGCCCAATTTGACTCTTCTAACAGTCTCCTCGGCGGGGTCCTAGTTTGGAGCGTTGGGTCCGCGCTGGTAACCGAGAAACTGCCTGGGCCTCCACCACAACCGTCCTCCCCATTTCCCTAGGTAAAATGAGGGCGAACGGCTACCGGTCCCCCGCTTCCCCAGATTAAGAAATGGGGAGGCGGAAGGGGGAAGGGGGGAGTCTAGGACGCAAGAGGGGTCCTGGCCGTGGGCGGGGTGGAGGGGTACGGAAGGCACCGAGGGCCAATCCGCGCAGCGCGGGGGAAGAACGGGATGGGCTACCCCCACGCTGGGCAGACGGGCCCTTGCGTTTGTCTGGGCCACAGTTTTAAATATGGGGCGGGAGAGGGGGCGGGGAAGCGTCGGAATAAACTACCTTGAAGGCCCCTTGTACATTTCCATATATGGTGAGCACTTGGTGCCTCCCCCCTCCCAATACTCTCCCCCAAGCCTAGGTTTCTTATTTGGGTACTGTCTAGTTAGCAAGCAAGCATTAATGGCCTTGCTAATCCCGGCCCTGTGGCAGTCCCTTTAAACTCAGGCTAGGTGACTCCCGCACCTGTCCAGTGAAAGTTTCTGAGCTTCGAGATGACATAGCAGTTTAGTTTTGCAGCAAGTGCCTAATTTCATTCCAAAAGCATTAAGCGCTTGCTGTGTGGCATTAGGGTAGCTAGGTGGCTCAGTAGATACAGCACCAGGACTAGAGTCAGTAAGACTCATCTTTGTGAGTTCAGATTTGATCTCAGACACTTTCCTAGCTGTGTGACCGTGGGCAAGTCACTTAACCCTGTTTGCCTCAGTTTCTCATCTGTCAAATGAGCTGAAGAAGGAAATGACAAACTATTCCAGTATCTTTGCCAAGAACACTCCAAATGGAATCACAAGTGGCAGGACACGACTGAGAACTGAACAACAACAAAATGTGGCTTTGGGAATACAAAAATAAAAATGCCCCCAAGAAGCTGTTGTGGAAGGGGATGGAAGAAGGGATTGAGAGAATATGCACTTCTATAAATGCTAGCAGTCACCGGTCCACAAGCATTTACTAAGTATCTGTTGTGTACCAGGTGCCCAGCTAAACACTGGGAAATATAAAGAAAGGAAAAAACAATACCTACCCTTGTGGAGCATACAATTTAATGGAGGAAAGGTCTGGGGGTAGACTCAGAGGTAAGCTAGGTGCCTCAGTGGCACCCTAATCCAGCTTCAGTGACCCTGGGAAAATCACTTAGCCTCGGTTTGCCTTAATCCACTGAAGAAGTAAATGGCAACCTATTCCTGCACTTTTGCCAAGAGAACCCCATGGACAGTGTGGTCCACAGGATTGGGAAGAGTCGAAACACATTTGAACAAGTCTCAGAGGGAAGATACGAAGATGAAGGGGAATGGGGAAAGGCTTCTAGGAAGTCAAGTGAAACCAAGAGATGAGGATGAGGAGGGAGAAAGTTCCAGGCAGGAGGGACGGCTATTGAAAATTCAAAGAACAGCTTCTGCTCACCTGGAGCTTACAACTCAATGGTGAAGACAAGATGCAGGCAACTGTATACAAACATGACAGAGACAAGGTAAATTGGTTGGGAAAGGCTTGAAGAAATTGGAATTTAGGTTGGAGTTGAAGGATGCCAGGGAAGCCAGGAAGAGGGGAAAGATGGAAACACTTCCAGGCATGAGGAGGACAGCCAATGAAAAATCTTTGCGTTGGGAAATGGAATGTCTTGTGTCAAGAATGGCCAGGAGGCCTGTGGTGCTGGATAGGAGAGTATATAGAAAGACTGGAAAGTTTGGATAAGGCCAGGTTAAAGAGTGCTATAATAGCTTAACAGGATTTTATATTTAATTCTGGGGGTAATAGGGAGGCAGTGAAGTTTGAGTGTGTATGAAAAGCTGTGACTTGGTCTGACAAGCTTCTGGAAGGTTGGTTTGACAGCTGAGTAGAAGATGGATTTGGATTGGGGAAAATTTAAGGCTAAGAGACTTATAACCTGGAGTGAGATGATTAACCAAGTCATTCTTGGTTTTTTCCTCCCCTCCTCCCCCAGCTATTAGGAAGCATACTCCCAAAACTACCTTTGCTTCACTCTGTTTATGTTATCACTCCTATAAATGTAAACTCCTTGGTAGGTAAGGCCATTCTGCTTAGATCAGCCTGGCTTAGATGGATAAACCCTTCCAAGTACTTGCTATTGTACCTTCTACCCAGTGAGTGCTTAATAAATGGTTGTAGACTTACTGAAATAGTCCCTGCTCTCTGGGAGATTACACTTCACGTTTTTTTCTGTCCTTTTGTAAATGCTTTCACCAATTAAAATAACTTGGGTTAGAGTTCATATTGGAAACCAATTGCCAGAATATTACCCAAACGGATTATCCTAATGTCAAAGACAAAAAAAAATGCCAAATGGCTTGACCTTTGTTTGACTCTCCACTTCTATAGCAGCAGACATGTGGAAAAGGGACAAAGTGCTAAGAAGCACACAATTTTTAGATAATTTATAAATTTAACTTCTGCGCCCTAAATATGATCCTTGTGCATGACCTCCGTAAGAGTCCTCCATCAGTGCCTTATTGTGGAAAGGTTGTGACCCTGGAGTCTTGAAGACCGAAAGTAGGGCTAAAGCTGATACTGAAATGGGATGGTCTTAATGACAGGTTGTGATGGCTATCCAAGGATAGTCTCACTAAATAGGCAGGTCACTAGGGAATGCATGTTTTGGCTATGGCAACCTATGAAACAAAAATACAAAGCAGCTCCTATGTTGCATCCTTCTCTTTCTGTAGGAATAGTGACAGTCATGGAAAAGGAGGCAAAGGGTGCTAAAACTCACACAAACTATTGGAAAAAAATAATGGATTGGCATAACTGCTGGGGGAAATGTTTCAGAGATCAAAAGCTATGGACCCATATATCTAGACAGTCTTTATGAGAATAAGCAGGGGCCGACAGTATTTTTAATGAAAATATGAGAGGGGATAGGTAAACTCTTGTAATTAATATTCTATAGCCAACCACATCTTTGCTATCACATGCTTAAATAAAAAGTTTATTGACTCTTAAAAAAACATTAATTCTGTAGAACAAAATGTCACACTAAAGGCTCTTCTATTCATATGTTAAGGTAATAGAAAATTTTGCTTCATAGACACAATACAGATAACTTTGTCAATTCTTTGATCATTAATAGCAGATGAGGCATAAAACAAGTGGCAGAAGTATTTGCCATTGTCATGGAGAATGTTGCAAATGGACCACAGAAAACCTTATATATCATAGATTGTTCTTTCCCCATCAAAAAAATTAAAGAACTTTCTAACATTCTATATTTTTTCCAGGTTGTAAGAGTGAAAAATAAATGATAAAGCCAAAAAGGTGGGATCCTTCCATGTTCTCCCTTTTCTTGTGCTTTATCATGTAGCCTCCTTCCCTCCCATTTTATTCCTACACCCACTGTTCACATTCGACCACAAAAGACAAAGCTAGAATTTTTAACACTTAACATTTATTAACAGTTAGGTGAAGATATATTTGGAGGAGGAATGATGCTATTACTTATGTAACACTTAACACTTATCAAGTTAACTTGATATTGGATTCATTCTTCATAAGAATGGATTTGGGGTAGTTGTGTTCCCTATCTCAACCTATCAAATTATTTAGCTGAACTCTGCGGTGCCTTCTAGCTCTAACCATCCATTCTATGAATTTCCTCAAGTTCCTTCCAAACCACATTCCTTACCACACCAAGGGCTGTTGGGCAAAGTACTGATCTGGGTGAATGTTTGCAGCTTCTTCTGACTTGGCTGTGGTCCATTTTATTCTGAGGCGTTGTTTTTCTTAAAATTGTGGGGAATTCTTGTTGGTTCTTAGTTTATTATTTTCACAGTGGGAAAGGGGGAGCTCTAAGTAAGGTAACCTTTCTTAAATGCATAGTAATGGTTAAAGGGGCAGCTAGGTGTCGCAGTGGAGATAGTTCTGGGCCAGGAGTCTGGAAGACCTGAATTCAAATTCAAACTCAGACCCTTACTAGCTGTGTGACTCTAAGTCACTTAACTTCTGTTTGCTTCAGTTTTTTTTTCATCTGTAAAATGGGGATAATGGCACCTATGTTGCATTGTTGTTGAGGATCACATGATAAACGCTATATAAATGAAAGCTATTATTATTTTTGTTGTTAAAGTGAAACCTAATAGTACATTCATATTCTCCAGCGGTGTCAAAACTTAAAATTTTTAGCACTTTCTCCCACTCTCATCTTTATGAAGGATCATAGGATTTAGAAATGGAAGCTACTTTAGAAATTATTAAGTCCATCCCCTCATTTTTCAGAGAAGGAAGCAAATGCAGAAATACGAACTCACTTGCTGGAGGTTAAACAATTTAAAAATTTTTACTGAAGGAAATAAATTTTAGACATTTAACTTTGTATTCATTTTTCCTCTTTATCAAAACAGAAATTTTGTATCAGTTGAGGATTTCCAGAATTGTAGCATATTAAGATTTATATTTCCGTGGTTTTTGAATCAATGAAAAGAAAATGGGAAGAAAAATTGAAGAAGATTGGAGAACGAGCATCCCAGTATGAAAAAAGACCACTGGGCTCAGTCTATAGGCCCCGGCTGTCTAAGCCAGCGGACCCATCCTCTGTATGGAGGCTGTTTCATCGTCAAGCTCAAGCTTTTAACTTTGTCAGAACCTGTAAAGAGGTAAGATGGCTTCTTCTTCTTTCTTTTTAAAATGTTTTACAGCTTAAGTGTAGATGTGTGTTTTCATGAGCCTTTGGCATCTTTCAGGTTATATCAGGAGCATCTCAATACCACCTGACTTGAGAATAGCCTCCTGGGAGTCTCTAACAACTTACTTTGCATTAACCATGTGTAAACAATTGTAATAGCTGCTACCTCATCAGTGTATATACCTGAACTGCTGTAGGTGAAATTTGCTTGGTTGATGCTACCTGGCACCCGTCTGCCCTTATATTGAGGGCTTCTCACACCCAAAGACAACTAGAGTAGCCTAGTCCCCATTGACTAAGTGACCCAGGAGTTTGGAGAAGTGGGGAGTTCCCTCAAGGCCCTTGTACTCTAGTGACAGTCTGATTATACCAGCTCTTCTGAGGGAGTAAAATAGCTTGTGGTTTCTCTTTGGTAAGTCCCATCTCTTTAACTAGTTATCCAGTAAGACGTCCTGCTACCTGAAATGAGATCAAGTGAAGTAATGTTTGTAAAGTGCTTAGCAAGGTGCCTGGCTCATAGTAAGTGCTACGTAAATGCTTATTCCCTTCCCTTCCTCTACTTCTACCTTAGAAAGTGAAGGGACCGTGTCCTAGCCATGAGGCCAGGTTATCCAATAATTCAGCATTAAGTATGCAGCTCCTTGGATGTCATGTTGAAGAGGAGACAGAGGCTAGGGAATATTGGGTCCTGTAGTTTTATTGTGGCAATTAATGAATAGCCATCCGGGCAATATAAGAAAGATCCTCTCTTCTGTCTCGGAGAGGGAAGTCCTGCTGTCTTCTCTTTAAGCCTCCTAGATTGGCAATCTTCTGGAAATCCTATTCTCTAACATATTCTTTGGCAGCAGTTCCTTTGTCCAGATTGAAACTCCTTGAGTTCTGTTTCTTTAATTTTTCAGGCCCTTGAAGGAGTAGAGAGAGAGATTTTGTTCATCTGAGTTCTCCAGGTGTGTCCATGCTCCTAAGGAACAGAGAAGGTTTAAGAGTAACGGAAGGCTTACCCAGTGTAGCTGTAATCCTCACCCCTCCCCTCATTGCTTCCTCCTAAACAAGTAGCCTGTTTTATTTAGGCTTCCTGGGTCTGCTGAGTTTGTAGCTTATTTGCTTCCTAACTCTCTGAATGATGTGTCTTGCCTTAGCGTGTCTTTGTAGGGGGCTTGTCATAGGGTCACGATATCAGTCTTCCTCTCTGGATCCCGTACTTTCTCTGCCTCTCATTAACAGGGGAAGATAGATATTGAAGAGGAATGATGATGAGGATGATATTTATATAATGCTGTAATAGTGGACAAAAGTACTTTCCCCATGACAGCCCTTTGAGGTATGCAGTAAAATGAGTTCACCTAATTTGATAGTTTGAAAAACTGAGACACAGAAAAGTTTTAACTTGCCTGTGGTCACACTGGCTAATGCTAATAAAATGGCACAGCCTAGGACTTGAATCCAAGTCCAAGTGTTCTTATTGATGTTTTTTTAATCAATCAGCATTTACTAAACTCGAGACACTAGGCAACAAGTCAGTGATCGTGGATTAAACATTTACCGTATGCTGGGTACTGTGCCCAGCCCTGGAATAAATACAAAGATTGAAAGAGGCCCTGCTCTTATTCTATGATATCTTGCTATGGCCTACATGGTAAATTTAAAAGAAACTAGCACTATTTGACTTTTACAACATCCTTTAGTATCAAGAATTTACTTAGCAAGGAAGCCATAAAGGAAAGTTTCAGACAAAAAAAAAAAGGTGATGATGATGGAGATATATTTTAATCCTTATAGCATTTAATTCAACATTTTAGAGACATAAATTACAACCAGCCTCTTTCAAAATACTCTGCACTGTTTAAAGATATTTTCTTTCAACAATTAAATATATTTATATTTTACATATAATTTATACATTCAATGTCATCCCAATTAAATTTTTAAAAATACTTCAATGAATTGGGAAAATAATAAAATTCCTTTTGAGCAACAAAAAGTCAAGAATATCAAAAGAACAAATGAAAAAAAATTTAAAGGAGGCAGGTTTAACATTACCAGATCTTAAATTATATCATAATGCAGTAATTATCAAAACTATCTGGTGCTGGCTAAGAAATGGAAAGGTAGATCAGTGGAACAGAGTAGACCTACAATTTACAGCAGCAAATAAATACGGTAACCTTGTATTTGACGAACGTAAAGACTTAAGTTTGGGGGATAAGAATTCATTATTTGGTTAAAATTGTTGGGAAAATTGGAAATCAGTCTTATGAAAAATAAAAGTTAAGTAGACCCAATAACAGTGATTTCATCTGAAGATGCATATGACATTTTTTAGCACCATTCCTGATGCAGTTTTGGGGTGCCGGCTTGGTTTAGGGATGGCACCCTCAAAATGTCAGGATACAGGGTGGCATTGCCTGGAATGAATTTACCCACCATCTTCCAGTCAAATGGAAAAGTTTATTGTGATGCCAATAGAAGTGGGTGAAGTTCCTTAAGGAACTTGCAAACTAGTAAGGATGCTGCTAGGGCTTATGTGGAAAAGGGACAGAGAAAGAATGTCAAGGATGCTAATTAGGTAATCTGGGGACTTCAGTGGAATGTGCAAGTAGTCCAGGTACCTTGAAAGAAGGTGCCAATGATCTATGGATGGGAAAATTCAGGGAGTCAACAGAGAATACTGTTGATACCTGATATTGGGAAGAAGACAAGTAGAAGAGTTGCTAGAACATGGTCCTTGGGCATCTGGCACCAGGGAAATAGTCCTTAGGCCAAGTACCTGAGATAGCTTTTATCAAAGAAATTCCAGGATGAACCCTGCGAGAGGGAAGGATTTTCTCACAAGAACCTGAGTTGTTTCCAGAGACATGGTCTTAGGGCTGAGACCCAAGCACAAGCCCCCCATCACTTCCACTTCTCTGTTTAAAAAAAAAAAAATGAACAGAAATCGGTTTTCTCTTCCTCCTCTCCATCACCCTGTTGCAGAAAAAAAAAAAGAAAAGAACGCAAATTTCTCTCAGTGGCTGTGTACAAGAATAAATACGTCTCTTCTAGCCCTCTGAATCCATCACATCTCTGTCTTGCAGAGCCTGCTTCTTCCTTGCCCTCTGGAATCCTGGAGGATCATGGTATTGATGGGAATTCTGACAGCTTTCAGAGCTGTTTGTCTTTACAGTGTTGTGATCATTGTACTGATTGTTATTGTGGTTCTTCTCCTTTTGTTCATCAATTTTCAATCTTTAAAAATGTTTGTTTTTGTAATATTGATGTTATGGTATGAGTTGCTCTTCTGACTCTGCATCCTTCCAGTCTGCATCTGTTTACACATGAACCCAAATCTAGGGTTCTTTCCATAATACCTAGAGGAAGAGAAGTAACCAAGGGTAATAGAAAAATAAGGCTACTTCTGTGGGGAAATGATTAGTTAGCTAGAGGAGGGGAACTCTGAGAACTGAAGAAAAGAGAAAATGAAAATCCTGGTGGAGGGCCAACTCACAAACTAGTATCAAATCAAAACAAAAGAAACTTATTAGAGAACTAAAATTCCACTCATCAACAGTGTATCTACTCAAGATTCTAGCAACTCTGCCTCCCCTCCCCCAGAAGAGTCCCCACAGCTGTTCCGTGCATACTAGTCAGCTGTTTTTATCATAACTTCCTGAAAATAGTTTCAGAGATGAGCTAACACCCCCCCCCCAAAAAAAGTAGCTGATCTGTAAACAATCCTGCATGTAACGATTATGGTAGCCAAACTAGGATATTTAACATTGACATAAGAAATCCTGAAGATTATGTTTCGTGATATGAAAATGGTAGTTCCTAATTTATAGAGAAAAATTACTTGTGAATGGTAATGAATTAATTTTTAACTAAGATAGTGAATAACTTACAGTTTAGCTTTCAGGAGTTAAACAGATTTGGACAGGGATTATATAAGCATTTTGGAATATTATTTTTGTCTTTATAAAGGATGTACATGTATTTGCTTTGGAACATAAAGTGGCAGATGGACAACGTATATACCTTGTAACAACTTATTCTCAACTCTGGTTTTACTATAAGTCCCGGTAAGTATCCTATGGAAGCATACATGGGCCCATATGCATATATTTCTTTTCCCTTTCTTGCTTTGTAAGATTAATATAATCAAAATTGGATTTCATAATGGTGATTTAAAGAATTAGTTACTTTGCAAAACCTAATTCTGAAGCAAGAATCATTTTTAAGATTCTTGATAAATTTTTTGTCAGATGTTAGAAAAAAATAATACAACATATGACTTAGGCTCATGGAATGGCCCTTACAGAGGCAAATGTTAAAAGTATACCACTAGAAAAAATTTAATATTCATGTTATCATAAAGAGGTAGATACTTGATTTGATAAGAAAACAAAACAAATACTTGTGATAACAAAAAAATTAGCATGTAACAAATTTATACTGTTGAACAGAGATTGTCCACTTAAATAGAATATGATCCATGAAAGTGTTTTTAATTTTATCAGAATCACATAATAATTGCATTTATTTAATATTTAACAAAGCACTTTAAGAACATTATGTGATATTTTCACGGCAATTCTGTGAAGTAGATAAAACTTCAGTACTCCCCAAACCCCATAATTTTTACTAAAAGTGTGAGTACTCCTTCCATTGGCCGAGCTGGCAGTTCCTCCATGCTACGGCCAAAAAAAAAAAACGAAGCACCTGGTGGCTTACCTTCTGGTGCTGAGCTTCTCTGAACATCTTTTAGCCTTGAGCACCTTCCCAAGCTGGTAAGATCTGTCTGAGAACATGACACCCCCACCCCCAAACTCTGCTAGGTTCTGGCCTGAGAGAGCTCAGGATCACCATGACACTACAAGAAAGTGAAGTCTCAGAGTAGAGACTAGGTTGAAGTAGGCAAATATTATCTCCATTTTGCAGATGGGGAGACGGAAAGCACTTAAGTAACTTGTCCAAGGGAAAAAGTCTATGTTGAACCCCAAGTCCAGTACCTTTTTACATTACCCTGTCATCTACATTGGGGCACTTAGGTGGCCCAGTGGATAAATTGCCAGGCCCGGAGTCAGAAAGACTCATCTTCCTGAGTTCAGATCTGGCCTCAGACACTTACTAGCTGTGTGACCCTAGGCAAGTCACTTAACCTTAAGTTACTTAATTTAAGGCACTGTTTGCTTCAAGTTTCCTCATCTGCCAAATGAGCTGGAGAAGTAATTGGCAAACCATGCCCGAATTTGCACCAAGAAAACCCGAAATGGGGTCACGGATATTTGAACATGACTGAATTGACTGAATACCAATCATGTATATTGTATAATGATACATAGGCAAAACATAATTTAGCAACAGGTCTGCTGTTTTTTAAGTATAGCACAAACGTAACTATGACCCGAAATGTGTTATTTGGATTTTTTAACTTAGGAAAAATCTCATGCACTGCTATGAAGTTATTCCTGAAAATGCTGTTTGCAAGCTTTATTTTGATTTGGAGTTTAGTAAACCTGCCAATCCAGGAGCAGATGGAAAAGAAATGGTTGCACTCCTAATTGAGGTAAAAGCCTAACTATAGACCTAAGTTATTTTTAACGTATCCAATTACATTCCACTCTTATTTATTCAAAAGACATTTATCTAATTTATGATATGTGTGAACTGTTTACTTGCCCTGTTTCTCCCTCCTGACACCCACCTTTTGACTTTTCTCTCTTTGATTTCCACTTGGACCAGACAATGAACAGAATGGCAGGTTGGGTAAGATGTCATACAGTGTATTTAAATTTATTTTAATATAAACTGAATAACCACTGATAAAAATGAATAACCAAACGTACAGAATAAGGAGGAAAATTTTCAATAAAGAGAATCTTCAGCATTTACCAAGGTAGAACCAAAGGAACTAACAAATAAGCTAGAAACAGTTTTGTTCAGTGTGTCCCTTTTTAGGTCTCTATGAAGTTCTATTAAGTTCGTCTTTGTTTAGTTTTTCCTACTTATTTTAAATGTAATTGTAGTGTATGTGTACATAGTTCTGGTTCTATGGATCTCACTTTGGATCACTTCATAAAGGAAAGAACATCATAGATTTAAAGTTGGAAGTGACTAAGAACTAGTCCAGTCCACATCCCTCTGAGGCCCTGAAAGATGATGCAGGTAGGAAGAGGCAGCTGGGATTCAAATGTAGGTGCTCTGACTCAAGATTTTATGAAGGGTCTATTCCGGGTCCAGGCATTGGGGTTTCAGACAGAAATGAAACAGTCTGTCCATTTAGCAGCTGATATTCTCTCAAGGGAGACAACATGTAAGAGTAGGTGAGTAAATACAAGATAATTTTGCAGGGGAGGGACTAGAAGGTTGGGGATCAGGGAAGGCTTCACACAGGAAGTGGTGTTGGAAACTAGGCATTCTGAGAGAAGGAGGTGAGGGGAGGGCATCAGAGGCATTGAGGCTGTCGCCTGTGCCAAGGTGTAGAAACAACAGCTGGAATGTCAGGTGTGAGAAAACAGTTAAAAGGCTTGTTTGGTTGGACCATAGATTTCTTAAAGGGGAATGATTTGTAAGACTGGAAATGTAAATATGAATCAGGTGGCAAAGGACTTTAAATGCAAACCTGAGGAGTTTGTATTGCAGCCTAGACATAATAGAGGACTACTATAGTTTATTGAACAGGGGCCTGACATAGTCAAACCGGTACTGGATGAATATCACTTTGGCAGCTGTGTGGAGCACCAGTTAGCAAGATGTGAGGTGATGAGGGCCTGATTAGGGAGATGCTCCTCCTTGCGTGTAAATAAAGAGACAGATGTAAGAATTCTAAAAATGGACAAGATTTGGGAGCTGTGGATATGTGGATTGAGGGGGAACAAGAAATTGAGGATGACACCAAGGATTCAAGCCTGGGTGAAGGAAAGGACGGTGATGCCCTCAATAGACATTGGAAAGTTCGGAAGAGGAGTGGATTTGTGAGAAAAGTTCTATTTTGGACATGGTAAGTTTGAGATGTCTACAGTACATACTCTGAAATATCTAGTCGGCTGTTGTTGATGGTGAAACTGAGTCTGAGTGCAGCCAGTATGGTTCTGGGAGTCATCTGCATAAAGAAAATAATTGAATCCATGGGAGCCAGTGATGTCACGAAGTGATAGAGAGAGAAGAGAAAAGGGCTCAAGATAGAGTTAAGGCGTGAAATGTGGATGATGATTTAGCAAGCAAAACCAAGAATGAATAGTAGAACAGGAGGAGGACCAAAAGAGAGAAATATCACAAGAGAGTCTGAGGGGAGAAGGTCAGCAGTGTCAAATGGTGCAGAGAGGTTAAGAAAGATGAGGACTAAGGAAAGACCATCTTGTTTGGCAATTAAGAGATCCAAGAGCAGTTTCAGTTAAGTGATAAGATAAGAAGCCAGATTCTGAAAGAGAAGAGAGGAAATAGAGGTAACAAGTATTAACAACTTTTTAAAGTAGTACTGAAGATGGATAGAGAGATATAGAGGATGGTGGTTAGCAGAAGCTAGTAGAATCTAGTAAGGATTTTTTAAGGATAAAGGAGACTTTGGAGTATTTAAAGACAGCAGAGAAGGAACCAATGAAGAGGGAAAGGTTAAACAGTAGAGGAAGAAAAGGGATGAGAGTGAGGGCAATCTATTGAAGACAGGAGGGAAAGGGATTAAAAGTCCATGTGGAAAGGTTGGCCAAAGGGTTTCCTCTTCATCAAAGATTGGAATAATGGAGGAGACACTAGAGGATGATGTCAAAGGGTTATAAGAGGTAGAAGGGGAGAAGAGGGAGCTCTTGGCTAATGGCCTTGATTTTTCTTGGTAAAAGTATAGGGTGCAAGCCCTTTTGGGCAAGAGGGTAAAGGGGTGGGTATTGTGGGAGGCCTGAGGAGAAAATGGAAGGTTTGGTACAGCTGTTATGGTGAGTGGGATAGAGAAGTTAGGGAGATTTACAAAGATGCCTTGCTGCAGTGAGGGCATCTTTGTAAATCTCCCTAACTTCTCTATCCCACTCACCATAACAGCTGTACCATTTGAACACCATTTGAAATCGTCTAACATAAATCTAGTCAACATAGCTGTGTGACTTTTTGCAACCCTATTCAGCAGCAGTTGTATAAGAGGAAAGTCAGTGGACAATGAGATTAATTTAGGGTTGGAGTTGGCCAAGGTGTAAGGGGTTTGAGCTATGAAAAGTTTGAGAGACTAAATCATTTTATTAATTATAAATAGCAAATAATTAATAAAACAGTGGTCATTTGGTCCTCTCTCATAAACCTAAGATGAATCAGGGAGGCCTCTCAATACTAATATGCCCTTTGAAGAGTGGATGTTCCCACAGACAGCGATCATCTCTGATTGGTTAACAATTAATGCGAAAATGAATATTATAATGAGAGGTAGACCTATTCTAATGAGGGACTGGGGGGCATGACTTTGATTATGTCACTCTTACTACAGACCACCCCTCCAGTCTAGGCAAAAGATCTGCCTCCACCCATCCCACCCTAAGCCTGAGTAGAAACACAATGGGCCAGAATTCACCTAGATTAAATTCTCTGCGTAAAAGTTTTTCTAGTTGGGTGGGGTAAATTTTTGGGCAAGGCCAATAATATCCTTCAAAGACTGGCTATATTAACCTACAGGGGTTTATTTCTGAATGAGAAAATAGAAAGAAAATAATCTTAATCTCAATTAATAATTGGTTATTAATATAAGAAAGAAATAATCATTTCTCTCAAGAGCAATAGGAAAAGGGAGTTAAGAGCAGAGGATAATGCAGAGTTGAGCTGGTTAGCCATGGAATACAACTTGGCTTTCTTATTATTCATACCCAGCACTCCTTCTCTTGTCTCCATACCTTCACACTAGCTGTCTTCCATGTATGTCTTCCTTACTTCTGACTCAAAATCCCTGATTTCCTTTCAGTTCAGTACAGTCTTCTGTGTTCCTTCTCAGCTGCTCAGGCCCTGTCTCCTTGCCTGCCAAGGGAGAAATTCAAACCCAATTCAACATTGTCAGAAATGGAAAAATGAATTACAAGTTAAAGTGGAACTGTATTTTTGTGTGTTGGTTTTTTTTAATAAGCATTACTAGATAGAGCACCAGCCCTGAAGTCAGGAAGACCTGAGTTAAACACTTGACACTTACCAGCTGTGTGACCCTGGGAAAGTCACTTAACCCCAATTGCCTAAAAAAAATAAAATAAGCATTACTTTATGAAGATGCTGTCAATATAAACAATGTTACTTTATTTAACATTACCATCCCTCCTTTTTTTTTTAAACAAAAAAGTTGTTATTTTTAGCTTGTTGATTATTTTGCATTAGTCAAATTTACAATTCTTGAAGATTTTTTTGTTAGGCCTAGACCCTAAAAAGATCAAGGAAATAGGAAAGAGATCTTATATGCACAAAACTATTTATAGCAACTTTCTTTTGTGGTGGCAAAAAACTGGAAACTAACAGTGTGACCCATCAGATAAGGAATGGGTGAATAAGTCATAGTATATGAATGTGAGAAGTCCTCTTATGCTATAAGTAGATGATTCCAAAGAGACATGGAACTGATCTGTACGAACTGATGCAGAGTGAAGGAGCAGAACCAGGAGAAACAATTCATATTATAATATCATTAAAAACAAATAATTTTGAGGATTTCTCATTGTAAAGATACACACCTTTGAAAGTTGTAAGAACTTTGATCCATATGCTAACCATCCATGATTACAGAGGACCAACAATGAAACATAACTGCCTGCGTCCTGACAGAAAAGTGGCAGATTTAGGGTGTAGAATGAGACATATATTTATTTTTGTATACAGCCATTGAGGGAACTTGTTTTGCTTGACTTGGCATATTTGTCACAAGGAATTTGTTTTTCTTTTACCCTTTTTAAAAAAATGGGGTGGGAAGAAAGAGGTAGAAAAAATAGATTCCTGTTAATTTAAAAAAACTAAAAAGTATTAAAACATTAAAACAGAAGTTATTACCGCTATGGAAATATACTTTCAGTCGAGCTCACAGTATTGCTAGTTTTACTCTTTTATTTTACTTTGTTGCAGAAGACTTCTTACATGATGGGGATAACCTATAAACGTTTATGACATAAAAACAAAACATCAATGAAACTTTCAAAAAAGAAAATGCTTTGCCTTTTTAGCTTGGAAAATAAAAATTCTTATTTTTACACTTGCATCGAAGGAGTCAGTCAGTAAATTTGTTAAGTACATACTATGTGCCAGGTGCTGTACTAAGTGCTGGGGATACAAAACAAGGTAAAAGACAATGTGCTGTCTCAGTCTAATGAGGGAGAGAACATACAAACAAGCTACATTGAGGAAAAAATGAAGTAAGATTTGAGCCGGGACTTGAAGGAAGCCAGGAATGGAGACGAGGAGGGAAGGCATCAGGATGCAGAGCCAGTGACGATGTCCAAAAGTTGGGATGGAGGTTGGGGTGGGGGGAGTGTCTTGTTTGAGGAACAACAAGGAGTCTAATAGAGAGGGTATAAAGTGAAGGAAGACTGAAAGGGGGAAGAGGGACCAGTTAAGAAAACTTAAAAGTGGATTTTATATTTGATCCCGAAGGTGATAGGGAGCCACCGGAGTTCATTGAGTAGTGGGATGACATGGTCCGAGCTGCACTTGACTCTGACGGCTCTAAAGGCTCATTGGTATGTGTGTACCTGCCGTTGGTCCAGATTACAGTGTATTCTCTACTGGGATTATCACTACCCTTTGTAAAGCCTCTGTAGAGTCTTTTTTTCCAGGTGTTTTAAAGACTCGTTCGCCACTGTTATCCCTGAAAGATTGATCCACTTTTCCCAAGACAGACATCCTTGATGTGATGGCCCTTATTCCACTTTTCAGGTTCCACTCATCACTGACAAGTCTTCATATCCCCACCATGCCTCTTTCGATTGCACTTTGGTTTACCTGTCATCTTAATTATCTTGAAATGATGATGGTCTGTGGTTTACTGTGATACTACACTGCTAATAGAGTAACGTGTTTGTGGTAGCAGTCAACATGAGATCATTAAAAGTGCTTAGTAGTTTCCTAAACGTGATTCATCCTGCCTGTTTTCTCCTGTTCAGTTATGTGCCCAGCTCATCCATATCCAATGCCTAGTCCTGCATGCTATAATCTGAATTCTTCAACTACTTTGTTTTTCCTGTGTGGATTTCTAGATTGTATCTTTTAAAGTGGCTGTGGATGTTCCTGAGGAGGGGCCTTTAGTGTCCTGAGGTTTGATGAAGTCAACACGATGTTATCCACAAACAGAAATAGCCTATGAACCTTGCATCCCTTTGGACTTGGTGCAGGACACACTCCCTGACAGTGGGGAATGTCTTTTTAGCGAATACTTCATTGTTTTTACCTCCTAATGTATCAGTAATCCAGAGAATTAATGAGAAGAACGATCTCTGATTGAATCAGTCAGTGAGGGTTTTACCATCTTAACATTTTACAGGAGTCTCCTTACTGGACAAGAGCATTATGCTCTGCTGAATCAAACTCTTTTTTGGTATAATCAGACATTAAACAGTAGGTTCTTGTAAACACCTCTGTCACTTGTGTGACATGAAGAAATCTTCTGTTATGCAAGAAAGTCTGTAGAAGTCTCTGTTTCCTTCTCATATTTTCATCAGAAATAACCCCTTCAGAGCATTTCTAGAGTATTATCATAAGGATATTATTGCAGTGGCAAAACAGATAGGTGGCTTGGTAGTTGGCTATTGTCTTTTCAATCTTCTGTGGTTCATAATATCATCCCTGGTCTTTTCCATTTTTTTGGACGCTTTCCTTCTCTGATATGCCTTAAAAATCAATGTCTTGATTCTTTTAATGTGCTACATAATGCATAAGTTTCTTCTATGTGTTTGGTCAGATTTATCCATTCTTCCTGACTAAATGCCATTTTCTCATATCTGGTACATGATAATCTATGATTAAAATGGGTTTCTATTCTCAAATGTTGGCAAACTTGCCTTGTTTTTTAATGTATCTGTTGTTCTCCTGCTTGTTTCATGTTTATATGCCCTCAAGATGATCTGTCTTAGCTGGGTCTCACACCAAGCATCCTGCAGGTTGTCTTTTTCACTGCTTTTCTAGGTTTTGTGGGATAATATAGCTCATAATCTGACGTCATTCCACTCCGTGATGAGGAGAATGCAGAAGGCCCCTATTCTAAGCAAATGTTGCTCTTGGCTGTCATGTTGCTCTGCTTGGCACAGAAGTCCACAGTATGTAGGCAGAAGCTGCTTCTAACTCTTTTGACTTCATCTTTGTGATCTCTAGGTAATAGTGATAATCAGAGTCAATGTTTTTCCCTTTATCCATTTAAGAGGATTATAGATTTAGAGATGGAAGGGACCTTAAAAGTCAACTCATCTAACCCCTCATTTTGGAGTTGAGGAAATTGATACCAGAGAGGTTGTGACTCATCCAGGGGGCACAGGAGTTAAATGACAGAGCCAGAATTTGAACCCATGTTCTTTGACTCTGAATCATGCAATCTTTCCACTACACCACACTGCCTCTGAATTATCTCCTTTATCAGAAACAATTGGTATAAAATGGCTTGAGTTGGAGGTGTTTTTTATTTTTTTTAAATTTTTTCCTTTTTTTATATAAATTTATTTATTTTTAGTTTTCAACATTCACTTCCACAAGATTTTGAATTCCAAATTTTCACCCCATCTTGCCCCTCCCCCACCCCAAAAAGGCATGCATTCTGAATACCCCTTCCCCTAGTCTGCCCTCCCTTCTGTCTCTCCCCCCCTTCTCTTATCCCCTTCCTCTTCTCTTTTCCTGTAGGGCAGGATAGATTTCTGTACCCCATTTCCTGTATTTCTTATTTCCCAGTTGCATGTGGAAACATTTTTTTTAAACATGTGTTTTTAAAACTAAGGTAAGGGAAGGTCATAAATACCATCTTTACATCCAGGAATGTAAACAGTTCACTCTTAATAAGTCTCTTATGATTTCTCTTTCCTGATTACCTCTTCATGTTCCACTTGAGTCTTGTACTTGAAAGTTAGATTTTCTGTTTAGCTCTGGTCTTTTCATCAGGAATGCTTGAAAGTCCTCTATTTCATTCAATGACCATTTTTTTCCCTGAAGGATTATACTCAGTTTTGCTGGTTGAATCTTATATTTCAGTGGCTTTATGACCAAATTGAAGAGGGTATGCCCTTTATCAGTTCAGTTAGCAGCCCTTTTGTGTCTTTCGTGTCACGTGTACATATAAATTTTGTGTGTTGAAGTATTTATTGTTAACAGAATTTTGCTGGGCCAGTCTCTAACCTGGGAATGGCTGGAGGCAAAACAACAGCTCAGACACCAGGGTCAGCAATCAAGTAGCAGTTTAATTAGTTAATTTCCGAGTGAGGAAATTCAGGTTCTCCTCAGAGCGCAGGTTTGCAAACCTGCATTTGTGTTTAAATTTGTGTGAGGAATATTTCTGCTTACAGTTTGATTCTGATAAAACCAGTCACTAGGTAGATTCTGTTTGCATTCAAATTCTGTAATATATTTTCTTAAGAAAAATTAAAGCATTCAAACTGCTTATATTCTTGCATTTTTAGCATGTTTGTACGGCCCTTCAAGAGTTATTCAATGTTAATTGTTCAGCAGAAGATGTTCTCAACTTGGATTCCAGCACTGATGAAAAATTTAGCCGACATTTAATATTTCAGCTCCATAATGTTGCATTTAAAAATAATATCCATGTTGGTAAGTGCTTTGATTATTTCTAAATTTTGGTAAACTTAGTTTTTTAAAACCATGGAATTGTGTTGGATGCTGATTTTTTTTTTTGCCCATATCACAATGTATTAAAAGTAGATGTTGAGCTTCATGGATATGAGATGCAGAGTGATACTGTGAAAGGAGAGCTGCATTTGGAATCAGAGGGCCTGGGTTCAAATTCTGGCTCCACTTCCTACTGGTGTGACCTTGGGCAAATCAGTTAATTTCTCTGGGCCTCAGTTTCCCTCGGTGGTAAAATGAGGGGGTTGGATCCCTCCAGCTCTAAAGCTTCACTCCTGCTCTGGTACTGCAGTCTCCACTCTAGTTAGTCTATAACCATTCACTGACCAAATCTTAACCTGCGGAACGCTAACCTGGCTGTGTCAAGCATTTGTCCTGCCCCAACAAGGAAGCATAAGTCTGGGAAAGGACTGAGCCTAGTTATTTAGCATAGAGTTGTAAATAAGGCCCTAATAATAATAACTGCTTGCATTTATATGCACTTTAAAGTTTGCAAAAGAATGCTTTTGAGAAATTGCAACACTCCTTTGCTGACCCAAAGCTTCCCATGAAAACAAAAGTCCATCTTTTCAATCCTAGTATTCTGCTGATTGTTAGTGTATGACAACAAGCCGTGGAACACAATTATGGTTTCTGAAGAAATAACAATGAGTATCACACAGAGGAGACCAGGAGAAGGAGAGCCACATGGTGGGGATAAGGAAGCCCAAGTAACAGTAGTGAAAAACACTATCAGGGAATTGTCTGATAGGAAGAGAAGATGGCCTGAAGATGGGACAAGAATGAGAGATGACAGATGCGAAAATATTGCTTCCCTGGTATGCTGGCAATGTCAGGAAAAAATAAAAAGGGCCTTCCTCACTCTAGGTGACCCCCTATGGCCTACTGTGGGAATATATGGACGAGGTGAATGGGATGGGCAAATTTGGTCGTTATAACCTGCAGCATCAGAGGGAACTCTTAAATCAGTGAGATCACGGATCCATTATCCTTTCCTCACAACAACCTTGTGAGGAGGGATATAGTGCAAGAATTATTATCCCCATTTCACAGATGAGGAAAGAGGTTTTCAGAGACTAAGTGATTTGCCTATGGTCTCAAAGCCAGTGATTTACTGAAATAGTTTTCCTACCCTGGTCTGTTGACTTCAAGACCTTTACTCTTTGCAGGGTACCACATAGTCTCTCCTACCCTTCTAACTGCTCCTTCTCAGTTCTCATTAGCTATTCTCCCTTCTCAAGACTCCTCATGCTTTGTTCTGAAAACTGGTCTCTTCTTTCTCCTTCTGCAATTTCAGCCACTTTCTTGGCTTTAATTATTGTCTCTGTTCCAGTGACTCTCACATCTGTGTTGTTTCCCCTAAATTCCAGTTTCATATTTCTAGTTGTTTACTGGGCATCTCTATCTGGACCTCAAACGTAATGTGTCATATGTTAAACTCATCTTTGTTTTTCTGTCTCCCCTGCCAGGAAATACCCATAAACTTTGCCTCTCTTGTACTTTTCCTATGTTGTTGGCACCCTTGTTAACCCAAGTAACCCAAGATCAAAACCTCTGTGTTTGGTTTTGAAAATATCAAAGAATCTTCCTTCTGTACTCGATTAGAGGTCTGGAGCTGGAAGGGACTTAAGAGTCATCCATCTAGTCCTCTCATTTTACAGATGAGGAAACTGAGGCCCAGGAAGGTTATGTGCAGGCAGCAGTGAGAATGATGAAAAGGGGAATTTCAGAGAAACCTAGTAAGACTTAGATGAACAGATAATACAGATAAAGTGAAGTGAACAAAATGAGAACGTTATTTAAAAGAATCAGTGATGAAGTATGCTATCCACCTCATAGCACAAGATGCAGAAGAAGGCATGTCATTTGAGGGGATGACCAATGTGGAAATTAAGTTTTGCTTGACTATGAATATTTGTTTGCAATTGAGAGGCTGGGGTGAAAGGAGAGGCGGTAGGGATAGGATAGCCAAAAAACATGTATGTATGTGTGTGTATATAAAAGAGGGTTGTGACAAAACCAATATCTACCATGCCTGCCCCCTCTTCCCTAGCCTGGTTAGATTAGATTTTCCCTAAAAGCCAATGAAGCCTGAACTTGGTTAGCCCCATTGTAGGGGCACGGCACAAGCGTTGTCCTCCTGGATGCCTCTTCTTGGTGGCCTCTGGCTGTGTTGACAAGGCTTCCTGGTCATCCAGGGCCATTAAACTTCCTGCTTATGTGGGGGCAATGCCCTTTAGATGTGGTGGATGCATATTACAAAAGAGGGAACGAAGGCTTAGAAAATGTGACTGCCCATGATCAGGTAGTCACAGAGAGGCTCAATTATTGCAAGACCTAGAGATACTGGAGCCTTGGGGAGGAACATTTTTATGAGACAGTTGAGAAAGGCCCAAAGCATTTGATAGAGCCTCAAGAATACAAGTCTAATGAGGCACCAAAATAGGGGACATTGGAGAGACAACTTGTTGTCTAAGCTGGCAAGTGGCCAAGGCCTCTCTGAAGCCTCTAACCCAGCCAGCACACAGGCTACCCTGCTGGCAGATGGCTTTCATTCCCCATGTCATCCAAGTTCATTTACCATCATCTCAAGCCCCTTGATTAATTTTTACTGAGCCAGGCTAGTAATCAAGAAACATAATACCATTTTCTATTTGGAGTACCTTCTGCTCCCTTTTATGTCTTGATCTGTGGGTGTTGATCATTCACCATATCCTGGGGGCAGTTGTGTGTTATTTGCACAGAAAGTCAATGGTTGTGTTTTTGCTTCTTGTCTTCTTACTAATTTACAAGAAATTGAATATGCTTCCTGGAAAATAAAGTGACTAAGTTAGTGCTGTTTAAGGCTGATAGTGGTTTGGTCCTGTTTAGGAATGTTATGACAGTAGAAAATGAAGAAGATTGACGGGGAAGGGGAAGCAGACTTTTTTAGCTAGAGTGAGAGTTTAGTATAAGAGAGATAATGAATTTGTAGTGGTAGTTGTTGATTTGCTTAGTAATTTTATGTGATTTCATCCAGAAGTGTTCATAATGTGAATAAATCTTACAAATTAGGGATTAAAGTCTCTCACAAATACATTTATTGTAACGTTTTAAACTGGAGTAGTCCCCATTTTTACTTAGCCTCGTTCTGTCCAGACCTGTGGTTTCATTGGTATAAGAAAACTCCTGGTGAGAGAATTCCCTCTGCTCCTGACAGGCAGGACCTATTCTGCCAGCAGTATATGATGTGAGGGAACTGCCCAAGGTGCCAAGTGTTTAAAGAATTTGCCCATTGTCACCCAGCCAGTGAGTGTCAGAGGGAGGACCTGAACCTAGGTCTTCCTGACTGATCTGAGGCCAGCTTTCTATCCACAACTCCATGATATCCCTCTTAGGTCCTTGCAGCATTATTAATTTAGCCAGTATTTATGAGTTAAAGCTAAATAATGCACAAACTTAAAAAATCTAATGAAACTCTTGATGGGCCTATTTTTCAATGTGGACAGTCAAGCCAACTAGTATTTATTAAGTATCCACTGTGTGTCAGACTCCCTGCTGAGCACTGAGAATACAGAGGAGCTCACAGGCTCTTAAGTATAGGAAATGCTTCTGATATTCAGTTTTCTCAAAATAAAGGTTTAGGGGGACTTGACCAAAATGCCAAGTATAACACAGAAATATAATTTACTTTTGAAAATCATTTTAAAAAACAAGCCTTAAACTCTATGATGAAGCAGATTTAATTACTCTATCATCCATAATTTTAAATGCAGTTCTCTGAAGAAATTGGAAGGATTTGTCTGTGTTCATCTTGGTCAGTGATTCTGTTGATTCCTCAGTAAATCAGACATGTCTCTAATGACCAGCTCGCCCTTCAACCCTTGCCCTGACCTTTTCTACTCCAGATTGTCTTCCTGCCCTCACTGTAATCCCTCTAGCTTGACTTTCAGTGGCTTTATTAAGGTCAAGTGTGACTCTGTTCTGGGACTAGAAGAATCTGAATCTGAGGGGAAACAGGAGAGCCAGTTGGAGGAGCTCTGAGTAGTGCATTCTCTGAGTGTAACAGGCTATACAGGAATCCCCATCGGCCTCTCGGGTGTTTATCCAGTCTTCTTGAAGACTGGCAGTGACGTAGAAACCATGGCCTCCTGAGATAGCCCGCTCCATTTTGGGATAACTCGTTAAGAAGTTTGTTCTTATATTAACTTGAAGATCACTTCTTTGTAACTTCTACCCATTGCTCCCGGTTCGATCCCCTGAAGCCAAGTACAAGTCCAACCCTTTGGCTTCATACAAGGCCCGCAGATGCTGCAAGACACTGGCACGTTCTTCTCCAGTCTAAGTTTTCCTGGTTAGTTCAGTTGGTCCTCATGTGGCATGGTTTCCAGTCATCTCACTGTCCCTCTTACCTTCCTTGGGACATGTCCTACTCGATGTCCTTAAAATGTAGTGCCCACAGCAGAACATTCCAGATGTGGATTAGTAAAAATGCTAGGGCTGGTGGGGCTGGGATAGCTAAAGCCAGCAACAGTGGCTAGAGGAGTAGGGGAATGGCATTGAATGGGTCCATGGGATCAACTGATGGAACCCTTTCACTGAGTGGAAGTAACGTGCTTGGGCGTGAGCCATAAATTCCGAGTTACTGTTCAGACCCGTTGTTAAGGTTGTTTGCTCACTTAGTCCTTTTGCTTATTTCCTTTCCTTATGCACTGTGCACATAGGTCCAAAGTAGAAGGGAAAATATTGACTTACTCTGAAGGTGTAGAAAACTTGCCCTTATGTAGATATGGTTAACACTAGAAGTTTTACATTGAATAAAACAATTGCTTAAATTAATTGTATCTATTTTCTTTAAGGTAATTTTGTTAGAAAAATTTTGCAATCTGTGATTGTATTAGAGGATGGTAAAATTAATAACAAGATACCAGAAATACCAGGACACATAATTTCCTCTTCTTCAAAAACAATAGTGAAACCAGAAACCTCTTTTACAAACGTATCTGAAGATAAAAATACTGCGAAAAGCCAGCCGTTTAATTCATGTAAGGTAGAAGATTTGGGGACATCACAGCAAAATGCACCAGATCTTTCTTTTTTAATTGTGAAGAATAAAGGAGGAGATGATCACCTTTTTGTAGACATGGGTATGTAAAATTTTGTGCATTCATATGTAAATTCATAACTGTTGGAATTGTTATTCTATCTAGGTAGCTTTGGACTAGCCTCAAAGGAAATTGGGAGAAATGGATTTTGGAGGGCTGATCAAGGAATAGTACTGTTGAAAGGAAAATTCTTCATTTGGGCTTTCACCTTGACTAATCAGGCAAAACTCAGGACAAAAAGAATTAAAAGGAGTTTATTATAAGTACATCAAGGTAGCAGCTGATGGGCAGATCAGTGATAGCTTCAAGGTGGGGCCAGATTTTACTGTTAACTTTAAAGACAGTTTGGATAGGTCCATCTCAGCAAAAGGGGTTGAGCCCTTGCATCTCAGTTCCTCCCCAAGGTAGCAAGTATGTGGCCATTTGTAGGTAGGGCTTTGTGACAAAGAGCAGATAACATAAAAAGCTGTGAACGGTGTTGCCTTCCCCAAACAGAGCCTGTCCCAACCCTGAGCAAGGCTCAGAACTAAGTCAATATAACTTTCAATAACACACAGATCCGGCCATGCTAGTCACCAGTAGCCAAACACTGTGTCTACCCTGCCCCTTAACAATGTCTCATATGTCATATATATCCAGTTCCTAAAAGGCTTGACCCCTAAGGAAGAGAAGGTAAGGGAATAGGCATTGATATAGCACCTACTTTGTGCCAGGCATGTGCTGAGCACTTTTTACAAGTCTTATTTCATTTGTTCTTCACAGCAGCCTTGCAGGTAAGTGGAAACTGAGGTAAACAGGTTAAGTCACTTGCCCAGGGTCACACAGCCAATAAATATATGAGGCCAGATTTGAACTTTTGGTCTTCCTGATTCCAGGCCCACTGCTCTATTCACTGAGCACCAGCTGCCCAAAGAGTCTGCTTACAGGCCTAATAGGAACATTTTAATAATGATTTGCTTGGGGGAATTAGTCCATTTATGTAATAATGGAGAACTGTATTCTTAAATGTTCCTTGACAATTTCAGAGAAGACTTGAATATCCTGTCAAAGAAAAGTTTTCTTTTGTAACCTTGGATAAAAAGCTAATTTTTTCCCATATATGCCTAATGTAGACACAATAATAAAGTATTTACTGGTTATGAAAAGTATTATTTAAAAATTATTTAATAGATCACATAGCAATAATACTTTACAGTGCCTAAAATGCTTTAAGATTGACTGTAAATATTACAAAACCCATTCCACAGATGAGGAAACTGAGTCTTAGGTTAAATGAATTGTCCTCTGACATGCAATTACTAAGAGACCCAAATTCACATCTTCTGACCAGACCTTTTTTCATTGTGTCACAATGATTTCTCAAAATTAATATCTTTTTCTTTGTTGTTTACATGTATATATTATGTAGGAGTTTATACAAGAAATAGAAACTTCCGGCTGTATAAATCATCAAAACTGGGCAAATGTGTGTCCTTGGAAGTAGCTGAAGATAACAAATTTTTTCCAAAACAATCAAAGACTGTTTCTGAAGAAAACCAGTATTTCCTTTCTTCTTTGGTCACCAACATCAGGTATGCAGTGCCAGAATTAAGCTTTTCATTTATTTGTGATAATTGTGGCAACATTTATCAAAGAAGATCTGATGGTATCAGATGTGAGGCCTCTGCATTCCCTGGAGTCATCACTTCTAATATTGGAGATTAGTGCCTCTCTAGGTCAGGAGAACGGTCTCCCAAAAGAGAACTGCTGAGAAAGGGGAGGTTGTATCATCGACCTGCATTTGATTCAGGAGCTGTCTCACATCTTTCTGGTTCTTTATCTGGGGTAGAAAGAGCATCAGTCTGGTGTCAGGGGCCTCGGGAGCCTTTTCACGGCCCCTCCCTCATCCACACGTAGGACCTCAGAGCCTTGTTATTTAGACATCTATGCATTCAAATAGAGTTGAAGTCATTTCCCTTGAAATGAGCAAGAATCCTGGAGAGTAGGGACTCTTTCCTCTTCCCTTCTCTCTTGATCACACCTCCCCTCCACCTTCCTCTGCCCTTGGGGGGGAAGGGGGGAGATGGGCAGGGCCCGGAGTTATCACCCAGCATTCAGTCTGTTATCTAGTCCAGTTTCCTTGTCTGCAAGACAACATTCATCATACAATTAATGACCAGACTAGAAGCTTTTTGTACTGCACAGAGCACTGGGCCTAGGAAGATCTGAGTTCAAACCCAGCCTCAGGATGCTTAATAGCTGCGTGAACCTGGGCAAGTCACTTAACCTCTGTCTTTCTTAGTTTCCTCATCTGTAAAACGGGGATAATAATACCACCTCTCACCGGGGTTGTTGTGAGGATCAAATGAGATATTACAATAAGCACAGTGCCTGGCTTATAGTAGGCATTATATATATATATATATGCTTAGTTCCTTCCTTCCCACCAGCCTCTGAATCAGAAGATCAGAGTTCCAGCCATGACTCTTGACACTCACTAGTTATGTGGCTATAGGTAAATCACTGAGCCATCTTTAAGATGGGGATGATAATAATAACACTGGGGCTACCTGTTTCCTGGAGTGGTTGTATAGAAAGGGCTTTGTAAGCCTTCTGGTGTTATCTCTGTGAATGTGGTGATGATATTAGAACCTGGGCTTCCTGACTACCTATTTAGAGATTTGTCTAGTGCACTACATCACTCTTCTGATTTTCAGGCAAAAGAGCCATTTAAGTCCCTACTATGTGCCAAATGCTGCACTAATTGTGCTTCAGGTTGTAGCTGCAGCAACCCTTATTCACCTTCTCGTCAGAGGGAGTGACTTATCCAATAGCTGTCGCCTTCCTTTTGAGGGAGAAAGGGGGATTATGTGGGTAAATGTGGTGCTACAGATGTTGAACAAATAGTATTTAAATGGTTTAATATTTTGTTTTTATATTTTTTATTTTTTAAATATTGTTTTCCCTGGCATTTTGTTCTTTAATACTAAGTAATGGCATTTTAACTTTCTCCGTTTATATTCTCAGATTTTCAGACACTTTACGAATCCTTACCTGTGATGAACCTCTAAGTAAACAAAAAAGGACTGAATGTTTTAACAGTGCCAGTACTAAAGGTATGCTATTTAAAATATTTTATATATTTACTATTTCTTAAAAGTTTATTGTCCTTCCCACTACCCTAATACTGACAGAGGTCTCATGAGTTACAAATATCATCTTTCCATGCAGGAATGTGAACAGTTCAACCTTAATAAATCTGTTATGATTTCTCTTTCCTGTTTACCTCTTCATGTTCCACTTGAGTCTTGTATTTGAAAGTCAAATTTTCTATTCAGCTCTGATCTTTTCATCAAGAATGCTTGAAAGTCCTCTATTTCACTGAATGACCATTTTTTTCCCCTGAAGGATTATACTCAGTTTTGCTGAGTAGGTCGTTCTTAGTGGTAATCCTATCTCCTTTGCCCCCCCAGAATATTATATTCCATGCCCTGTGGTCCTTTAATGTAGTAGCTGCTAAATCTTGTGTTATCCTGATTGTGTTTCTTAAATTGTTTCTTTCTGGCTGCTTGTAATATTTTCTCCTGGGATTCACCTGGGAACTCTGGAATTTGGCTACAATATTCCTAGGAGTTTTCCTTTGGGGATCTCTTTCAGGAGGAGATCTGTGGATTCTTTCAATTTCTATTTTGCCCTCTGGTTCTAAAATATCAGGGCAGTTTTCCTTGATAATTTCTTGAAAGATGATGTCTAGGCTCTTTTTTTGATCATGGCTTTCAGATAGTCCAATAATTTTTAAATTGTCTCTCCTGGATCTATTTTCCAGGTCAGTTGTTTTTCCAATGAGATATTTCACATTGCTTTCTAATTTTTCATACTTTTGGATTTGTTTTACAGTGTCTTGATTTCTCATAAAGTCACTAGCTTCCAATTGCTCTATTCTAATTTTAAGGAAGTATTTTGGATGGATAGATAGATAGATAGATAGATAGTTAGATAGAGGGCACAGGGTGAGTTGAAGATGAAGGGGTCCTATCTGGAGAATAAAATTAAGGGATGAGAGAGGATTATACTAGGAGAAAGAATAGGGAGAGGTAGAATGGGGTAAATTATCTCACAAAAAAAAACAGAAAAGAAAAGGCTCTTACAGTGGAGGGGAAATGGGGGAAGGTGAGAGGGAATGAGTGAATCTTATTCTCATGGGGTATGGAAATCTGTCTTACCCTATAGGAAAATAGAGGGGGGGAAGGGGACAAGAGAGCAGGGGGATGATAGAGACGAGGGCAGATTGGGAAAGGAGGTAATCAGGAGCAAATATTTCTGAGGAGGGACAGGGTCAAAAGAAAGAATAGAATAAATGGGGGGACAGGATAGGATTAAGGGAAATAGAGTTAGTTTTTCACAGCATGTCTACTATGGAAGTGTTTTGCATAACTGCACATGTATAACCTATATTGAGTTGCTTGCCTTTTCAATGAGGGCGGGTGGGGAGGGAAGAAGGGAGAGAATTTGGAACCCAAAATTTTAAAAACACATGTTTTAAAAAAAAAGTTTTCACATGCAACTGGGAAATAAGAAATACAGGAAATGGGATACAGAAGTTTGTCCTGCCCTACAGGAAAATAGAAGGAGAAGGTGATAAGAGAAGCGGGGGAGAGATAGAAGAGAGGGAAGACATGGGGAAGGGGTATTCAGAATGCCTGCCATCTTGGGGTGGGGGGAGGGGCGAGATGGGGTGAAAATTTGGAACTCAAAATCTTGTGGAAGTAGATGTTGAAAACTAAAAATAAATAAATTTATATTTAAAAAAGAAAAAAGTTTATTGTCTTAAAATTAAATGAGACCTTTTATATGCACAAATGTTCTTGTTATAGATTTCTCATTTTAAAAACTGTGAAATCATGCACTTTAAATCAAAAATCGGGGTTTACCCAAACTACTAAGGAGTAGCAAAATTGGCCTGATTTTGAGTTTCACTCTCATTCTTTCCTGAGCTACTCTCTCATTGCCAAAAGGCAAATAGGAGGGGAGGGAAAACAAAACAAAAACAGGAAAATGTGGGCACCTGGGCTGAAAAAATCTACAGCCCCTGAATAAGTACAATCTAGCTGTGTATCTTTTAGCTCTTGAGTAGTTTACACATTCCCTTTCTTTTGTTGCAGTGGGTGTCATTGAAGGCTTCCAGTGCTCACCATACCCTGAAATTGATAACTTTGTTCTTTCTTTGGTGAATAAGAATGGCGTTAAGGGAGGTAAATGTCTTTGTTGTTTATTAAGTATTGCTTAGGTGTTGTTCTGTTGAATTTACAAATATTGTTGATGTTTCAGGAATTCGGTGTTGGAACTACTTTTTCCCAGAAGAATTACTTGTTTATGATATTTCGAAGTATCGCTGGTGTGGAAATATTAAAAGAGCCCACAAGAGTAATAATATAATGTAAGTAAATGCTTAGTGTTTTAAAGAAAGAGTTACACATATTTTTATAAATTTATTGCCATTTCAGATTGGGTTTTTGCACAGAATTTTATTAAATTTATAGTTACAGTTTATTTCTAGTAATGTATATCAACTACATTTGATTTTTATTTATGTGCTACCTGATAAACATTTTACTTGATAAGCATTTACTTGGCTTAGTCTGAAGTCTCAAGCTAAGGAGAGCTGTTTGAGCTGGGAATGGGAATGTAATCCCCCAGAGTCAGGAACAGAAGTGGGATTAGCATGAGTTTAGTATGTGGGGAACCCTGAAAAGGGAGAGCAGAAACACCCTTGTGTTATCTACCTTTGCACTGTTACCCACCACCCATTTAACTCAAATTCAACTTGAATCAATCAAAGCTAGTGCAAACTACTTAGTTTGTCTGCAGCCTAATCCTATTATTTGAGGTGCCCTGGATGGAGCACTGAGATCTGAATTCAAATCACCTTCAGACACTTGCTAGCTATGTGATCCTGGGCAAGTCATTTAACCCTTGTTTGGCTCAGTTCCTCATCTGTAAAATGAGGACACACTGGAGAAGGAAATGGCAAATCATTCTAATATATGTTTGCCAAGATACTAATGTAGAGTCAGATAAAACTGAACAACAGTATTCCCATTTTCTGAATGAGGAGCTGAGGTTACTCTCATCTCACCTCCTCATTATATCTTACCAGTCAGATTGTCTTACTTTGCCAGGGGAGGTCCAAATAACGTACTGTCAGGCTGATCAGAAGGAACACATCTAGGTCAGCCCTCATTGGGGTCTTTTGGTCATTGAGAGAGGCCTTTTACCCAATTTATGGGTTACTGCTAGCCTAATAAATTAATTATGCTTGGACTCTCAGTCTACTCTAATTTTCAAACATAATAGCACTGTGAGATATAAAGGCACAGATGCAGTCCCCCCTACTCTTCTTCCTTCTGCCTCCTGAATGTCACAAGTTCTTGGACCTTTGCTCTGCTCTGTGTGGATGACTCCCAAATCTATAGTTTCATCATAGGAGTATCTTCCAAGTCTTGGGTGTGCATGTTTAGTGAACATTTGTAGTTGCTTTAAGTTAAACACATGCCTTACTAGCTCTGGGGCACTGGTTGCAGCACTTAACATCTCTGGGTCAAAAAAAAAAATTTTAAATATCTCTGGGCCGCAGATTCTTATATGTAAAATGAAGAGTCTAGACTTGATGGTCTCCAAAGGGCTCTCCTGGCTCCGATTCCTGTGTTCTGTGTCTAAAACCAGACTCGTCATTGCAAGGCAGAATGGTCCAGTGAAAAGAGTTAAGGATGCCTAGATTTGAATCCTGGCTCTGTCCCCGTCTGTAATGTGGGGCAAGTCAGTTTGCCTCTCTGGGCCTCAGTTTCCTCATCTGTAAAATAAAGGGGTTGAAAAGATGACCTTTAAGAACCATTCCAACTCTAAATCTATTTTCTTATGATCCCTCTCAACACAGGACTCCATCTCATAACTTCCTTTCTGTCATTCTCACAGACACTCTAAGGCTTGAAACATCAGCATCACCCTCCAAGAACTTCTTGGGGTTAAAAGAGATCTTAGAGATCGTCTAATCCAACCCTCTTGTTTTTTCATTGAGGAAACTGAGGTACAGTGAGGACGAATGCCTAGCCGGGAGTCCTGACCTGACTCGTAGAACACTGCTCTCTCCACTATACCCGTCTCCCCAGCACAAGCCCTTCTCACTGTGCCCAAAATACTGCTTGTGATTTTCTGTCTTTTTGTCATCCCACTCAACGGGGTGTTTTCAGTTGAAATCCTACTGTCCATTTTCAAGATCATCTCCTCCAAGAGGCTTTCCTGCATCATTGCATGTCACTCTTGATTTTTACTGGTTCAGTATTTCCATCCTGTGGGGAATAATTGTTAGCTTTTCACCCATCTTTTGTCTCCTAAAGTTGACTGTTACTATCTCAAAGGCAGGGGCCTTTTTTTACACTCCTTTGTATCCTGCATAGTTCATGGCGTGGTGCCTTGCATAGGGACATATAATAAGTGGTTAGTGGATACTTGATTGATGGCAGACAGCAGCAAATTTTTTTAGTAATAATTCTTATTATTTATTATTTTAATGTTTTGCACTGTGCAATTATAAAGGGCTCAGCCTGGTCTCAGAGAAGAGTTGAAAAAGTGTGCCTCCCTTCCCTGTTTACAGAGAGGTGAGGGAACTATGGGTGGGGGAAACACTGCATAAACTGTCAGACAAAGCTAATACAGCTTGGTTTGCAGAACTTTTTTTTTCCCTTTTAAAAATTCTCCATTACAACAGACTTGCTGAAGAGGGGAAAGAGAGGTGCTGAAAAATGAGGATAATCAATAAAAATAAGAATCTCTCAACTGATCCATTAATGCTGGAAAGCAATCTGGAATTACGCTTAAAAAGAAAAAAGTTATGAAAATGTCTATACCCTTTGACCCAAAGAGCCCACGCTGGGCATCTGCTCCAAGGAAGTAAAAATCAGAGGGTTCCACCATGAACCCCAAAATTCTCCGTGGCACTTTCGAGTAGCAAAGAACTGGAAATAAGGTACAGACCCATCAGTTGGTGGTGGGCAAACAAATGGGATGGCGGAGCTCATATTTTATAGATGAATAAACTGAAGGTCAGGTGACTAGCCTCAGGCCAGCAGGTAGTGTCAGAGGTGAGGTGACCATCTGAGCCAGCGCTCTTCCCAGATTGATTCAGAATGAAATAAGCAGAATGAGGAAAACAATTCATAATGTAAATAATGAAAAAGATATATGCTAAGACCTTTATTCCTTAAAACTATTAATAACCTTGGCCCTGGAGAAAAGCTGAGAAAGCGCACCTCCTTCCCTTCCCTTCTTTGTAGAGGTGGGGCAGTATGGGTGTAGAACATTGCATGTACTGTCAGATTCGGATGATTGCTGGTTGATCTTGCCTTTTTTGTTGTTACAAAGGATGGTTCATTGTATAGGGGAGGGGAATAGATAGAAATGAAGGTGATTTTAAAAATAAAAATGACAATAAATTTTTTAAAAAGTAATGTGCTAAAGGATTAGGAGACTTAATATTTATATTTATATTTGAAGGATTCTGGTGGATCTGAAAAATGAGGTTTGGTATCAAAAATGTCATGACCCTGTCTGCAGAGCAGAAAACTTCAAATCAGATTGTGAGTTATTGATTTTTTTAATACAGTTTTTCCAGCAATTAAAAAACTACATGTTTATTTTAAGCAATAAATAAAAATTTCTCCCTGATTTAGGTTTCCCATTACCAACTGAAGTGTGCCTCTTATATCTGTTCAAAGAGGTATGTGCTATTTTTTTTTTGTTATTTTATGCTAGCTAACTTGTCTTTGAATTAAAGGTATGCATGTTTATGAATATGAAATCCAAGTCATTCTGAAACTTAAGAAAAAGCTTCCTATCCCATTCTCCTCTCCCCCAAATATGTATGATTAGCGTGACATAAAGGATAAGGATGGTTGCTATTACTGTTCTCTTGTATGTTCATTTTTGGAATTTCATTCATACTCTGGCCAACCCTTCTCAGAAATATCAAACCATTAGTGCAGACAAATGTAGAGCTCAGTGCAACAATCTGAACAGCTGGTTCCTTACATTACAAATTTAGTAAGCTTTTGGGGGGGGTGTGTATACATATAATTGGGATATGTAGAAATTATCTGCTGTGTAGAATGGATAAAGAAGGTTGAAGAGTAATTATCAGGGCGAAAGAAAAGAGAGTCTTTTGGAGAAAGGGACCAAGGGAAATCCTTTTTGTATGGAGTTATTCCTTTTGTAAATATATGTACTTACCGAATAAAACAAGTTGGTACTTAAAAGACGTTAGAAAACAAGTAATAGTCCAAAGAAAAAAAGAGAGATTCATTTAAAATAGAAAGTGAAAGACAACTGAATTAACAAAACTAAGAGGAGACTTTTTAGAACGATCAATAAAGTTGACAAACTGTTTACTAGCAAGTAAATTACAATTACAAATCACAAATAAGAAAGACAACTCCTCAGAATTAGAAAGGAAGGAGGGGCCATTACAAATTCAAAATAATTTCACCAGTAAATGTACACAGCTACATGCCGATATACTGAAAACTTAAGCAAAAGGGATAGATGACTATTTGAAAAACTATAAATTAACAAAATCAGAAATAAATAACAATTTCATTAGAAGAAATAAGAGAAGCAATCAATGAATTAACCTATAAAAAAAGACTTCACTCAGATGGATTTATTGGTGAATTTTTTCCAAAGCTTCAAAGAATAAATAATTCATATATTGACTTTCTAAATGTAGTGAAAGATGAAGTGTTATCCATTTCTTTTTATGAGACATATATGGTATCCTAAAGCTTAAAGACAAACACTAAAAAGAAATTATAGACCATTCATTAATGAATATAGATGTAAAAATATCAAAGAGAATATCTATCAAAGAGAAAATGGTATTAGAAATTTTAGTAATTGTGAGAGGGGAAAAGTAAATTTACAAGGTTTAACAGGAAATCAAAAGATCAGGAAAAGATCATTTATTGCAGATAATTTGTTTACTTAGAAGCCTTATCAGTTGCAACAAAAATTAGAGAAAAATTAATTCATATCTACCCCTACCCTCAATTTAAAATGGGGGAGAAGATCCTTTTAACAAATAAACATAATCAAGCAATATCCCTTATAACCAGGAATAACTTACCCTGCAAAGCTGGGTAAAATTAAAATTACCTTTAATGGAATAGAAACAAGAACTGTTTTATAATGGTTTAAAATCTGGATGGGCAAGTTTACTTTATTCTCCTTGTGTTTATACTAGAAGCTTCCAGGGCTTGTGTGATTCTGACTGTGGCTTCTTGATACTTTTATTTTCTTTTTGGATGTTTGCAGTATATTTTCTTTGACCTGAAAGCTCTGGATTTTGACTATGACATTAATGGAACTTTTTAGGGCCTTTTTTTCCAGGAGGTAATTAGATTCTTAATATTTTCACTTTGCTTTCTGGTTCTAATAGATTTGGGCAACTTTTCATTTCCTGAAAGTGTCCAAGTTTGTTTTTTTAGTAGTTTACAGAGAGTCCAACAATTGTTAAATTTCTTCTCCTCTTATTTTTTCCCTCTATCTCTGGATCTGCAAGTATTCTTTATAGTTATTGTCTTAGGTTTACTCATTTATCAAGCTTTAGTTCCTGAACTGCGGCTTTGTCATGGTTAGGCTCTGGCCTCCAGTGCACTTTTGGATGAGGTGGGCAAGCCTGATTGGACTCCTCCTGGCTTTTTGTGCGGACCTGCACCTCCTGGGCTTAGGCCTCCTTCTAGGCTTTCAGGTTCAGAGTGCCGCATCTTTGGGGCCTTCCATGGCATCTCAGTCTGAGCACTTCCTCATCCCAAATGTTTAGTGCCACTCCTGGTCACTTGCAAAGTTCATACTGTAGCTCACCTGGCTGGATTTTCCATCTCCAGAGACAGAGGTTTGTATGCCATGTATCTCAGCTGGCCCTGTCTCATTTGGTCTGGTATGATTTTTATGAAATGTGGGAGCTGGGCTGCCTGCCTCAAGTCTCTAATTTTTTTTTTTAGGATGATGAAGACCACATTTTGAATGGAACCGAAACTAGGAACACTGGAACTGACCCAAAATCCTCCAATTCACAAGAATTATCTCCTAGTATACTGACAGGAGGGGTGCCTTCAGACACAGACTGGGATGACGGGATTGATGATGCCTGGTTTCTGGAAGCTGTTGAAGATGCTGAGTTAGCTGAAGCTGCAAAGAAGAGTCTGGCCAGTGACAGCCCCATAGAGGATGAGATTCCGGATGCACTTCTCATAGAAGTGTTAGAAGAACAGAAAACAAATAGGAGTATAATTTGACTTCAAAGAGCGGCTAAAGGTAAAATTTAGAAATTCACTGTTGTGAGCTGTCATAGAGGAGAATCAGGTAGACTTGGGCTCAAGTCCCAGCATCTGTGTGCCATACTGGCTGTGTGCCTGACCCTGGGCAACCCACGTAAGCTCCTTGGTACTAGAACAGGCAACTTTCTAGGACCATCAGTTGCAGAGGAGGTGCTGACCTTACCTGAGAATTATCTAGCCTCTTGAAATCACAGGTCTAGTCCAGAGCTTTATAAACTGATCATTACAGTACCTATTATTGAATTTTTTTTCTTTTTGAACATTTTCTTAATTATTACTAGAAATTCTATTAAATGCTGATATTTTAATGGTCCTATTATATATCATAACCTATGATCACTAATACAGATCTGACACTGTTCTAGACCCCTGTACTTGGATGTCATTCCATGTCACAGACACAAGGGCCCCAGTATGTGAAGTATTAGTTAAACAAAAGCCCCAAGTTAATATTAACCTGCATAAAGTATGCCAACAATACGGGTACAGTAGAGTCTGTCAGTCAAGAATCCAGGCCACGAACAAACTTGCAAACCCTAGGCCCATGAAGCTTACAAAGTCAGACACCACCTCCTCAGCCAATCACAATGCTCAGGGAGCTGAAGCAAAGGTAAGAAATAATTAATTACTTTCCTCCCCACCGCTCTTGAGAAGCAAGGAAAACTGGGCAAATATCACTGAAATTTCAGAAATTAAGACTTTTCCCACATAAAACAGAAAAGTTTTGGAGCCAGCTTTGGGACTGCCACCCCTAAGTAGATCTGAGACTGCATCTGAAACTAAGCTGGCTTCTTAAATAGCTAGTGTCAGTCACTAAGCATTTATTAAACATTGTACATACAAAGAAAAGCAAAAACATGGTCCCTGCCTTTGAGGAACGTATACGTAGACTGGAAATAGAAGGGAGAAAGAATCAGGAAAGGCCTCCTGCAGAAGGTGGAATTGCAGCTGAAGGATCTAAGAGGAAGAGCATTCCAGTGGTGGAGGGTGAGGAGGCACAGGACAAAGGCCAGTATTACTGGATTATAGAGGAAGAACCCTGGAAAAGGAAGGAGGGACGCAGACTGTGAAGGGCTTTAAAAGTCAAAGAGAAGATTTTCTTTTTGTTCCTGGAGGTAAAAGGAAAACAACAGGGTTGATGAGTAGAGGAAGATCAGCGCTCAGAGCTGGACTCTAGGAAGATCACTTTGGCAGCTGAGTGGCAGATGGTCTGGGGGTAGGGAGCCCAGCCAGAAGGGGGACAGCCTGGGGAGTAGGGAAGGGGATATACACAAGAGATGTTGGAAAGATAGGTGGGTGAAGTGTGAGTGACAAGGCAAGCCTGGGTGATTCAAAGGGTAGAGTTTTGTTCAGTTTGGTTGGTTCAGTTGTGTTTAAGTCTTCATGACCTCATTTGAAATTTTCTTGGCTGAGTGGTTTCATCTTCAGCTCATTTTATAGATGAGGAACTGAAGTAAATGGGGTTAAGTGATTTGCTCAGGGTCACAGAGCTAGTGTCTGAGGCCAGCCTGATGCTCTATCCACTGCATCACCTAGCTGCCCCAGAGTTTTGGGGGGAAAGAGAATGAATTGGTTTGGACGTGTTGAGTTTTAGATGTTGAGTAGACATCCTGTTCAGAATGTCTAAGAGATATTTAGTGATGTAATACTAGAGCTCAGGAGAGAAGTTAGGCTTGAATATATGGATCTGGGAATCATTTGCATGGAGATAAGAACCAATGATATTGCTGAGTTAGACAGCATAGAGGGAAAAGAGAACGGTGCTCACGACAGACCCTTGGGGATACATCCACAATGGACACCCAAAATGTAGCCCCCTAAAACCCCCAGGCATCTGCTAACTTGAAAGGCGTCACTGGGATACACAAGCTTTGTCTGTGGTCTGTCTTTCACCTCAGGCCTATTAACCCTGGCTTCTACTGCTTAAATAATATGGAAAATGAGCAAGAGAGCTTGAACAAATCTCCTGCTCCTTTAAAAGAACTATAGACTTAGAATAAAACAAATTCAGACATCCAAAACCTGTGGGCAATTCAACAAATTCATTTTTTTTGAGTCACTTTTGACTGGATAAATGAAATGGTCAAAATAGATATTACCAACAGCTATTTGAAAAAAAATACCCTGTTTCACTAATGATAGAAACGCACATTAAAATCACACTGAAATGTCACATTAAACTGCTGAAAATGAAATTACAAGGGCTGCGGGAAGACAAGCACATGTGAAAGCTATGAAATGGTCCAAATATTCTCTGGAAAATAATGTCAAATTATTGCTCCCCACTCCCACCAAAAAAAAATAGGCCACTAAACTGATCAGGCCCCATGACTAGGTTTATAAACTCCAAGGAGTTCACTGACAGAAAGGCTCTGTTACATCCCCCAACATTCACGGCTGCACTGTGTGTTACAGTAAAAAGCTGGAAACAAATAACATTGCCTGTTTATTGTGGGAAAAACTGAAGAAATTGTGGTACATAAATATAACGGGATGTTTTCTTAGAAAACAACAAATATGAAGGATTCTAAAAACAGGATATATATGAACTGATAACAGGGAAATAAGTTAAATCGGGACAACAGTACACATGTCAACAAGAACCAAAACAAAACCCAACTGTGATTTTAATAGCGAGACTTGGCACCAAAAGAATTGAAAAACTACAAAAAAAGAGAAAAATCTAGGTGTTAGTTTCACACAACTGCTTTGGGGTTTGGTTTGGTTTTTAATAAAATGGAAGTCTTGCTGGATTGGGAGAAAGGAGTCAATCATGACACAGTCTGAAAGTCAATATATGATGCAAAAATAAAAAAAAGGGTCAGGGGGATGGTGAAATATGTGGGCAGTATGAGCAGCATATAGAATGTTACATGCGTGCCATGCATCCCTTCCATTTTTTTAGAGTTAAGAAAAAATACTATGGTTTAGAAAAGTGTTTTTTTTTTTCAACAAGTAACTATGGATTCACTCAAAGTTTTAAGTCTGTTTTGAAATGCTTTAATAGACCAAGGCAGGCTACAGATTACAAAGGCTATTAGTTGAACTACCCAGGCAAAATAATTAGAAATAACAGTTGTTCTATTTGGTACATTATATAATCTAATTTTGCAGATTTTTAGTACTGCAAAATTAATACTGTCATTCAGAAATGAAATTCAGTGGAGAAAATAGTAACACGTTAGTCCATCCTCAACTATTTTGGTCAGTGTTTTAAACATATATACATATATATTATATAATACACACATGTATTATCAAAGAATAATATGTACAACTCAAAGTAAATCTCTAACAAACATCTTTTTAAGTTATTCACAAAACCTACAGACCTTCACTACACAGGAATTACTCTAAAGTATTTCTACACAGGAATTACTCTAACATATTTTTTTAATAATGGCTTTTATATTTAATCAAGCACAATTTAATTATCTCCAAGAAAAAGTTTATTCCAAGGTATGCATAAGGCAGGTTCCCTCTCATTTGTGGTCAACAAGCTGTTGAAGGTGACAGTTGATCTTTTTCAGGTGTTGTGCTGCTCCTGAAATGCCTCTTGCTTCAAACAGCAGAGCTGGCAGGCTGGACAGGTCATACTGTTGAAGGAAGAGTAAATGAAATGACTGGAGTGAGAATGATCAAGACGAATGAGTCAAGGCACTCACCTCCCATTAGCTACACCTTACAGTCCAGCGTCACTGTGACTTGCCTTCTGTTCTGGTGCAGGGAAGGAGCGCGCTAGCCTTTGGATGCGAAGCCCTGGGCTTGAATCATCACAAAATGTGCAACTTTGGACAAGTTACATCTCCTAAAAGGGCTTTGCTGGATGACAGACAAGCTCTCAAGCCTAGACATTCTTGACCCCTGTGAGCAGCACAAGCACAGGACCAGTGATGCAGTTTAAAGATGATTCATAATGACCAGAGCATGCCAAGGTCCTGTTCAGACTAGCCCTGCTGCCCATGTGGTATCTGGGAGATTTATTTTAGGCTTTGGAGCCTCCTCTCATAGTCTGTTTAATAATAAGTTGTGCCTTCATAAAGTAAAATAAAGGCAAAAGAAAACATACAATTAAAAGAAACCATTAGAAAGGGGGGAGGGGAGAAATCCACAGATACTGCTGCATGTACTCATTTAAGACCGCACAGAACACTGAGATAATTATTACAGCAGGATTTCCTGCCATGCTCCCGGTGGCAAATTGAGTTTATCAGGCTAGTTACTAGTTTGCTCTTTTCCTCCTGGAGTCATACTGTGATAAAGTTAACTTGTTTTATTACAAAGTAGATTGGTTTTATATATCTATATATAAATATATATAGATATATATACTCAAAGTAGACAGATATATAATTAATATATGTAAAATTCATTTTAAAAAATCATTGGTTCTTTAGTTTTCTGGAAAGTTTCCTAAAATATAAATATAGTAAAACAACTTCTTTCAGCTTTCAGAATGTTGTCACCATTCCCATAAAACAGTGCCCCATTTTACTGATTAGGAAACTGAAACTGGTGAAGTGACTTGCTGAGGGCCACTCCAGGCGCAGTACTATAGTTGAACTTAATAAATGCTTGCTGACTGATTCTAGTGAAAAGTGGCAACAAGTGGAGTTAATTGGTTTCCTTGAATTAAAAAAAAAATACAATAATTAGCCTTAGTAATTTGTACAAAAAAATTTATCCTTGGGATTTGTATAAAAGGTATATAATAAGCCTTACCTCAAATTTTCGGTAAGCAAAGACCATTAGCTTCAAATAAAGCATGACTTTAAATTTTCTCTATTGCTTTCAAGTAGAGTTAAAGTACTTAAAATCACTTCAGAGTGTTATGAATTTATATTGCCTCCAGTGATGTTTGCAGCTAGGTGATGCCTACATACACACATACACATTATGGATAGAAGGCCAGGTCTGGAGTTAGGAAGATCTGAGTTCAAATTCAGCCTCAGGCACTTACTAGCAGTGGGCAAGTCACTTAACCTGTGCCTCAGTTTCCTCATCTGTAAGATGGGGATAACAGCACCAACCTCATAGGATTACTGTGAGAATCCAATACCATTTGCAGAACGCTGTAAACTTTCAATGAAGCACTGAGTACTGGCTATTCTACTGACCTGGCTGGTCTATGACCTTGATAGAGCTGACCCAAACTGTCTTATAAGGACATTAAGAACATGTCACAAACATATAAAGAGACTATTTCTCCTGAAGTACAGTGAAGAAACCAAAATAAGCTCAAGTGACACTCACTTTTTCTCTCTCTGTTGGGGTTTTCCTTTTAAGAGCTGCATAGTCATGATGAAGCTGTTTCAAATTGGATAAAAACCATGTTGCTTCTGTGAGAGAAGATTTTCTTTCTTTAAGTTCCTCATATTTTATCTGTAGGTGTTTCAACTTTGGTTCAGTCCTGAAACAAACACTTTTGCCATAAGCACAAGCAGAAGTATAGCTACAGGCTCCCCGAGTGGCCAACGCAAGGCCTTCACTGCGTCTTCCCTTTCCTCTCCCCCTCCTGCTGTCTCATCTCCTAGACCAAAAGCAACACGAGGGCAGAAGTGATAACAAAGCTTGCAGCTTCCCCAACACAGCACAGGGCTCCAGAGCAGTGGGAGCTTTATAAATGTTTCTAAATAAAAATAAAGGGCTAGACTGCAATATATGTAGTGCCACCCACTTTTAAAATTGTGATTTTATCAAGTATTTTGGCATATAATTTTAGTTCAGAAAATCTATAAATGTATATGGTATGTGCTATCAGGCATAGCAATCGACACGAAGCACCTACTATGTACTAAGCACCGGCAATACAAAAAAGGGGCAAAAGACAGTCGCTGCTTTCAAGAAGCTCACAATCTAATGGGGAGACAGTGTGCAAGTAAAATACAAGATAAACAGAAAACAGTACACAGAGGGTCTAAGACACTACAACTAAGAGGCTTGGGGAAGGTTTCCTGTGAAAGACAAGATTTTGGTCGGAGCTTAAAGGAAGCCGGGGAGCTGAGCAGCTAGAGCAGAGGAAGGAGGGAATTCTAGGCTCAAAGCTGATGGTGTGGTTAGTTCATGGGACAGCCGAGAGGCCAGCGTGATGGGGAGGAAGGTGTAAGAAGATTGTGCGAAGGAGGCTCTGGATGACTGTCTACAAACCTGGTAGTGCTACTAAGCACTGATAAGGCTCTTCTAATGACCTGGCTGGTCTGTGAGTAACACGTGACCTTGACAGAGCCAACCCAAACTGTCTATTAAAATGTCGTATAAAGACACTATGACACTTGACACTTACTAGCTGTGTGACCCTGGGCAAGTCACTTAACCCCGACTGCCTCACAAAAAAAACAAAAACAAAAACACAAAAAAAGACATTACGGACATGTCACAAACATGTCAAAGGGATTTTGAATTCTGTTTGTTCCTGGAGGCAACAGGGAGCCGCTGGAGTTTACTGAGTAGGGGAGCGACTTGGTTGGAACTGCGCTTTAGGAAAATCACTTTAGTAGAGAATGGACTGGAATGTAGACAGACCTGAGGCAGGCAGACCCACCAGCAGCTATTGCAACAGAACAGGCATTCGGTGATGTGGGCTCGCACCAGAGTGGCAGCAACGTCAGAGAACAAGGTGTATCCAGGAGATGCTGCAAAGGTGGAGTCAATGAAACTGGCCATGACAACAAGTTGGATATGGAGGGTGAGAGAGAGTGAGGTGACTTAGCTTGTGAGTGTGAGGGACCAAGAGGATGGTGTCACTCTCTACAGTAATAGAGAAGGTAGGAGTTAGGGGACATTTAGGGGGAAAGATTATGAGCTCTATTTTGGACATACTGAGTTCAAGAGATCTGAAAAGCAGCAGGAGATACAAGACTGCTGGTCAGCATAGAGATTGGGGCAGGAAAGGCAGATTTGAGAATCATCGGCATAGAGATGTTAACTAAATTTGTGAAGCTGATGAGATCCTCAAGGGAAGTACCATGTACTACAAGGGGGAAGAGAAGAAAGCACAGTTAGATGGGTAGGAGAACCAGAAGAGAGCGGTGTCAGAGGGTGCAGAGAGGTCATGGGTAAGGAGGTCTGAGAAGAGGCACAGGCTGTATGCAGGTGCCTTTAAGGGGTCTACCTACAGAGGGGACAGAAGAGAAATAGGATTAACAGCAGGAATGGATGGAAGGATAGAGAGGGAGACACTGAGGTTAAGGAAGCTCTGATCCCTAGAGTTTCCTGATGTTTAAAAAAAAGAGTATTCGATATACTAACTATATGGACCAAATGATTCATTTTGCACAGAAAGCATCATTAACAACCATAAAACACTGTGGACATGGAACATTAGAAATTTTTAAAATGGCTTTTAGGCTCCTCAAAATGAATTGCTGGATTATAACATAAAATTGATATTTTAGAGCCCCTGAGAAGACAAATATTGGAATATACCTGAGCAAAATATTCTCATATTTAAAACTGTAGGCTCTTTAAGGCCAACTTCCAAATATGTGACCTTCACGAAGGGAAACCTTGAGAAAGGTCACCAGATTGGGAGTCAGGAGAACAAGGACCTGATCTTTACTTTGTCCTTGGGGCTGGCACTAAATCACCCTGGGCCACAACATCACGTGTAATAGGAAGATATCTGACCAGATTGTCTACAATTCTATTCCTTTTTATCTTTCTTATATGGTTCTGTAACTGCTTTCTGCTCTGGCCTCCCCTAAAGTTGATCAGTTAATCAAAATGCATCCATTAAGCACTTGCTATGTGTGCCAAGCATCATGCTAGGCACTAGGGATACAAAGAAAGGTTACAAAAAAGTCCTTGCACCCAGCGAAAACGAGCATGATCTTTCAGGGGAAGAGATGGACGTTCAAGGAAACAGGGGACTTCCAAACCTTCCTGATAAAAAGACCAGAGCTCAACAGAAAATCTGATCTTCAAATATAAGACTCAATAAGAGACATAAAAAGGTAAACGGGACAGAAAGAAACAACATGTTATTAATAAGGGCAAACTGTTTACATCCCTACAAGGGAAGATGATGCTTGTAACTCTTGAGAACTGTATTGTTATTACACCATGTTAAAGGGGTATACATAAAGGGGGAGGGTATAAATTGACTTTTATGTAATGATGAAAAAAATCAGATCAAGTGGGTTAAATGGATCAAAGTAAGTGAATTAATCTGATCTAAGAAAATGTACTGAGAGAAAAGGAAAGGAGGAGGCAGACCAAGGGTAAGTTACATCACAGGAAAAGGCACAAAAACCTATTGCAGCAGAGGGAAAGAAGGGAGGGAGATGAGCATTGTCTGAACCTTACTCTCATCAGATTTGGCTCAAGAAGGGAGTAACAATCAGTTAGGTACAGAAATCTAACATGCCCTATAGGCAGTAGGAGGGAAAAGGGAGGTGGGACTGAGGAAGGCAGTAGTCAAAAGCAAAACATTAGTGAGGAAGGAAAAGGAGAAAGAAAAGCATAAACGGGGCGGGGGGGGAAGGATGGAGAGAAAGACACAGATAGTAATCATAATTGTGAATGTGATATATGAATATAATGTGCTATAAGAAATGATGGAACAGGCAGACTTCGGATAAACCTGGAAAGACGAGTATGGTTAGATACTGAGTGAAGTGAGCAGAACCAAGAGAATGTGACACAGTGACAGCCACACTGAGTGATGATTGACTCTGACAGACTTAACCCTTCTCAGTAATACAAGGATGTAAGACATCTCCAAAGGCCTCATGATGGAAAATGCTACCCACATCCAAAGAAAGAACTATGGAGTTTGAATGCAGATCGAAGCAGACTATTTATTTGCCGTGCTATTTTTTTCCCTTCTATTGTGTTTTGTTTCCTCTTTCTGGTGGTTCCTCCTATTGGTTCCAGTTCTTCCTTACAAAATCACTAATGTGAAAATATGTTTAATAGGAATGTATATGTGGAGCCTATAGCAGATTGTGTGCCATCTTGGGGCAGGAGGGGGAGAGAAATTTAAAACTCAAAAGCTTATGGAAGTGATTGTTGATAAATTAAAATAAATTAATTAAAAAAAGAAAGTAAAACAAAGTTAATGGTTCTGGTACTGAGTTCCTGGGCCTCATTTGTGCAAGCTGCTAGTGACCTGGTAATTAGGTGTAGGTTATGTCACCAAAGAAGAGAGAAATTATTAATATCCAATGATTTGGAGAGATTCAGAGATCCCCCTTTTTCTATACTCCTCATTTCAAAGTTCAGTCTCTTGAAGAGCATTACTAATAATGAGACTGAATTAACTCTCCTCAAGCTTGGTCAGACCCCACCCAACCTTCTACTCAGGTGTGAGTAGGGATAAATTTTTTGAATAGATTGCCCAAGCCTGGGTAATTTAGAAGTAAATAACATAATCGAAGTTTATTAGAAGAGCTCCAGCCCCTCATTGTAATAATCATTTTCTTTCACTAATTGTTAACCGATCAGACTTGACTGCCACCCTTAGGAACACCCCTTTTCCAAGGGCACATAAGCTGTGAACAAACCACCATGATGATAGTCTTTGGCATTCAAGAATGCCACTAACTTCTTATCAAAACGCTAGCATTATTAATAAAATAACTAGTTACCCAGAAAAAAAAAGTCCTTGCCCTCAAAAAGCTCATACTCTAATGAAGGAGACAACACAAATAATTGTACATACAAGATATATAGTAGAGAGGAGGAGTAGTCTCATGGGGAAAAACTACAGGATGGGGGATTTGTGCTGAGACCTGAAGGAAGCCAGGAGAGACAGGTGAGGAGGAGAGACATACCAGGGGGAAGGGGCTCGAGTTATACAGAGCTTTCAGAGCCAACCAAAAAGAGATTCATCTCACTCCTTTTTTAGCATCCCCCACAGTCCTGGTCACAAAGTAGGCACTTCAACATGGGTTGAAGAAATGATTTAATGTGCCCTTCACGATGCCCAACGTCTGCTGGCCGACCGATGGGGCAGGCCCAGCCTACGGCCCCACAGTGCCTCACGTCACCCTCTCCCTGCATCAGGCCCAACCAAAGCATCAGGCCCAACCAAAGCACCTACTTCTTTGTTACAGATGTGAGCTCCGAAGATGAGACCCACCGGACGTCCCTGTGAAATGGACACTGTTGGGCTTTTGAGTCGGTGAAAAGCAGCAAGATAGCCCAACGCTAGGCACCTCTGGACATTGGTGATGGAAGCTTTTCTAGGTTCACTGTAAAGCTGGGTCTTACAACCACGGAGCCCAGTGAGACTCTTAACCTCTCTGGACCTCAATCAGATGTAAAGAGAAGGATTAGTTTAGACCAAGGGTGGGGATCCTGTGGCCTCAGAGCCACATGTGGCCTGCTGGGTCCTTCCTTGGGTGCAGCTTTTTGGTCGAGTTCAAATTTTAAAAAACAAATCCTTTTATGAAGGGGATTTGTTCTGTGAAGTCTGGATTCAGTCAAAGGGCTGCACTTGAGGGCCTAGAGGGCCACATGTGACCTCCAGGCTGCAGGTTCCCCACCCTTGCTCTAGACCTTTCAGTGCTAAAATCCTTTGAATCACTTACCTAATTAGTTGGTTTTGGGCTTCAAACAAACACTTCCTTTTCTTATTGATATCTGTAATCACCTAAATAACACAGTAATCGTTACCATCACCATTACCACACCATATTATATGTATATAGAGCTTTAAGTACTCATAATAATATTATTATAACAGCTAACATTTATATAGTGCTTACTGTGTGCCAGGCACTGTACTAAGCAGTAATCATAATAGATTCTCACGGCAACCCTGAAAGGTAGGTGCTATTATCATCCCCATTGTAGAGATAAGGAAATTGAGGCAAACAGAGGTAAAATGATTTGTCTAGGGTCACACAGCTAGTGAGTGCTCAAGGCCTGGTCTGACCCCAGGTCTTCCTGTCTCCAGGCCCTACAGCCTAGCCACTTGACCATCCCCCTGCCCCAAGCAGAAACAGCATGTTATCTTGGAAAGACTCAGACTTAGGAGGTCATTGGGATCATAGCCCAACCCCCTCACATAACCAGCAAGGTTACATGGTTCACCCAAATTCTGTTAAGAGGTCCCCGACCTTGTCTTTTTGAGTTGCCGTATTTTCCTGAAGCACTGGCCGCAGAGCATGAAGGATGCTGTGAATGTGTGTCAAGAACAAACCTCCCCACCACTGGCATAATTTGTTATTTGCACTCCAAACCAGATCCCCTGTGTGTCCTTCTGAGGCAAGACAAGCACCAGCCAGTCTGTGCCAGACTGGGAAAATGTTTGCACAACTGGGGTGCTTTGCAGATAAGCAGACCCTCCTATCTTCATAATCTAGCTGTTCCCAAGGGAAAAGAATGTGGCTTTTGCCATCACCTTGCTCCTCCATTTCAGGAGGGGTTTTCAGCCTCTTCCCACCTTTACTGCACCTTTCCCTTCCCATACCATGCCCCTTTAGATGGAAATATGTTTTCTCTCCTCTATTTGTCGCACAGCCATAAGTAGGCAAACCTGTAAGGATTATGAACTCTTTGGGTTCTACATGCATGTTCACTTATCTTGTAATAAACCTGGTTTTCACATAAGTCTTGTGACGTTGTGATTGCTTGCTGACAATTCACACGAGGAGTAACTTATGTGAAATAGGATTTGAACCCAACTCCTCAGACTGCAGAAGCAGGGCTCTTTCCGTTGTACCACCCTGCCTCTGTGGTTAGAAGGGGCCTTAGAGAAAATGTAGAAATGAGCCAAGAGAACTAGTTAGCTCACCATCCATGGCTCAGCAGGGAGTGCATGAAGGAATCCAAAGTCTTATGGAGGTAATAAAGTGCTGTCACTTAGCACAGGAGTGACCACTTTGGTCTTTAGCCTCCTCATCTATGAAAGGACACCCACCTCCAAGTCCCTTCCAGGGTAAATCTAGATGATCCCGTATGGAATCAGGACAAGAGTCAACTCCTGGCTCACACACGTACTGTCGTATGAACTTGACTTCAAATGCAAGGAAAGTCCTTTGTAACTCTTAAAGCAACACAGAAATGTGATTTGTCTCATCTGATACTCGATGTGTAGTGCAATTATTGTCCTCATTATACAGATGAAGAAACAGGCCCAGATAAAGTGACTTGTCTAAGGTCACACACCTAGTAGGGCAGCTAGGAGTACTACAGTAGGTAGAGTGCTGGACCTAGAGTCAGGAAGACTTCACTCCATTTGCCTCAGTCTCAGCATCTGTAAACAGAGCTAGAAAAGGAAATGGCAAACCACTCCAGTATCTTTGCCAAGAAAACCCCAAATGAGGTCACAAAGAGTCAGACATGACTGAAAAGGACTGAACAACAATAACGCACATCTTCTAAGCAGGAAAGCTGGAACTCAGATACAGGTCTTCTGACTCCAAGTCCAGAAACTCCAGGCTGCTTCCTCTTTAAGATGTGAACACTGCAATGTTGTGAGGAGCTGTTCAGGCAGCTGGGTGATGAATGAATGAGTTCTGGACTTAAGAGTCAGGAAGACCAGAGTTTCAATTCTGCCTCTGACACTGAATAGCTCTATCACTCTAAGCAAGTCATTTCACTTCTCTCTGGCTCAGTATATAACAGCACTGACTTCCAAGGCCTGTTGTACGGACCAAATGAGCTGATCTATATGTAAAGTACTCTGCTCATCTTAAAGCATAATATAAATGTTTGTTACTATTGTTATTATTACTACTACTCATATTATTTTATAAAAGTGTATATCACAAATCACAAGCAACCTACCTTGGCATTCTTCCTTTTCAAGTTTTTCAATTTCTGGACTTCTGAAAGCTACACACAAGATAAAACACATTTACATTCAACATTCAGAACTAGAAATGTCTACTTTTATTGTTATTTTAACATGGAACACATGTATGCACGAGGAACATGGCAGTGCTGGTTTCTCATAGGCCACAGGCATGTCTGAATGGCAGGGATAGTCTAGCCCCTGGTCTAAAGACCAAGATAAAATAATTATGTATTTCAACAACTCATATTCAGAAATGGTGGTTTCACATCAATAAAACTTACAATTTTAATAAGCTGTTCCTTAAAAATAGAATAAAAACTGTCGACTGCTTTCTGGCAAATTATAGATTCCACTTGCTGCCTGTAAGGACAAGAAAGAGGAATTTAGATATTTACTCACCATCAGATATATGTTGATATAACTCTCCAGTTTAAGTTATCCTCTTTACAGGAACAATAAATGTGTATTTTAGATTGATCAGGGATCCTTTCTATTGGTTTTACATAAATAAATGGTGAACTGAATATATGTGTGTGTGTGTGTGTGTGTGTGTGTGTGTGTGTGTGTGTGTGTGTGTGTGTGTGTGTATATTCAAAACTGTGGAGTTGGTCTTCGTGACTTTTCTTGCATCCAGTGATGATGGGAAGCCCATTGTTTTTTCAGGTTCTAGTGCCATGTAACTAATAACTTGGGTCTTTCCTAGTGTGTTAGCTAATAAAATAATTTTCAGAAGAGTCTGAAAAACTATTCCTTCTTGGACAAATTTTGTCAGATGATAAAATGCCCTCAACTCCAAAACACTAATGCCTAGAGATAGATTATCAAACTCTTCTTTAGTGAAAGAAACACTGAGTGCGAGTCTTACAAATTGTAAGCAGTCAACAAGTTTCTGTTGATTAGTTTCTATTTCTTGAATTCTTGGAGGAGGTAAACACTTTAATGGATAATCTGTCATTACAACTAATATTAGCTCAACATCAATGGTTCAGTAGAACTTTCTCAACATAAAAGAAACTCATGGTCTTAAAGTAATAAAGGAACCTAGGGAAAAAATAGTAAAGTATCAAATCTTTTAACTTGTTCTGAATCATCAATTTCTAAAATTAACACAGGATCATATATTGAATTTAATAACACATAGTAACAGATAAAGTCAAAAGCCAGTCCTAGGACAGTTAAGAATAAAATGGCATTACTGTCACAATTACCTTTGAATAAAATTCTGTCCCAATCTTCCAAAGTGAGTTAAAGACAAAGATTAAATAGAGTACAATCCCTGCTTCCATGATGCTTTTAAGTTGTGCTTCTAAGTATATGAGAGTAGAAGAGGTAGGAGTAGATGACATCACCAAGTGTGTAAAAAGACTCCAGAGGCTAAAACCCAAATGTTGCAAAAAGCATGAAAACAGACTGGTTTTACATGTTAAGAATCTGAATCCTAGCCTGGGGGCTGGACTCTTACTTCTCTACTTTTACTGACTCCTGACCGCATCTCACTCTCTTCATTAGCTTTTTCAAATATTCTGCTACTGGCTAACAGCCATCAAAGGAGAAAGAGCAGTTTTCAGTCTGGATATTCTCTCCTTCAGAGAAGTCACTTCACACAAGTTCTCCTCCTCTTAATCCACTCCTCCAATGGCTCCTAGCTAGCTTCCCATTTCCATGAAGTGGGTATTTACCCCAGCCTTCCTCTCTCTCTCTCTCTAATTTTCTCCTTTGAAGATCCCATGTACTCCAATGGCTTTCACTATCACTGCTGACAGTGATGACCATCTTTCTGATGACTCCCATGCTCAGGATCCTCTCCAGACCACATGACTCAGAGATGACTCAGTCTGCACTAAGAAAAAGGGGCACTTGATCAGATGGGAGGTCCTCCTCAAAAAACAGTATCACTACACATTTTCTGTTCCTCCCTCATCTCAGATGAAAAATAATCACTATTCCTCAATAAAGGTTTAATCCCCCTACTTGTACCCTTGATGCTATCCCCCTGAGGACTCCAAACTCTCTTCCTCTTTTATGCATCTGCAACCTCTCCCCCTTCACTGATTCTTTCTCATCTACCTTTGTTTTGTTTTTTACATTTCCAGGATTTTTTTTATTTACCTATTTCTCCTCTAATTTTAATTTGTGTCTCCTCTTTCATTTTGTTGGCTTTCTAATTTTTTAAAACACATTCAGTTCAATCCTCTCTTTTTCTATTTTCTTAATAGAAACTATTTATGTATGTATGTACATATATATATATATATATATATATACACACACACACACACACACACACAATGTGTGTTAATTTTCCCCCAAGAACTAGTTTAGCTACATCCTAAAAATTCTGGTGTTGCTTCATCATTGTAATTTTTCTTTCACAGAAGTAATAATCATTTCTATGATTTGTTCGTTGACCCACTGATTATTGAAGATTTCATCGTTAAGTCTCCATCTGGGTCTCCCATGATCTGTACAATTCTAACTACTGTCCTGTGTCTCCTCTCCCATCAGGGCAAAATTTTTTGAAAAAGTCCTAACTACGTCACCAGGGTCTCTCCTCAAACTTCCTATACCATAATCTTGTTTCCTTCAGAGAATCAGTGGGAAGGGACCTCAGTGGACCCTTACTGTGTCCCCCTCAAGTGGGACCTTATTCTGGCCCTCTCTGCCCAATCACCATGACTACTGAAATTGCTCTTTCAAAGGCCCTTTTGGATTTGACATACTCAATTCTTCCTTGACTTCTGCACCATTTGACACCGTTAGCCAACCTTGTTATGAAGAGGCTTTCTTCTCTTGGCTTCAGGGATAACCTGGTCTCCCAGTTCTCATATCTCTTCAAGCACTTCCCCTTCTTCATCGCCTTTGATGATTCTTCTTCATACTCTTCTCCAGCCTAAAAGGTGGGTGTTTACTAAGGTTCTGTCCCCAGTCCTTTTCTTCTCTCTACACACTCTTCTTTGGTGATGCTATCTCCTCCTACATCTTCCACTATCACATATTTAGAAGCACAACTTATTCTTACTATTATAACTTCTTATTGAAGACAATATCACTGTTATTGTGGAGAAGGAAAAAAAGTCCGACTTACTTGTACTCTAACAGAGCATCCTCAAATGCAGATAAAACAATATGTGACTTTGCTGTATCTCTGGCAGACCTTTTCTTCTTCTCTGGAGACCAAATATACAGAGTCTGAGAGATCACTAAGACATAAAAAAGCATGACAGTACTCCTTCTAAGTTAAAAAAAAAAAAAGAAAGAAACAGACATGACACTCTTCTCATGACATGCATAACACTGGATTTGGAGTCAAAAGCCTAGAGGTTGAATGCCAGTTCTGCTCCTCATGACTTGTGTGATTTGGACTACATGACAGATAAGCTCCTTTCTAGCTCTAAATCCCATTAACCACATATATATTAATCTAAACCATGGCGCCTCAGAACCATGTGTCCTTCATCTTTGTCCTAAATACTTGCTACTTTGCTCTTGCTTTATTGTAACACCATACCATCTTCTGAGCTTTAGTCTTTCTTCCAGTTTGGTGTGTGTATATATACACACCTATGTGTGTATTTTTGCATATTTATGTTTTTAAAATTCTGATAACACTGGGCCAAGAATGGGATATCCATAATGCTCCCCTTTGTAATTCATTCCATATTTTAAACCCTAGGTTAATTCTAGAATCAGTCAACAAACATTTATTAAGCACTTACTATGTGTAAGGCACTGTTGTCAAGCCCTGGGGCTATAAAGACAAAAGTGAAACCAATCCTCGCCCACAAGGACTAGGATCTAGAAAGAATATAAGCAGAGAAGAGTCCCATTTTCAAAAAGCTCAAGAATGCAAACCACTGGGGAAAGGCTCCTCTAATGAATAAAAACTATTAGGAAAATTGAAAGGCAATTTGGCAGAAATAAAGTTTAAACTACCACCATACGCTTAGCACAAAAAGTTCCACGTGATACAGATCCTAAATATGAAAGATCACATTATTAAAAAAAAAAACCCAGCCACTTTTTGTACCTACAGCAAAGGAGGAGCATCCCTAACCAATTAAGCAACAGATATTATAAAAGATAGTAGAGACTACTTCAATTACATAAAAATAAAACGCTTTTACACAAAATCAAAACAGCTTGACTAGGAGAGTAAGAAAAAAATTCATATAAAATATCTCTGATAAAACTCTGATGTTTGTGATATATAAGAAATTGTCACAAATATGCCATTTCCTAATACATCAGTGGTCACCAGATATGAACAGTTTTCAGGAAAAAAATCAAATGTTCAACCATAAACAAGTCTGATCCAAATCACTTGATAAAAGAAATGTAAATAAAACCAACTCTCAAGTTTTACTTCATACCCATTAAAGATGATTAAAAAAATGGAAATGCTCAATGTTGAAGGGGCTAAAGGTATACTACTACACTGTTGGTGGTCTTGTGAACTGGTCCAATCATACTGGCAATTAATTTGTAATTAGGTGAGAAAATTTACTGAATTGTACCCCTTGACCCAAAGATGTTATTTGCATATCCCCCAAGGAGGGCAAGAGCAAAAAGGTCCTACTTACATCATTTTTTTTTTTGGTGAGGCAATTGGGATTAAGTGACTTGCCCAGGGTCACACAGCTACTAAGTGTCAAGTGTCTGAGACCACATTTGAACTCAGGTCCTCCTGACTCCAAGGCTGGAGCTCTATCCACTGAGCCACCTAGCTGTCCCTGTTTTTTCTTATTTAAAATAACCTCTAAGATTCTGCCCTGATACATTTATCAGGTGAGAACACACTTAGGTTGTTCACTAGGTGTGAACAAGGCCTGGGGCACTTTCCTATATGAGACAGGCATTCTCTTCAAATTGGCCGAGTTACTTGGTCATACCTTCTGGGATCTGTATAAAACCAAACAACCAGCTAGAATCAGAGAGCAGAGTCTGGTGGAAGAGAGAAGAGAATATTCTAGCTAAACCTACAAGAAAGTATAGATTGGGAGACGGGAAGTCACAGAACCCCAGACCTCTATCTCAGTCCCAGTCTCCCCTTCTAGAATTCCCCACCCCCTTAGGCTGGAGAAGGATGTCATGAATTTGGGAGGGCCAATGAAATTGGACTTTTCATTGGTGTTCTAGCAGCATCCCTGGGACAGGAGTAGCTTCTGGCAGCGCCTTCACCAGGAGCTCAGAGACTGGTTATGATGAAGATTCACGGGTTTACAAGGACACTGCTGAGAAGCTATATATACCTTATAGAAATACCTTAGGGGAATATTTTGAGGAACCCAGCAAAAGTAGTTCCAGGAGCACTGAGTTACCCCTTTGCCATATGTACCTCTATGCATGAGCCCACTTTCCCCTAGACTCTGTGTATTTATGGAAAAGTACATCACAGACCCCGGGAGGATGTTCTGTATGAACTATACCAGCTATACCACCTCAGGAAATACCCTGTTCTAAAAGCTAATTAAATATGACTGATAGCCATGGCAGAAAGTATGCCAGTCATAGAATCGTGAGCTACATTATTAGCCCTGCTACTACAAGGTTTAGCCGGAATACTCTCGTGTCTTCTGCCAGACTCTACTCTCTGATTCTAGCTGGTTCATTGCGGATCTTACTGATCAGTACAAGTGGGAGTTGGGATAGAGGCTTCAGAGCAATCCTGACATATATATAATAACATATTTATAGCAACACTCTGTTGTAACAAAAAAAACTGGAAATAAAAATGAATGCCCATTGAATGGAGAATGGCAAAGCAAACTGGTATAGGAATGTAATGGAAGATTATTACTGTGCAGCAAAGAATCAACTAGAGGCAGTGTCACATAATAGAGAGCTAGCCTTGAAACCCAGGAAGACCTGGGTTCAAGTCCTACCTCAGACGCATCCTGGCTATGGGACCTAATCTCTTCAGGCAGCTCTCTTAACACTACAAAGTTCAGAGGGATCAACTATCATTGGCTGAAAGGAGTTTCTTTATTAAAAGTTCCCTATATCACTGCTCTAGTCCCTGTCTCCAAGAAACCAATTAATCAATCAACAAGAATTTATTTAAGTACTTCTGTGTCAAGCACTGGGCTGTGTTGGGGATATAAACCAAAAATGAAAAGGCCCTGACCTCAAGGAACTTACACATGTATATATAAACAGGATGCTTAATTACCAAGTAGATATAAAGCAACTCTAGGGAGAAGGTACTAACAACTGGGGAACTGGGAAAGGCTTCAGGCAGAAGACTGAAGCTGAGCTGAGTCTTTTGGGGGGGTTGGTTTTTTTTTTTTTTTAGGCAATTGGGGTTAAGTGAATTGCCCAGGGTCACACAGCCAGTAAGTGTCAAGTGTTTGGTCTAAGGCCGAATTTGAACTCAGGTCCTCCTGACTTCAGGGCCGGTGCTCTATCCACTGCACCCACTTAGCTGCTCCTGCTGAGCTGAGTCTTCAGGAGTCTCGGTTCTAAATGCGGAAAAATCTAGAAACAAAATGCTAGAAAGCAAATGAGAATTTCAAAGGACAGAGCCAAAACAGTCTGCCACAGATTCCAAGCATATGTGTCAAGCCTCCTCTAGGATACTTGGAAATCATTTCATTTCAATAGAAAGGGGGGAAAATCCACTGTCCCGTCCCACCTTCTCTCTGAGAACTCTCACAGCACTGCTATCAGCTGGACACAGCTTTGTATTACTGTTTTATCTTTGTGTTGAAACCATGAATTCAGAGAAATATAGAAGGGCCTGTATGAAATAAGTGAGCAAAAAAAGCAGGAGTAAGGGGACTGTGACATACACAGTGACCACAATAATGTAAAACAGCACACTCAGTCCTCGAACACAGATAGGGAAATGTACCCTTGTCCTCTCATAGATAGGTGGAGACCCGTGTGCAGCTGGTACATCATTTGGCTTTGGTTTTATTGTACGGAAGGGCTCAGTTGGAGCAGGAAGAATGTAGTTAAGGGTCAATCACTCTACTCTGAAAACAAAAGGCGATCACAAAACGATTTTTTTAAAGGAAATAATGTAGTCTACCCCCTGTGTCTTACAGATAAGCAGACTTTGGCCTAGGGGAGCTTTATTCAAGGCCTTGCAACTAAGCGTCAGAGCCAAAGCCAGATTCTAGGTTTTCTGATGCCCCATCCAATGCCCCTCTTTTGTTGACAATGACCTAAAAGCCTTGGACTTAAAAAGTCTAGAGCTAGGAAAGAAGGTGAAGCCAGATAAACCAACGGTTAGCAGCAGCAGCAACGGCAGCTCCCTGGGACAAGCTGATGCAGTGGCTAAGTCCAGCATCACCACATCTCCCTCCATGCCGGGCTACAAAGCCCTGCTCTGCTTCTTTGACTTGTGATGTTGCCAACATGCTCGCAGAGCGGCCATTCTCCTGGTTTTGTTGTCATGTAAAAAGACTCTGCCCTTCTTCCCCTTGGATCTTCATGGCTAAAATCAGAGGGAGCTGAGCATGTTGGGTACAATTTTCCTAGACAGCAGGAAGGAATATTCTTAGATGCAACTAACTTAAATCTAAGAACAGTGCCCAAACTGTGCAATCTTTTAAAAATACTTATTAACTCACCATTGATGGGAGTTTATAATTAATGGCAAACATATTTTCACTTAAAATACACAGCCAAAGAATTAAGAGTATGAAAACAGGGCAAGTCTTTCACATACTATATGAAAAAAAACTTAATCTAATTGTTTTTAATTTATTCAATATGTGACCACTCATATATTGTTTTGAGTTTACAAGGTATTTTCTTTATAGAAACTTTGTGAGACAGGGAATACAAGTACTATTAAATCCATTTTATAGATGAGGAAGGTGAGGCTCACTATATCGTCTTTTGACTGAAACAAGGTTTAAAATGAGTATCCTTTTAAGAATTCTCCCCTAAGAAAACATTCTTGGTGAGGAAAGGGGAACATAGGGGAGAGGGGTTTACAGGCCTGCTCAGGAACTTTGGCAGAAGCACAGAGTTCATGCCATCCAATCCCCTCATTTCACAGATGAGGAGGCTGAGACCCACAGGGGTTAAATGATTTGCCCAGAGAGTAAATGGCAATACAGTCTGGTTCCAAATCTAGGGTTCATCATAAAAGTCACTATTAGGGATGGGGAGGTGGGGCAGAACCACAGAGTATCAGCTCAGCGTTATCACCCGGGTCATCTTCTCCCTTCAGGAAAAGGAAAAGTAGTTCCTTGGAAAGCGTCTCAGTCTTACAGTTATTAGCACAAGGGACAGAGGGAGGTTTCATCCCCTGGAAGCTTCCTATCCCAATGAAACCAGAGGTCCAGGCCTTATCCATAAATAAAATATTTACATTTATTTCCCAGAATGGAATTCCCAAATCACAACAGTAAAATCACAACAGTCATTATTTGTTACCTGAGTTTAATGGCTGACTCTGAGGTTTCTCCCTCTTTCTGCGAGAGGTTCGTCTCTTCCGAGGAGCCTTCTATAAAGAACACAACTTGAGAAACGGATGCAATCAATGAAAAACATACTGAGAAGTTCAAAAAAGGCAATGAAGCAAGTAGAGAGAATATGAGACATTCTCCCACACTTATTCTAGCGTGAGACGAGGACTCACAAAAACTAAAAGATATTTTGACATCGTGATAAGTGATGTTTTAACTGATTTGTCTTTTGTGTGTGATGGTCAGGAACACATTTCTCAATTCTTCTTACTCTCATTCTACCCTCTGATACTAATAAACCTGACCAGTTTTCAATTAAATTTCTTAAAATATAACATCCAGGGTTTTGTGTCTTTTTATGATTTTCAGTGAATCCAATGATTATCTCAACCTGTTTTCTATGTCAGTTGCTTTTGATAGCATGTACCTTACATTTTCTTTTATTTCTTAATCTTTTGATTATGTTCTAATGTATCTCATGGTCTGACACAGTCACTGAGTTCTGTATGGTCTATTTAGCCCACTACTTGGGTAAGTCTTACCACTTTCTCTTCTAAACTGTTTATTCTCAGATTCTTTCCTCCAGAGCTTTTATTCATTTATTAATCTCTTGATTCATTTCTTCCATATATTCATGTAGTTCTTATGGAAAATCCATTTTCTTCCTTTGAGTCTCTTCTTACAGTTCCTGTAAAATTACTCTGTTCTTCTAAGTTAAGTTTTTAGGTATTGCTGGATCTGTAGTAATTCTTTGCAGTCGTCAGTATCTTCTGGTTACTCATGTCTCCACCCTTAGCTCCTCAGTCAGAATTATGTGCCAGGGCCAGGCTCCACCTGTTGCTCTTTCGGGTGGGGTGATTGGCCCTGCTTGGTCTCAACCACGGTCACCAAGGTGCCACCCCTGACCTCTACTTCCTGGGGTGTGTCTATATTAAGAATACAAATAGGCTTTAAGCCCTCTGTGGCACTTTGGGACAGAGTGCCACAGATCTCAGAGCCCCCGGGCCTTGCAAGTCCCAGTCTACGACTGCCACACCCAGAAGGCCACTTCTGGTACCAGCTGACTGATTCCAAGGCTCACACTTTGGGTTTCCCACCACTCAAGGGTTTCTCGTAGTGGTCTGCTATTCCTGCCTCTCGATACAGAGCCTTGCTGGCTACAGCCATATCTGATCTTACTGGGGACACTCCTGTCTTATTTGACTTCACTATCACTGTCTTTTCTGACATCTTCATTTTTACTACCTGGAGAAACGCTGGCTTTTTCTGCATTTCTGGGGTGGAAAAAGTTTCTCACTGGCATTCTTGATAACTATCTAGCCTGGCGCATACTTCCAGTTTTTGCTGGAGGTATGGGAGGTGGGTCAGCTCCCTCCCTTCCAGCAGCCATCTTTTCCATAACTTACACTTGAATAAAGGGAGACAATACAGAGAGGAGTGATGGCCAAAGACTGAACAATCTCTTACCGCTTCACTCTCGGTGACAAGTGATGTTTTCTCAGCGACATGGAAGAGCTCATTAGAAGACACTGGTTCTGCAGATTTCTCTGGAAGGTTTGCAGAAGCTACAGTCGGGGAAACTTTAATTCTCTCCTTTCTCATCCTCTTTACCACACATGTTATTCTGCCTGAAATGCTTTCTGAATCAGTATCATCAGCTATTGGCTTGGATTTCCTCGATGCCTACATAAAAATCAATAGCAGCACTGCACACAAACATTTGTAATTTTAAATAAAATCACTAAAAACTCAACTTTCTAAGAAGCTGGCGATGCATACCAATGGTTACACGTGAGCTCTACACAGTTGTTACCAACAGTTCAATGTGACCTCATAGGCCCTGACCCAGTTTTCAGAGCTTATTTTTTAGTCCCTTATGAGGGCTGCTAACACATAAGCAGTTTGGCAGGTCCAGACTCTGCTCCTTACTAGCTGCAACACCTTGGGAAAGTCAGTTAACCTCTGCCTCCATTTCCTCTTCTGCAAAATGGAAATAATAACATCTATGCAGACTGAGCTAGGGGAATCAAATGAGACAGTAGCTGTAAAGCATCTTGTTAATCAAATGCTATCTAAATACAAGATTATTGTTAAATAAAAAACTGCATTTCAATATGTAGCAGCCCAATATTCCCTTTTCCAAAGAAACACTCTTTTATGTCCCAAGTGCAAATTCCTTTTCACCACAAAGCTGCAGCTATCAAACCAGGTCTTCATCTACAGCCACCGTCTAAACAGAATCTGAAACACACAAGGCTGGCAGACACCCTCACTTACCTTTTTTGCTCTCCCTATTACAGAGCCCTCCTCTTCCTCGGGCTGATTTTCAGTCACTTCCGCGCTGCACCAAAAACAAGCAATGCAAACTGTAAGCCAGAAACCTTTTTATCCACGTAGTTTTTCTGCGTGACGCTGAGACACCGAGACGCTGCACGTAAATACTGTAATACTTTCTGAAGTCAGACTAATTAGGGGAAGATGTCAGTGACGAAGGATGAAATCTTTCGCATTCATGACATGGGCACTCCCTCCACCAACGCAGATTGGGACCCTGCTGAATTGCCTTCCTAGGCGGTCTTCACGAGTTGCTGTGGTTCACAAGCACAAACATCCCTTGTTGGCTAACCCAGTGATAAGCCTCCTCTGAACGCTGGAGACGCACACACAGTCCCTCACTGGGCACGGGCTCACACCTCTCCGACCTTAACATGGGAGCACGTGTCTTATCCACCAAAGGAATTCTCCTTCAATAGAAAAGGAATATGCTGTGCCTTTTTCCAAAGAACAAAAAGAATTCAAAAAAATTAATGATTAATCCAACCACGGGAGAAAAGGGTTTGGGAGTCAGAGGCATTAGCTTCTCATCCCCGTTCTACCTCTCGCCTGTGTGACTTCAGATACACTGCGGGCCTCCGTGGGCCTCAACTGATTTAATTATACAATGAGGAGGCTGAACTAGATTCCATCCAGTCCTAAATCTGAGATCATATGCCAGATGTTGTTAGAACTAGATAAATTTTCTCTCTAAAAGGCAAGTCCCCTTGGTCCTTGCCTTGACATGAAAAAAAAAATCATGATTTTGAATTTCATGAATTCTCATGGAATAGGGACTACAGACTTTTGCCTTAATATTACTCATTGTAAGTAGTAAATATTAGCAGCAAGATTTCCATAGAATACTAGAACAACTCTTCTCTAGAACCTGAAGCAGCAGAAATGCTGATTCTATGTCCGTCTTTAGCTAATAAGCAAGCATTCCAACTGGTCAATGCTTAGTCTAATTCTGAAACACCTAAGTCAGTCAACCTTTCTAACATCCCGTTACGATACTTTCTGAGCCCTGTGAGTTCCCAGGAGCAGGGTGTTGCCACTGAAGCCCCAGCTCCAGCAGGTCTGACCATATTGGAAAGGCTTCAAGGACAGAAGAGGATGCATTGAGGAAAAAACAGAGCAAAGCATCATCTATGAAAGTCATCCTCGGATGGTCACACCAAAAAGGTGCTAGGATGTCTTCAACCATGGTCCAAGGGCTGGACTACATCAGGAAGTACAGGGAAGGCCGGCAACAGAAAGCTGAGGACTAGGTAATGACATCTCTGGCTCGGAAGACCCAGGAAACACGTCAAGATACAAAACAGACCTTAGTACCACACGGTCCCCATCACCAGCAATGCTGGCAATCGGCAGACGAGGATGCCTTGAATCCCAAAGTTTTATTTTATTTTTAACACTTCTTAGGACAAGTTCTGGTGATGGTTTTCATATAGCATCAGTGATTTCACTGATATGTGGAATGAGCAGTGAGGAACTTCCAGCAGATTATCCTTATCAGATCAGCATCTTCTCCAAAAATTAACCATCTTAGAGAGAAGCCTGGGGCACTGAGAAGTGACCACTTGCCTAAGGTCACACAACCAGGTATCAAAGGCGGGACCTGAACCCAGGTTTTCCTGATTCTAAGGCTACCTCTCAACCTACTAAGCCACAAAGACAGTTAACATCAAAAAAATGCCGAAAGGAAATTCAGCATAATTTCAAATGAAGTTATGTAGACTAAACCTCAGATTTAAACTTAATACTAAATTCCTCTACCTCCATGTTTCTGGAATACTCTGCAACAAATTAACATAAAAAATTAAGTTTTCAATTCACAATTTTTCTGATGGGAGAAAAAGAAATCAGGCTCTGAATTACGTTAAAGGAGTCTGAAAGTTTTGCAAATTACTAACTCTAAGAAGCAAGTTCCTACTTTAGTCCTATTTTAGACCTATTGGTTTAGGGAAGTCCCAAGAAGGAAATTCCCTCCACCAATGCCAATGGGCTGCTTTGCAGTGATATAAGTCTTTGAGTTGACTAGGGCCCTGAGAAGTTAGGGAAGCGACCAATCCAGTGTGACACAGGTAGTATACAGAGGAGATGGGACTGACTTAAGGCCCCTCGTCTGATGCTGCCCTCTATAGGTTTTGATAAGCAATTACTGCAATGAGCTCTTCAGCAATCCCATTAGACACACATAGGCAGCTAACCTCAACGTACCTTGTTCTGGCCTTTTTTCCAGGTGGAGGGGAAACAAATGAAGGAATCAGGGACTCAGCAGGTCTGCAGATTTCCTCCGCTTCTGAATACAAGGCAGTACTATGTAAAGGGGCAGCTATATAAAATATAAGAAAAACAATGCAAAAACCATAGGGTCAAAACAAGAGTCTTACTTCGGAGGGAAGCTTCTGCCTTTTTTTTTCCTCTTTTTTTGGCTAGGCAATGGGGGTAAGTGACTTGCCCAGGGTCACACAGCTAGTAAGTGTCAAGTGTCTGAGGCTGGATTTGAACTCAGGTCCTCCTGACTCCAGGGCCAGTGCTCTATCTACCCTTTTTTTTTTTTAACAGCAAAGAAAACAGCCAAACTATTTTGTCCACATGTGTACTTTGATGTGAATGCTTTCAAAGTTAATGGAAACTCCTGGAAAATGAATAAATGTTTAATGAAAGAATAGCAATGAGGCAGTTTTAATGGTGCTGGGATTCACTTTTTCTTGTACTAGGCAAGTTCCCACATCCTCAACTGCTATCAAGAGATAAGAAAAAGGACACCCACAAAGGATATAAAGTAAAGAAAATTCATTAAATTATATAGATTGGCTTATAGCAACTCTTTTTATAGTGGCAAAGAACTAAAAACTGGGGGTAGGGGTGCCCGTTAATTAGGGAATAACTGAACAAACTGACTAATGAAATATCATTGCCATAAGAAATGACCAAAAGGACAGAGAAATCTGAGAAGCTTTATTTGCACTGATACAGACTAAAGTGAGCAGAGTCAGGAGAACCATTTCTACAGTAACATCATAAAGACACACAACTTTGAAAGACTTGGGAACTCTGGTCAATGCAATAACCAACCATGATTCTAGAGGATCAGTAATGAACTCTACTTACCTCCTGACACAGAAGATGCAAAATAAGACATTTAATTTTGGATATGGCCGATGTAGGAATGTTTTGCTTGACTATATTTATTACAATGGTTTTGTTTTGTATTTTCTTTAATCAATGGGTGTAGGAGAGGGAGAGAAAATATATGCTTTTAATTGGAAAAAAGTTAAAATGTTTAAATGTTTTTTAATTACATAGATTGACAATAGCATGGAACAAATCTTAATCAAGTGAGATATATTTACAAAGTTTTCTTGCAAACCTTCAAGTGCTATGTAATTATTAGCTATTACTATTGTCCTACAGTGCCCTATGGTAGGTCTCCTGCATTTTACTTGAAATAAATACTGAGAGAACTATGTTGGTACAGTTAAAACTGTGCTGACCAAGGATGGACAGATAGCTTTTAGTAAATTCATAGGATCACCTGCTAGGTTGCAGAGGGGTCATCTATTCCATGGCTTCTTAAACTTTTACCACTCTTCGACCCATTCAGCACTTCCTAAATTGTGGGTCGAGGGGTCGCTGAATTCCAGTCTAGTCCCCTTAATTCTGAGAGGAGGAAACTAAGGCTCAGGGGGTTAGGCGACACGTCTAAAGTCATATAGTGACTGAACTGGGCTTCAAAGGGACGTCCTCTGTGTCCAGATCCAGTCCTCTTTCCACTTTCCATGCTATCACCCAGTTCCTCTTGAGGAGCCTCTTGGGCAATTCTAAAATAACTGAACTAAAGTGCCAGCTAGAAGAGGATGAGTCCCAGAAGCCAGACCAGAGCCACTGAGCTCATCTGATCTGCTCCCTGTGCTGATGTGTCCTGCAGCCAGCAGGCCCAGCTTTGTGCTGCATGCCCCACACTGCCCTTCTTCCTGCTGGGCACCTTCACTCCCTAGGGCGTGGGGCTAGGACTTGAAGGGGTACTGCTAGCAGCATACCCCAAGCAGCTGCACTGCACGGGGATGCTGGAGTTGCTTTCCTTTGTAGTCTTCCAAGCCATATTCTTACCAACTGACTGGATATTGAAGACGTTTTGGGTGTCATCAGGAAGTAAGAATTACACGTACTGGGCTTCCTAACCATCCTTGAGCACACAGTGTTCAGGGAGGCTTGTGGGTAAAGGTGTACTTCCGCACAGAAATGAAGAATGAAAAATATGATGAATTTGTAGAGACAGAAAAGAAGAGTTTACTGAACTATCTTCCTGATAAACAATCAATCAATTAACCAGTATTTATTAAGTACCTACTATGTGCCACACTGTGGTAAGGTGGGGATTCAAGTCCAACTACTTAAATAATCCCTACTCACAATAAGCTTTACATTCTAATGGAGGAGATAAGTACATATAAAAATGTTATACAGCAGAAATAAAAAGTTAATAAATACCAACATACAAATTAGTTAAATACAAGGTAGTTTGGGAGTGAAGATACTAACTAGTAGCAGGGAAGGGGAACATCTAAAGGGGAACAGGAGTTAGGAAAGACTTCATGCAGAAGATGATGCCCGACAGTGTGTAAACAGCACTTTTTGTGACATGTCCAATAATTACCAAATGGATAATAAATTGCTCTTTATACTCCTAGGACCTCTTAACTGTAATGGTTAAAAAGTTTGAAAGACAATTTCAGGTAATTTAATCATTTTATTAATAATGCCAGAATGTTAATAAAAGGACCAGTAGCACTCTTGAATGCCGAAGGCAATGAGGCAGACAGGCTCACAGAATCTATGCCCTCTGTAAGAGGGGTGTTCCCCTAGGGTGGTAATCAACTCTGATGGGTTAACAATTAATGAGTGAATATTATAATGAGGGACTGAGAGTATTATCAAGTCAAAGAGAGACTATCCCTATACCAAGACCACCCTCAGCCTTGGGCAATCTAATCAAAGAATTTATCCCCACCCATCCCTGGGTAGAGCATAATGGCTTCCCCACTAGGGCAAGGTCTGAACAAGATTATTATAAAAGTAAATCCAATCTCCTTATCAGTAATGTCCTACCAGAGACTGAACTTTTGAAATGGGGATTTTTCTAAAAAGGCTGGGGAGGGGGGAGGGGGAAGACGGGACACGGACGACTCTGAATCCCCCCAAATCACTGATTAGTAATAATCATTTCTCTTATAACACGTCCGTTTTGCTCCTTAGATAACATATTGCTTATGTTTATAGATTTTTTTTTCATGTGAGACAAGGGGTGAATGCTTTGTTGAAAGAACACGCCCTGTATTCTGGGTGTTGTTCTCATCTTGTTGGTAGAAATGCCATGCCTTCTGTTGAGAAAGATGAGATTTGGCTTATGCCTGAGAGGAAGCTAAGAGAGGGTTTTGCTCTTAATCCACACGCCACCATGAAGTGTTTTGAGCCAATGATTATACAGCTTATCTGGCCCTATGGCTTTCTAGTTTTGAAGAAAAGCTAGAGTTTCTGCTTCTTCTGACCTCATTGTTCTGTCGTTCATTATATGGACAATGCACAGCTTTCTGTTTCTTGTTTGATCCAGTGCATACTTTCATTGTAGCGGATTTCTCAGAGAGGTAAGCAGAAGTTGTCCATACCCTTCTTTGGGGGAAGGAGCCCCCCCCCAATTTATTTACTTCTCAAGCCTCTGTAGTAAAGTTTTGTTTGATTGATTAAAAAAAAAAAAGATGATGCCTGAGACACCTTTTAAAGGATGAGGCCTTTATAAAGTAGAAGTAAGGCAAGAATGCATTCCAGGTATGGGAGACAGCCAGTGTTAAAACACAGAGACCAATGAACATAGTCCATGAGGATGGGAGAGAAGGTCAATTTGGCCAAATCGCAGAGTGTGGAAGGGGGAAGACTGCCCGATGAAACTGGAAAGATAGCTGAGGACAAAGGGCTAGAAGATTAGCTACTATTACATACTTCTAAAACTGCCCAACTTTTCAGGAGTTGGGTCTTAACAGAAATAGGAGGGAAAGGATAGATCAAAAATTAATAATTAGTCATTAGTATAATATTAATTTCTCTCAAGTTCTTATCCTTTGTCTTATCAAAATTCATTCCACAGGTTCACTACACCAGCAGCATTAATCAGGGCATTGCCATATTCTGGAGATCTCATAGGCCCACATAACAGTGTATGGCAGGGTGAGAAACACTAATTACGTATTAAAAGGGCAGAATGTGAACAAGCAATGAAAATCAAGGTGCAGCTACAGGCCTGGGCCTTCTGATCGGCCCAGCCTGAAACTCCTTTAGAATAGATCCTAGCTTCCTACTCCTCTCTCAGCTCCATAGTATTTGGCATTTCCAAGAAACGGTGGCTCCAGACTTAACCTAGTCTTTGGTTTACTGCCAAAGTTCTGTCCTCCTTCACCCAGCAAAAGGCTCTCCCTGAGAAATGCTAACTCTCCTAGTTACCAACATAGCTCACCACAACTATATCCAGCTGGTCCAGAGGACAGCAACAAAGATGGAGAATGGATACTGATGTCTTATCATAATGGTTGTAAAAGCTCAATATTTGTAGCAAAACCACAATTTGCTTTTTCTTTTAAAATAAACACCAAACTCTCTGGGAAAAGAACTGGATGATAGCCAAATAAGTTTCTTTTCTATAGTATTTGAAAAATTCTTCCTGGGCCCAGGTCTCTAGAGGGAACAGATTTGGCTTACAAATGGAAGGAAGCTCCTGGACTAGATAAATAACAGAACTTGGGGATTAATGGTCATTAGGTGGGAGTGGTTGGAGACAGTCAGGGAAATAGAACAAGAAAGGCCATAACTGACAAGAAAATCAAGTTGCAACATCATTCAGTGGATCCCAAGAATCCCTGGGAACAAGGGAAATATAGCAGAACAGCAAGTGGGAGATCCTTGGAAGGCAGTGACCACCTTCTGCCTTTCTTTTTATCCCCAGTGCTTAGCACAGTACCTGGCATAGATAAGCCCTTAACAAATACCTGCTAACTGAAAGAAAAAAAAAAGCTAATACTAATTTAATCTCAGAGGTGTGTTCAGTACTGCTCATCCTAGGTAATTCTGACCCCTTCATTTGAGCAAGAAGTATTCTTTTGTTCACCAGCCAACCAATCCTACCCTTTTTGCCCTACATAGCACTGCACATTGCTGCAAAAAATAAAATTAAAAACTGTGTTGTAAGTAACAAGAACTCTACAATTGTAAAAATGTTCTTACTGATGCCAGAAACCCAGTTTCAACTCACCTAAAAATGAGGAAAATTAATTCAAATAAACAAGCACTTCTCACAGCACAATATTTAGATACAGGCAATGAATGTTTATATTTAAAGACGTTTCTACATCTTAGGCTAGTATCTAGCAGCACACTATGTTTTAAATCATCTTTTTAAAAATTTGCATACTAACCAAAGGAATCACCAAATTCTTCATCTTGCTCAGTTTCTTTCACCTTCCCAATAATTGAGAGATCCAAGTCTTCAGGGAAAGGTAATTTACCAGAAAGATGCCATGGTTTTTTGTTTAGCTAGAAGTGGAAAAAAAGCCAAATAACTGAATTGCTCTGCCACTAAAGATTTAATTGCATTTACTTAATAAGAATACTCTTGCTATTACGGATGCCTTGAAGATGAATCAAAGAGAAATGGATTCTCTTTAACGCACCCTTCTATTTCTACTTATTATAACGACTCATATGGACATAGCCCACATAGGGATCCACCTGAACCCTGTCTTCAATACTGCTATTAATACATTACAAATACATTCCCACTTAATGTAATGGAAATTGCTATGACGTCTTTTTGACCAACTTTATAGTTCAGTTTCTATTGAAACAAACTCCCTAGAAAATTGTCGTCTAAAGCTGTTTTCAGGAAACTAATTCACAACATTTGGTGGAGGTGCACACCCTTCTGTACTCAACACAGCACTTACCACAGTGCTTGGCACAGAGAAAGCATTTAATAAATGTTCACTGGTTTTTAATACCAGCACATACAGGACAAAGATAATAACGTAAAACAAAAACACGAGACTTCAAAGGCAGTTCAATCACCCAATACAGTCACTTCCAAGAAGTATGCTTCATATCCTTTCCTTCTTCTCAGTTTTAGGCTTTCCAAAGGGAAGAGACTCCCAATGTTCTTTTTTTAAAGCACAAGGACTATGCTCACTTCAGCAGTACATATACTAACATTGTAACAAGATACTAAACATGGCCCCTGAGGAAAGATAACATGCAAATTTATGAAGTGTTACATTAAGATCAACACAAGGAACCAATGATTCCAGAGGACTTAATGATGAAGAATGCTCCCCATTTCCTGACAGAATGGTAAATATGTAGGATGAGACACACATTTTTAGACATGGTCAATATGGAATTTTTTTTTGCTTGCCTATGCATAATTAATACAAGGATTTTCTTTCTTTTCTCTTCAGTGAGAGGGAGGTAGATGAGAGAAAATGTTAACTGGGAAAAATTTTTTTTAATTAAAAAAATAAAACATAAGGCTGGCAATATCCCTAATATGATTATCAAGCTCCCCCCGCAAGAGACATTACCGCTCCCCACCAAAAAATTTAATTCTTTCAGCAATATTTCTAAAAGAAAACACATTTTTCCCTTTTTTCATTTAAAATCTCTTTCCCTGTTTGACCTGAGTTTTCCCAGATCTCTTCAACATTCAATTATTCCTACTTAACCAAACTCAGTTACATAATTTAACAGTTGGAAGGACTTGAGTTTGAACAAGAATCCCTTCCAACATATGCAACAACTGTGGCCTCTGCTTGACGAACTCAGGAGATAGAGGACCCATTAATTCCGGAAGCAGCATATTCCTTTTTTGGATGTTATCAAGCCTAAATCTCTAACTTCTACTATCACCCCAAATTCTGCCCTCTGTTGTCCAGGATAGAAGACAATACTCCAGGTGTGACCAAGCCAAAGTACTGCGACTAGGGAAGAATGCAACTCTTCCCCTCCTAAGGGAACTGTCTATATATTTTTCTTCTTTCCTTTCCGTCTAAATAAAACACACAAAAAAACCCCACTAATTTTTTGATTCACTACTGTTCAAATTTTGTTCCTTCCTACTTACAGAGTTTCTTCTAACCAAGCTCTGCAATGATTTAAATTTTTAATTATGATTACTTGCTATGGAAAACAAGGAAACTATATTCCCTTGGTATTTTGGTTTGTAGTAATCTCTTCTATGTAGCCTAGATTGTCTGAATTAGAAACAGACCATTTTAGTATGAAAAAAATAAGATTTCCACAAGGAAACAGAAACGTTAGACAGTCAAGGGGCCTGTAACAAGACACAAACAAACAAAACTTTAATTCCTAACAGCATTTAGCTGTATTCAAACAATCTCGATTCACATTTCTTGTCAATAAACAATTGTTAGGAAGTCAATAACAATAATTGCTATAAATGGCAAACACCTTGTGTTACAAGTAACTCCGTAATTGCACTTTGGATGCTCTCATGACTCACAAGAGGAAGATTTTCTATAGCAATCTGCTCTGCAATAGCACTTCCTTATTTGAAAAAACACTGGAATTCTTTTAGGGAGACATCTTCCAGCAAGGAGAAAAAGTATACTTCCTTAACCTAGACCCCTACATTTGGTTTGATATTTTGCCAAGTCACTGTCCACTACATATTAACTTAGAAAAAATTACAGCTATATTTTAAGTTACACATTTCAATTAAGAGAAACTGGCCAAAGCAAAGTACAACCGGGCACCAAACTGCTTTCCTTTTGGGCTGTAATCATCAACAGCTATTTCTGCTTTCCAATCTCACAGGACTCTCCCTCAACCCAGCCAATCTTCCAAAAAAAAAAAAACCCCATACACTTCCCATTTTTAGCTGACTAGAAGTTATTTAAAATTGTCTACGGCTCCATTTTAAAAACAAAAAACTCAAGTTTTTTTTCTTCCATTTTGCCAATTATTAAAGAGTGGCTGCTTTAAGACAAAAGGGATAAAAGCATTTAACCAAGAATTTAAAATATAGCTTTAATTTTGGAATTTGTATCATTCCATTATCCTAACATTTGTATCTTATACATAGACACACACGCCAGAATTTTCCCAAAACAGTCAAAGGATCTGAGAATAACATGACAGAACTACACATAAATGAACATATTTTTAAAATACAGCTACAGAATTAGCTAGCTATGAAATCATTATAAATTTTCATGTTTCAACATATCGGAGACAATGAAAGTTAAATATAGCTGTGAGTTTATGAACAAAAACAGAAGTAAACTTAACGTCTCCCATAAACGAAGTGACATGGCAATTTTTTCAGGTAAAGACAAATAATTTACAGCACCAAAACAGTAGTTAGAATATTAGGTAAAAATGCTTTTGCTAATTAAACTAAATCTAATGAAAAGAGAGTAAAAGCCAATAGTAGCCTTTATGTTATATTAACACAAACATCCCAAGCTGAATTTTTCTTTTTCTTTTTGTTTTTTTTTTTACTAAAAAAACCAAATCAAAGAGACATTCCAACCGTTCCCATTATCATTCAATTCCCATTTGGAGGGGGGATGTGGGACAGAAGGTATGGGAGCGGGAATTAAAACTCCGTTAAGACCTAGGCGGTACTTTAAAGGCGTCAGATCATTTTAAATCCAATATGCAAAGCTGGACATTCTGGCCCCGTTTTCAATACAATTTAAACGCTAGTCTTGTTAAAAAGCCACCTGCAAAAAGTGTAACCCCCGCCCCCGATCCTCAACCGCGTCTGGAGAAATCAAACGCCATCGCAGACTATAAAATCCCATAGAGCGAAAACTTCTTCCTGCATGTTTAAAGGGACAGATCTTATGACACCACCAGCACTCGAGCAATCTGGCAGTGCCCAAGGTTTCCAGTGTGGCAGGAGCAGGGTGGATGTGTGTGTGTGTGTGACAGAAAGGCCGAGGGAGAGGCCAGCGCAGCCCCGCAGCGAGCCAGCGTCACACTTGGTCGCGCAGCCGGGCCAGTCTCTGGGACAGCTCGTCCTGCTCGGCCGAGGCCACCGTAGCCACGGAGCCCGTCTGGCCCTGGGGCAGCTCCATGTTGAGATCCAGGCCGGCCTCATCGGCCATCTCCTGGAGCAGCAGGTCCACCTGGCCCTGCGGCGTGGTCAGCGTGGTGGTGCTGCTCATCGTGTCTTCCATCTGCTGCGTCTGCACGTCCAGGGTCTCGAACTGGTGCTCGAACTTGTCCATGAGCGCCGAGATCTTCTCCAGGTTCATGCTCCTCAGCGCCGCGTCCATGGATTTGACCACCCCGGCCAGGGACTTCGTAACTTTGCCCATGGTCACGGCCGTCTGCACCCGGGCCGCCACGGCGTCCACGCGGGCGCTCAGCCTCAGGAAGTTGACGCCCTGGTTCTTCTGGCGGATGGCGTTCTCGGCGTGGATGCGCGCCACCTCCATGTTGCCCTTCTGGATGGCCTTCTTGATCTTGGCCTTCTCGGCCTTCTCCTCCTTGTCGCACTTCTTGGCGCTCCTGCTGAGCTCCTTGGCGGCAAATTTGAGGTTGAAGAGGTGTTTCTCCATGGCCGACATGGTCCCGGGGTCCGGGGAGGCCGCGCTCGGCCCGGGGGGAGCGGAGCAGACGGGGCTCCCGGCGCAGGGAGGCTTCTGTCCGGGACAGCAGAGACAGACAAAGGCTTCGGTGCCCGGCGGGGGCGGGACGGCAGCCCGTCTGGGAGGTTCCCCCTCCCCTATCCCGAGCCCGGCCGCAGAGCTGCCCACACAGCCCGGCTCGTTTGTTTTGGATCCCACTTCCTGTTTCGACGCGCTTTGTGTGCTTGCGTGCCTGATTGCGTAGCAGGGGCCGGCCCGGGAAGGGGAGGCGGGCACAATCAGGCTCAGACACAAAGGGCAGGGAAGGCGAGATCAAGCAGGGGTGGGACCAGCAGAAGGCAGGGGCGGGGCCAGACCGAGGACGGGAGGCGGGGCGGGGGTAACATCCCACAGTTTCAACCACCAAGAGCTGATAGGGTGTCAGCAGCAGCCAGGTCAGCAAGGGGCGGGGCCAGGATGAGGAAGTGGGGGGGGGAAGAGGGGCAGCATCTCCCACTGGTTTCAAGCACCAAGAGCTGATAGGGTGTCACCGGCAGCCAGGTCAATAGGGGGCGGGGATAGGGTGTCAGCAGCAACTACTAAGCCAAATCAGTCCTGGGAGAGACCAGCAGAAGACAGGGGTGGGGGCAGCATCTCACTAGTTTCAAACAAGAGCGGAGATAAGACGTCAGGAGCGGCCACGGGCGGTCAGCCACCGGACAGAGCCAGGATCTCACCCTAGTTTCAGGCACTAGAGAAGGCTAGAATGGGAGCAGCCGCCATTGATCTACGTCAGTGAGAGGGCAACAGAAGGGCTAGCGAGTGAGCAGAATCCAGGCGGGGCCAGGAAGAGGCGGGGCCAGCGCAGCACCAGTTTCTAAGCACGTCCCATAAACATCAACAGAGGCTGGGGCGGGGCATGTCTAAGAGCCCCTGTTCAGGAGGAGTGATGACTTACTTAAAAGCCAAAGAAACTGAGTGGCTTTTAAATGATCATGCAATTTCCTAGTCCTGAGGCCTTTCTATGCACTTTGAGGAGCCTTACACTAGTGCTGTATTTGTTTTAATTGCTAGAGGTCCATTTAATCTTTTTTTTCAAAAAAAAATCTTATGGATGCCTTTTGTTCTTACGAGTCATTTCAAGCCTCCCACACAAATACACCCAGTGACAAGAAAAAACAATTAAGCACAAACCTCATTTGACATTTCCTTATCTGTAAGATGAAGGAGTTGCAGTAGCTGAGATCCCTTTACACTCTAAATAAATACAGGATTGCATCTGATCCGGTATACAATATTTTCTCCTGGTAACCAGGAACTCCTTTTCTGTCCTTTTACCCACAACACCCCTCTCCCTTCAGCTGCAATGAGTGTTAGATATATATATATATGTTACCTTGGCTTGATTGCTAACAGCATGGGCTGGATCTGAAATCACAGCTGTGTGCAATCTTGGTTCTGACACCTACCTGGCTAACTCTGGGCCCATCACTTCACTTCCTCATCTGTAAAATGAGGAGCTTGGGCACCATTACCTGTGAGGTCCAATTCAGCTCTAAATCTGATACTACATATGACCTCTAAATTCATCCCAATAGCCTGTTATGGTAAGTACTATGACTATTACTGTCTTCAATTCCTATCTTTCAGAGGAAGAGCCTAAGGCTCTCAGATAGTTAAGTGTAACTTGTCCAGATTCGTACAGGAGGACACACCTCAGGGAATCTGACCCAGGTCACAGAATCATCATAGACAAAAGATCCTTAAAGACCACTTAGTCACTAGATCATAGATGTGGCAGTAAACGGGAGCTCAGAGGCAATCCCCCTCATTTTACAGATGACGAAACATATGACTAAGACACACAAATATGTAAACTTAACTTTCCTCATCACTCAGTCTAGCATTGGTAATGGCTGGGCTGCTTTGATTTCCAACAGTTTCCTAGGGAATTCCATCCCTAAGCAGGAATTGTAATAACACCTCTGACTTTTTGTATTTCTCCCACACATCAAGTCAAAAAACTTGCTCTTTCCTTCAAAACACTGTTTACCCATTTCCCTTTCTCCCCGTATCTTATGGAGATCCTGTTCATATGGACACATCATTACTGCACCCTGTCTTTCAAAAACACTGCTCTTTATTTCTTAGGCTGTAGCTAGGATGGTTTTTCTTGAATATTATGATTGTACTACTTCATCTTTAAGCCTTCTAATGATAACACGCTGCTAAAGCCCACATCATGCCTCTTCTTTAAAAAAAAAAAACCTTCAGTGGCTCATTATCACCTTCCAAATATACTCTTCATCCTGGCATTCGGAGCCCTCCACAATCCTTATCTCATGCTACTTCTCATGAGTCTGCAGTCTGGCCAATCTGTACTGCTCTCCTTCCCCATTCTCATCCTTCCTTTCCTCTCATCTCCAAGCTTCTGATTTTGCCCCCTTTGTCTCACTTTCCTTCTCTTTAAGTCTGTCCCTTATAGGTCTAAGTAAATGTTATCTCTTACAAAGTGAACACAAAAGAGAATGGTAAAAAGCACATTGGGAAATATGCTTCAGGTTTTAGAAATGAAAGATGAGATGCCTTCTCCCTTTTTCTGTCATAGGTATCATAAATGTATAAATGCCTACGTGTATACCTTTTTCAAAAGAGTCACAATCTTAATGAACAGGAAACTGCTAATTATGGATATGTGACTCATGCCAGAATCAGCTGTCTGTGCAGTTAGACTCCACTAGCTTCAGTAAAGGTCAAAGTCAACAGGAATAAAGATGCCTAAAATAGCTTCAACAAGACCTATTCAAGCAAGCCACTGACATCCAAAAATGGAAAATGGAAAAAAGGCGAAGATACTGACCTCAACAATCACCATTTCCCGCAAAATCTTAAACAAAGTAAAGCAGTCCCCAAACCAAGAAGTGTGCCACCCCTCCCCCCAAAAAAAACAAGACAAACCACTTAGGCAGCAAATGCTTCAACTTTTTTTTGCCAAGTGGAGAGACGCGGAACCAAGGGCGACCCTAGATCTGAAGACAAACTTATTTTAAAAAGCACTAAGGTGAGTACTTGGTCCCATCCACCTGCCTTTCCCAATGTTAGAAACACGCCTGACACCAAAAATTGAGTATCAAGAAAAGTTTATTACAAAGTCCAGAGGATTTAGCCACTTCAGGCTCCACCCCTTTTCAGGAGGAGAGAGCACCGAGTACAAAAGTCAGAGCGCTTCTTATGCAGTTAGTATGGGGCCTTCCAGGCCTGGATTGGTCTGTTCCTTCCCAGGTTACAACCTTCCTTATGTGTTCCATCTATGTTTCCCCCCTCGATATGTTCAAGCATGCCCCCCCCCATCACACATCCCATGATCCATTAATGTGGCTCTAATTTTATGTGGGGTGTGTCAGTTAATAGTAATAAAATTCATCAAGCATTCACAATAACATTTTGCTGGTGTCCTCGGGTTGACCCCAAACAGGTCTGAGCTGGATTGGCCCTTATCTTGATTTTGGGGTCTTCTTGCAACCATCAGCTTACTTCTTATTGGCTAAGCCCACCTGCAGTGTAACTGCTTCCTTGAGTTGTTTTTATAACTCTCTGCACTCTTCTACCTTTGTGGAAACTTAGCCCTTGCCTAACTCCCACAATTCCCTCCTCTTCTCTCAATAAGGATTATGTTTCCACACTTTTTGTTCCTGTGGTCTTTCCTCAAAGCGCTTTAGCATTAGTTCAAATTCTTCATCAGAGGGGGAGGAATGATCACTAATTCTCTCAAGCATCATCTTCACTCCACCTGATCCTGTTTATATTAATTTTTGAACTAGTCCTCTGATACAAAGGACGATGCAACACACTACTGCAGTTAAAACTCCCTCAGCTACGATTAGAGAGGCTATGATGGAAGCTGCTATTCCCTTCCATTTTCCAAACCGTGATTCCAACCACCCAGTGATGGGGTTATCGATACCAGAGTTCTCATGCTTGGGGTTTGGGTACTTCCTTTTGGGGAAGAGAAGTACCTTCTGTCGGTCCCAGCTCACTGGGTTTGAGTTCTATCTGCTCTGGGTACGCAAAACTAATATTTATCCTCCCAGTGGGATCTACCCCACCTCCCTGTGCCCAGAATCCGTACATTCCTGCAATCAGCATTTACAAAAGTGAGAGTGTTGGGGCTACACTGTTCTTTCTGGCACTGATTTCCCTGAGTCCGTCCCTTTGTTAGTATAATCTTAGAGGTCAAGCCCTTCTTATCATGATTCTGAGCATGGTACCATCGCCATCCAGAGGTCATGAACCATACATCTGACCAATATGGGCATGGAATCTTTCTCTGATCTTTTTCCTGATTATAATTAGGCTCAGGGCACATACATATACCTTTCATAATTACGAATCCTTTGAACTTCTACTCTCTCGTTATAAGTGGTTATGGCACAAGTGTCAAAACTAGCAGTTTGGACACATTCCTTTTTAAAACCATTTGATGGACAGGGATATCATTCAAGGTATATTAATAACCAACGACTAAGGAAAAACCCTCCACACTCATCCAAATCATGTGAGCTGGGTAATTACCATCCAAGGGGCCATGGTAAAACTTGGTTGTTGAGAATTACCCACCTTTCTACTACCTTCTCGGGGTTGCTGTCCGTAAGTTTTCCAGAACCAGGTCTGGTTTTGAGCCTTCAGAGACAATCTAAACCTAGCAGGATTTGGGAATGGCCCCTGGCAATCCCAACAAACCTACTGTGTGTGCAGCCTATTCCCACACCAGGTTAGCTAGTCCCCCTGTAACTACTTCACTTCCCAGTCCACTCCTAGACACCACAGGTCAAACCACCAACTAAAAAGTTTTTGGTACCTATACTCTGGGGTCCAATTAGGATCTCCGGGAGCAGGAGTGATATGTATTTCAGGCTCTCTTTACCTAGAACATATAAAATAGTTCAAATATCAGGGCAGAAAGCAGTTGAGTTACAGGAAACAGGAGGTAACTATAACAGCAGCTGGTATAAAAACAAAGACTACACAACCCAATTCACCCTTCCCATCAAGTCCATCAAGTCCGACGCCTCTTCTTTAAGGTAACTTTTAGCGTGAATGATCTCCTTCTACCGTCCACTCCTGAGGTTCCTCCACTGGTCCTTTCACCTTAGTATAATATGTCCATCCCCTTTCAGCAGCTCTTACAGCACTCTCAGTGGTCAGAAGAATCAGGAAAGGTCTGTCCCCACCTAGGATGTAACTTCTCTCCTTCCCAAGTCTTTATCAGTACC